ATTTTAGACAATTTTCTTCTTCTTCTTCTTCCACATTCTGTACCTTTTTTATTGACCTTATTCTCACCAAGGTAGGCAAAGGTTAGTTTTGTAGTCAATCATGTAAACGTTGATTATGCAAACTGAATTGATTATTGATTTGCAAATTGTTTCCATGTTTTCATCTCAATCTTTTTGTTTCTATTTAAACATTGTTCACTTCATTCACTTGATGTTGTTCATTGATGAACAACTGATGAACGGTGATTAGAAGCTTTGATAGTTAATTTATACCAACAATTTAACCTTAGGGTTACCTAATAATTGGTGGCATATTTAATGCACATGCAATTTATGTTAACAAAACTGAACAACTCAATAAAAATGTTAACCAATGTTGAGGTTGAAAAGTCTTTAAATTTATTCATTTTCACCAGTTGTTTGATGAAGATGTTGACATGAGTAAAATACCTGTTGCTTTAAAAGCTCAAGCACTTCAGGTTAGACATTGGGATTGACAGTAAAAATGAAGCAAAATCAACATCTGGTTTCAGAGGTTCTGTCATCACTTCAATCGATTCAATTTATCACAGTTATTCTGGAAAGTTTCGGTGGAAATTGACTTGATATGTTCAACAGTTGCATGAATATCAGATTATTTTGCATTATTTTTGGACAAGAAACTTTTGCAGTTGACTTTCAATCATTTGCATAAAGAGCTCGAGATTGGTCAGAAATCGTTTGCTTATTAGTTTGTGACAATCAAAAGATTTTAATTGTTTGAGTTGTGAGATTTGAATCTTTTTTTTTGGCGATTTTGTTCTGAATTCATGTTCTCCTATAATATCACCTTTTATCTGATCTGTTCAAGTATCAATCATGAGTTTAACTCAATGATGAAAAGTAAAATTGATAATCCTTTTTTGTTCATCTTTTCATTTTGATAATCAATTTTGTGGTTTTTACGCTAACTGTTAGTTTATTAAGTGATCACAAACATTCATTTACCTTGAAATGTTTTGTTGAAACAAAAAAGTAACCAAAATTTTCTCATTTTGTGTTGAAAATAATAAAAAAAAGTAAACTTTGTTGATGGCTTCATCTTAAGCCCATTTTCAAGCTGAACATTTGTTTCTTTCAGCTCTTTGAAAGTCGTGTTAGGAACTCCTGTTGAGAAGCTGAATATCATCAAAGTCAACGAGAAAGTAATCAATTTGATCGTTTAATTTGCTCATGAAATGGTTCATGGAATAACATATTTTCATCTGTTGAAATGGCAAGAATCAACTTCAATCTTGAATATAATTGGACGACTCAATAATGGCTAATAGGTCTAACCCATCAGTTGGTGAATCTGTTTACTCTATTTTTCTTGATCAACAATTTACTTTTAATGTTGATTTACTACTTTAATCAAATGGATTAACCTCAAGGGTTAGATGATTTACTACACAATTTAGTTAAACAATTATAATCTTCTGTCCATTAATTTTAAATCTTTTCTTGCTAAATTAGGACAACTTTCCTTGATTAACTAAATTATCATTTGAATCACAAGCTCTTTATGATCTAATATCTGGCTTTTTGGTTAATTATTATTGTCATCAACTTGTTTCCAATTAGCTTGGCAAACTGGTTTGATTGTTGACTAAAAATGTTTAGGTGATTTGCAAACAATTTACAAATTGTTCAATTTGTTGACTCGCAATGATGATTATAGTGAATCGTGATCAACAGATTTACTATTATTATTATCATAAGATGAGAATGGTTAATCAAAATGAATTAACATACGAAACATTTTCTTCAATTAATTCAACCTTCTTTCATCTTGTTCATCTTAACCAACTACTGTTTACCCATTTCATCCTCTTGTCATCCTCATCTTCTTACCTTCATTTCATGTTTTAATAATCAACATCATCTTTTAATCTCAAATGTTCATCTCAACCAAAATGAGATTTTCTTGATTCTAGAAAATGAACTTTCAACATTTTCCCAATCAACCTCATCATCTACCGTTAATTAAATTTATTGCATCCAGTTGATGATAAACTTCATAATTTACATGAGCGTCAAGTCAATTGCAGGAAAGTTCAGTTGGAATGCAATATTGGAATCAACTTTAATCGTAATTATCATTGTAATGAGTTGAGTTGCAAAAAATGCTAAAAAATGCAAAATTTTTACGCAAAAAAAGTGAAATCTCAATCAAATCAAATCATAAATCAAGTTATCAAAGTCACAGTTGAGATTGTCTCAGTTTTAAGCATTTCGAGTCATAATGCAAATCTGGAAATGCTCATTAAACAGTTAATTAAACCAATAAATTAAACCTTTAATCAAACCTTTGAAATTGAATGCTTTTCATGTTTTTAAACCTTTAACATTTGAATTCGAGTTTATACAAAAAGACTTTTTTCAGTTCATTTTCAGTCGTTTTGATGAACCTTTTTTGCTGCTTTATTGGTTGATAAATTGGTAATTAGTTGCTGAAAGCCAACAATTGAATGATGATTCAAGTGCTTACAAAGATGATGATCGATCAGTTTATGATTAGTTTTCATTTTGGGTTATTTACTTCACTTTTTAATCAACAAATGTAAACAATTCTCCATGTTGATGATCAGCATTCTTGATGGGCATGAATCAAGATGAATACAGGTAATATGAAGCAAATGAATTGGGATGAAAAATGACGTTAAACACACCTTTTTGATGTTTAATTTTAATTGTTGCGTTTCCTCCGTTACTAAAAGGTGTAACATTGAGAGGGTTTGGTAGCCTTAAAGTAGACTATTTAGCTAAATGTAATTGTGATTAGGTAAACAAACAATCTAAATTGTTTGCACCCTTAACATGAAGAAATATGATCAAAAATTGTTTCTCCTCCTCCTAATCATAATCAAAACTTCATTTATAAATGAATTTCTTTTTCATCTTTTTTAATTGTTTCCTCAGCAATTGTCTAACCATCCATTTAAACCAATATCTAAATGAACAAAATTGCAATTAACCGAGAAAGCAAAGTGATATCAATCACAGTTGAGTTTTGTATTGAAAATAATATCTTTTCAAGTGTTTAATTGTTCAACTGTTAACTGGTTCACTCGATTTTCGTGTAATCAATTAATTAGATTTGAATTTCATGATTAAAGATTAATAACATTTTGCTATAATTTACAATTCGCTTAATTTCATAGGCTAAAGTTGATTGATTAGGCAAATTGTTTTTCCTTGTTTTTGTTGTTGTTCTTGTGACTATTGAGAGTAAAATGTTTGGAAAAATTGATTAATAATTAATAATTTGGTGATTAACATGACAACAGCAGATTGTTCAGGTTATTAACACCATCAAGACCATTGACCACACGCATTTTGATTCAACTTGCAGGTCAATGTTAGGTTTAAACGACCACCTAATAATGTCTGTTGGACAAGAAGGGAAAATATTTATAAAGGCAAATGAAAGGTTGAAGGAAACTTGGAAATGCGTTATTTTTATGGTTAATCATCCTTAAAATGAATCCTTTTATAATATCTTCGACACATCATCTTCATCTTCATCAAATCAGTTTCTTTTGACTGATTAATTTTCATGTTGGGCCACACAGATGATGAAGATGGTGATGATGATTAAAATGGTGACTCCTTCAGTTTTCAGTTAACCACACATAACCAATTACTCACGCGATATTTTTTCATCTTTTTTCTGGAAAATTGTTTCTCAAAGAGTTCGTCAGATAATCCTTTAACTTCAATATTCTTGGCTGAATTTCCATTTTACTGTTTGCTTCCCAATTCGCGATAACATTTGTGAGAGACGCTCAAGTCCATGTGGCAATGGGCTGAATGTTTGCAACATGATCAGTTAACAGATTGATCATTTTCAGTTTCAGTTTCATCAGCATTTGTAATTTGCCACTTTGATAACATTAATATTTGATTGACCATAATGAATCTTTATTCACTGGTGAGTTTGACCAAAAGCCATCCATTTGGTATAAGATGCAAATAGTCACTGTGTGTCATTTGGACAACAAAATTTTTGCTCATTTCTTATTTGGATCTATTTCTGTCGACTTTTAGACATTAGGTCTTAGGGGTTGAACCCGTGTTTATCTTGCAAATTTACAGTTTTCAAAGTCAACTGTAAAATTTCTGGTTTTGATTGTTTAACCGCAATAAACATTGAATTAAGTATCAAATATTTCATTGATGGTCAACAATAGATTGGTTTGTATTGATCAATTATCAATTGACTAAATATTGATCAAGAAGTCTGATCATCTCATGTTTCTTGAGTTATTTGGATGAGATGAACAGGTTACATACAGGGTCTTGAAAAGTCTGAAGAGTGGGCATTAAATTGCGCTAAAAAGATAGCGGTTTTTTTAAACATCTTATTGTGCAAAAATTCACATGGAAATGAATGTTAACCAGAGAAACCAAAATTAGTTTAGTGCGCAAGGGGAAACATTTTTTCCCTTTCTCCAAAGGCTTTCTTAACATTCTGTACATGTGCTGTTTTTGTGATTACATTTATTCAAGTTGGTTTAGTTTCAGTTAATTAAATTTAATTTGACTTGTGTTTTGGTCTCCTATCTATAAATTGTGTCTTAAGAGGCCAATTAAGGACAAATTATTATACCCTAAGGTATTTCAATACACAATGTGCTTTTCTTATTTACCTATTTCAGTTGATACACATGAAAAAAAGATAATAAAAATCAGCTGTTTTCAAGACGTTGAATATACGGAGAAAGAGAGTTTAAATGTTAGATCAACACGGAATGGATAAATCAATTGAAATAATTTACAATTTGTGATTATTGGTAAATTGGCTTTATCTTGGTTTGTTTTTGTTGCATTTTTAACTAACCCTTTTCTTCGGAAGATGGCGACTTAAAAAACAAAGAAATTTTTCTTTCTTTCTCGATGTTTCTTGCCTTTTGCTGATAATCTTAAAGGAATTGTTCTTTAATTGTTCTTTCGTTTTTTTTTCTCTCCTCTTTTTGTAGCTACAAATTATTATAGTGATTCTTCAGACGATCAACCTCTCAATATGTCTGTGCGAAATTCTGGTCAAATTTTGAAACGTATCCGAAGTTTATTGAAAAGCTCAAGTATTTCCAATGAAGCACTTTCTGCTTTCATCATTTCCTCTGGAGATGCTCACCAAAGTGAATACATTGCTGATTGTGATGATCGTATCTCTTTTATTTCCGGCTTCACTGGGTCCACATCAACGTCCGTGATTACCCTTGATGATGCAGCTCTTTGGACTGATGGTCGATACTTTTTACAAGCTGAAAAGGAACTGTTTCCTGGTTGGATTTTGATGAAAGATGGGCTGACCGAGACACCCTCACCTGGTGAATGGTTGAACAAAGTGTTGCCCAGTGGTAGTAAAGTGGGTTGTGATTCTTTCCTTGCCTCCTCCTCTCAATGGACAAACTTGGCCAAGGTTCTTACTTCCCATGGTAATCACCTTGTCCCGGTAGCCTCCAATCCTATTGACCTGGTCTGGGAGGATCGTCCAGCTCCTCCATCAAATCCAATTGAACCTTATCCTACATCTTTTGCCGGTAAATCATGGCAAGAAAAGGTTGAAGAGGTACGCAAGGAGATGGTCAAAAAAGATGCCAATGCTTTAGTATTAACGGCACTTGATGACATAGCCTGGCTACTCAACCTTCGTGGGTCTGATATTACCTACAATCCAGTCTTTTTTGCTTACATTGTCGTTACAATGGATGTTATTAAGTAAGCTAAGGAAATATCAAGCGCTCTAAATCCATTGACTAATTGTTTCTCTTGCACATCTTTTGTTTCAGTTTTTTTGTCGATGAATCCAAACTTGATAATCATTGCCGGAAACATTTAAATCTGGATGCTTCTTCTAAACCAAAAATTGAATTAAGAGAATACAAGTTGATTGCGGAATTTCTCAAATGGCTTGTAGCTCAAGACAATTCCTCCAAAATTTGGGTAATTATTGTCACCATCAAAAGCAGATAAACCAATTGAGTCCAAAATTATATTGATAAATTTTTCGTCTCCACCATTTGTTTTACAGTTGGATAATCGTTCAAGCCATGCTCTAGTCAGTATAATTCCGGAATCTCGTCGAATCAGTTTACCTAATCCAGTTTTATTAGCCAAAGCAGTAAAAAACAAAGTTGAAATTGAATGTATGAAGCGAGCTCATGTAAGTATCCCAATGATTAATTTACCCACTCTAATTGATTAACCCTTTAAGATGGATACTTGGTGATTAGCGCAGAGTAAATATCAAAATGTAAACGTGTGCTTTCTCATTTTTTGAAAATTCAAAAACAAAAACAACCGTCAAACAAGATGATTACAAGTTTTTTTTAACTCAAGTTGACATGAAACAAGTTCAATTAAGAAAAGTTGAAAGAAAAAATTTACCTGATGACTGATAATATTGCCTAAAAGCATAAAGATTTATAAACTTCATTCTTACAATTTTTCATTTAAAAATATAGTCAGTGGTTAACCAATAAGCTGGAAATTGTCCTTAATTTATTTAAATTCACCTACGCAATTTACTTGAATGGGTTTAATATGATCAGTAATTAAGCCTGATTCACCTTGTATTGAACCTTTTTCTTGTCTATCAATTAACTGACAAAATATACGTCAACGTGAATTACCTTTCAACATTTGTGAAGGAGTTTTCACATTTAAAAATATATCTACTAACGGTTAACATTATTTGTTGATATTTATTAACCTCGACCTCCATCATAACCATCAAATTAATTACAATCTGTTTCCCAATTTTAACCTATCTTTTAATTACACTCAATGCACACCTTTTCAATGCTAATAAATCAAATGTCGTTTCCTTGAAGTTACTTTTGCTTTTGGGACAATTTTGTTCCGTCTTGATCTTTTACCTTTTCAATGTTTTCTTGATGTTAAACTTGATTCCCTTTGCCTTCATTCAACTATAGTTTCCTTTATTTCAATTATTATTATCGCCATTATCTTGATGATTATGGTGAAGATACTGTTGGTCATGTTAACCTGAATTGATTTAGTTCCAATTAAATTGATACAAGGTAAACTAATGATTAAATATTAACCAACAAGCGACAAACTCCTTTAGTTGAGTTGATTTTTGTGTTCTATTGAAAGTTGTTAGTTTAATTAATTTCAAATGTTGGAAAGGTGAAACTTTTTTTTCTCATCATCTTCTTTTTTTCAGGGAAAAAATATCGAAAGATTAATTTAAAGCTGTAGGCTTGAATCAGCCATTAATCTGATTAATTTACGTTTCTTTTTTTCTTGAAACTTTTTTCATTTTCTTTCAAATGTTGAATAATTTGGTTAAATCAAGTTAATCAATTTTACTTTAGCCATGTAATCACCTAACAACCAATACAAATCACTTTATTACATTATGCCAAATTGATTTAAATATTGAAATCTGATTATAAATATATCACTTTATTCAACCGTTTAAAAATATTGTATCTCAATTTCAAATATCTTTTGCTATTTTATTCATTAACTTTTTTTCATTTTTTCAGGTTAAAGATGCTGTGGCTCTTTGTGAATTTTTTGCTTGGCTGGAAGATGAAATAGTAAAAGGTGAATTAGATGAGGTTAAAGCAGCAAACAAATTGGAAGAGTTCAGAAGGTAATCAGTGAAAGCTGTGAAAATGAATCGACGAGCTGAAATACTATTTGCTCATTGCCTTTCAATTGAACATGATTTTAATTGATTTTTTTTGTTTCTTTGCCCTTGCCAGGACTCAAGAAGAGTATATTGGACCATCATTTGAGACGATATCTGCGTCTGGACCTAATGGTGCTATAATCCACTATAAACCTTCACCCGAATCAGCTCGAACTCTTTCAACCAGTGAAATGTATCTGTGTGACTCGGGTGCTCAATTTAGAGATGGAACTACCGATGTAACTCGAACCATGCACTTTGGTGAACCAACACAATATGAACGGGAATGTTTCACAAGAGTACTTAAGGGTCACATTGATTTGGCTCAAGCGCATTTTCCCTCTGGTATTCAGGGTCAATTGTTGGACTCTTTTGCTCGCCGTCATTTATGGGAAGTAGGTTTAGACTATCTTCATGGAACCGGTCATGGTGTTGGTGTCTATCTAAATGTCCATGAAGGCCCAATGGGAATACATTTTAAGCACAAACCAGACGATCCTGGTCTTAAAGAAGGAATGATTCTTTCAAATGAACCAGGTTACTATGAAGATGGTAAATTTGGTATAAGAATCGAAAGTCTAATATTAGCCAAGAAAGTTAACCTTGAGGTAAATGAGTGCAATTATTTGCATTTTTTGGTTAATTTGATCACTTTTACTTTCAATTTTTACATCTATTGATTGTTTATTCATTTCCCTTTTCCTAAACATTTTAGCATAATTTCAAGGATCGAGGTTATCTTGGCTTTGAAACGATAACTTTAGTACCAATTCAAACCAAACTATTGGAACCATCTTTACTATCCATTGAAGAGGTAAGTCTGAAAAAAGGCTGAATCAACATTTGACGGGCAAAAAATGACTTTCCTTCTAAATGATGGTCATCATAATGATCATTATCACCATCATTTTGTATTAATATTACCAAGTTTAGGGTGAACGAGTTAATATATTTGCTCTTGTTCATTATCTAAATCATTTTTTATTAGATCTCAATGTTCAATTTGAAAGAGCAAAGAATGAAGATTGAGAAAATTGAAATGAAAATTGAACGCTCCAAGCAACAACTAAAAACATTTAATAAAAAATACTAATTGTAATCATAATTACCACTCCACTCGAGGGCTCAGTTAAAGCAATTTTCACAGTCTCCATCTATTGGATTTTAATTTTCAACCAATCAGTGATTGTTGACTGTGGATTTTGTCCCAAAAAGTTCATTTTTCAATAGCGACTGAGAATGAAAAAAATGCGTTAACTGAGCCCTCGAGTGTATTCACTAGGATAGATCAGTAAAAAGGTATAATAAAAAAGGGTTGAGTAATGATAAACCGGTTTATTTGTGAAATGCAAAAAAAAACAAGAGTTGAAAACCATAAAGCCAATATATTCATTGAACATCATCATCCTTATCATCTAATTATGATAAGAAATGTAAAGATGTTGTTGTTGCGATGATGATGATCCTCTTTGAAATACCTATTTGATGATCGTAGGTTCAAATGTTTATTTCAATCACTTTTATCAACTTCTCCTCAATCCCTGAAGCATTTTCAGTCGTAACTAAAATCATATTATGATCGTTTTGTCTGTAAAAACCTAAGTCTAGATTATTCTTGGATCAATGATCTTCATCTTTACTCTTCTAAATATCTTCAACTGTTAATCTATTCAATGATCCTAATTAATTATCAACTTTTATTTGTGTCTCTTTAATCAAATTCATATTTATTGATATTGTCACCCAATCCTTGACTTTGCTCATATTTTATCTCTTTTTTCAATCAAAGCCTACTCAACCTTTTTCCACCTTGATTAGTTTTAATATTTTGATGTTTCACCAGCAATTTGTTTTCTTAATCTACTCTCTTAATCACAGTTTTATCTCTATTCTTGTCTATTTAATTGCACTTTAATTCCGGTATTAAGAAACCTGTAAATCCTAATTTATGTCATATTTTTCATATCAACTTTTCTCACTTCATTTCTTTTATCCTCATTATGATTGCTGATGAACCTTAATTTGTTAGCATTACCTGTCCAATGACCAATAAAATGTAAACCTTTTTTTCCCATTTCTCGCCATTCTAGTTGAAACTGAATTTAAATTTAAATTTCTTGCAGTTACCTAAAAGGTTATCTCAATATTCAGATTTGCCTTTTATTGCTATACAAACCTCTTTTTTCAATCCTTAATTTACCTCAATTGTCAACTTGATAAAGCTTGATTTATTAGATAATATTTAATTTATCATATCGTTCAATGGAGGCTCAATTTCCGGATAAATGAGTTCAATTTTAAAATTCATTTATCAGCAAAATATTACTCATTTCTTCCTAATGATTAGGTTTGAGCAAAAAGGCTAAACACATTTAATAATGATTTTTACCATTAGATTTTTATCAGTAGGTCAAGCTATTAGAGCTTGTTTCCATGATGAAAAAAAAGAGTGTTAACTATGTTATAGTTAAATCAAGATAAACACATTGATTAATTTTTCCCTGATTATCATCCTTTAAGCAACGTTTATCCAAACCAAATGGCTGAGCTTCAGCTTGATAATGGTTAAAATAAATAACTAAATATGCATTCATGTAATAGTTTACATGCAAGAGAAAGAGAAACAAATTGAACTAATCTTTTGTGAAACTGAAGCTCATATCTTGAGGCTAATTGATGCTAACCTCTCAGGCTATTAGATGATGATGAAGATAAGTGAAGAAATAAAAGGAAGATGATGTGACATGGATCTATTCATAATGGGTGATAATGGTTTGTCTAATCAAATAAGGAAGATAGAGAGAGATTGTTTCACTTTATTAATCAAAATTGTATCAAACATATTTAGACTATTCAATATTGACTTATTTCAATATTATGTTTTACCCATTAATATCATTATTTTCAAGTTTCCCTAATGAAGACTCCAACTTGGTCTCCACCTTTCATCTCATACAGATATATGAATCCAATTGCCCTTAAGATTTAATAGACAATCGAGTTTTAATGCCTACAAGGCAATTAAACCAACTGACCATTTATTTAACTTTTTTTTGCTGCTGCTTCTTCTTTACTGGCTTTACTACTTTGGTACTTTTCTGATCAACAGCATGAATTGAAACAAAAAATATCTCAAATGAGTAGTTAATATCATTTAGGAAGCATTGATAGGGATAGAGATTAATAGATTGATAATAGAGCTTCATTACTCTTCCTTGATTCTCACATTTAATTAGCTACTGATTTTATGTGTGTTGATTTTTAAATGTTAAATGTAAATGGTTACAGTTAAATAGTTTCAATTTTGAGCCTTTCTAATAGCTCAGTTAAATTGCGCTGCAGATGCATTAACACTCAAATGTGTATAGTGAAGCTTGTTTCATTTGAAAACCATCATTATTTGTAACCAACAGTTAATTAGCACTATTTTTAGCCGTTAACCATCTAAAAATATTGCAAACTAACCAATCAGTTAACCAACAAGTTGAACAATCGACTAACCATTTTCTGTTGATTATCTTTTTTTCAATTATTAATTTTTTTTCTCTTTTTAACCACAGATTGAATGGTTGGACAATTATCATGCAACTTGCCGAGATGTTATTGGTAAAGCATTGAAGGAACAAGGCAAAACTAATGCATATCAATGGTTAATGAAGGAAACTCAACCGTTAGGATAAATTACTCGCCTTATACCTGTTTTTTATCAAAATTTAGGATCAATTCAACTTCAACTTTTTTTCATCCTACTGTGATTTGATTGTTTTCAAAACTTTCAAGCAATTAAACTCATTATTAATATTATTAATATATATATATATATATATGGATAAATATATATTCAATAGGCAACGATCTATTCAATGTATAAGTTTAATGGATGGACTGCCAAAAACCATTTGATCAAAGCGTAAACAAGGAATCAAAAGATAAAGCAAAGCAAATCAAGATCACCTTACAAACAAGATAAATAAAAGCCAATAACTCTTATATTTTTTTGTTAAAATAATTTAATTCTAACAAAACTGGATTATGATTTGTAATTACAGTGAATGTAACTTTTTATTGTCGACTTTGCAAAATTTCAAAAAATGCCATTTTTACTGAATACTTTTTCATCTCATTCATAATCACAAACCACTCGTAATCAATAAAAGTAAAAATCAAGACAAAACCCATTTATGTAAACCAATTTTGTCTTCACAACATATTTTTGTATTCAGGTCTATTCAGATGATATTCAAGACAATATTAAGAATTATTTAGCGACTTGGAAATTTCAATTTCGGAAAATAATTTCAGATTAATGTCTTCAAATTTAGAGCTTGAAACAACAAGTTTTCAGTAATTTTACTTGACTGGAATATTTGTATTCAGTTACTTAAACTAAATTAGTAAACAATTGTATTCTGGATAAATATTAACATGAATTATTTTTATTCATTTTACTCATAACTTTTTATCCAGCAAAAACGAAGCCTCAAAGAGATGCTTCAAATCAAAATGAGGGAAAAAGTCAAGACACAGTTGCCAATAACAGTGAACAGTTTTTAATAATGTTATTTTTAAAACAAAAGGATAATTAAATAGATCAACAAGTTTAAGATGGTAAATATAATGATGATGATAACGTTCAACTTGGTGAAACTACTGAAATTACATTATTTTCGGATGCAGCAATCGCATAGAGAATATTAATCAATTGGTTGATGATGTAAATCGATGGCAATGTTGGCAAAACCAAGCTTATCCAGAAAAAGAAGCGTATATAACGTCCAGAAACACCACGGATCAATGCAAGTGCATCAACAATTACTAGAGTGGTCATCAAAGTGGCAAATATAAGATAAAAGACCTGATACGACCTCAGAATGACAATCCATCTTTCTTGTAACCCTTTAGCGTAAAGAATGTGAGAGAAAAGAGAAACAATGGCTAAAGTTGCGATGATTTTCTGATCATCAATTAAACAGTAAACGGCGACAAAAGTCAACATAACTAACTTATAAAAGGAAAAAATTTTGAGAAATGTTATTATCTTGGCCAAAGCCTCCTCTTTGGTGTCAACAATTTTGGAAGTAACTGTTGGTGGTTGTGTTAACGTTGGTGGTGTTGATCCCATTGTAACTGTCAAGATGAACACAATTATTGGACAATTAAGTATAAAAAAGCTACACAAGAAACTATCCAACAACTTGGGTGTTGATGATCAAAAATAGATGTACAATTAATTTGGGCGATCCACGTTCAATTGGATATTTTCATTAAGATGGTTTGATGAGGAACAAGTAAACTTATCGAATAATATGGAACATTTTGCTGGTTCAAAAAAAGAGTACAAAGTAAGAAGGCAAACGAAGGAGAAGACGAAGGAAGATGCCGAGGATGAGCATAAGAAGATGGCAGAAAGAGGGAAGAAAGAGTTTCCAAAATTTCCCTTGAACCAAATTTAGAATCGAACCAATCCAAAGAATAATGTGAGTGAGTTCATTTTGAATGAATTTTCAAAAAAGGCCACTTTTTCAGATGAAATATTCAATCAAAATGAGCGAAACTCACTCACATCTTTCCAAATCTTATTCTCTTTCATTTACACCAATAAAAATTTCTAATCCACATCGATTCGTCAAAAGAATCAGAACAATTAGCATTTAAACTTGGTGCCATTTTCATTGTATGCCTCGAAAATTTACTCAGAAGGTTTACACCGCTCACTTTGGGTGTTTAAAAAATAGGACTGAGGTTATGTTTAGGTTAATTTTGTGTGCTAGTTTCACATAATAATTAACAATTCTTAATAATTGAATTACAACTAAATTTAATGAAATAAATCTAATAATCACCTAAATGTTGGAGTTTAAATTTTGTTTCACTTTTATTCAACTCTTTAGTTAACATCTAGCATCACCCTTTTCAACTTCACCATCTCGATTCAAACGAATCTTGTAAACTTGTTTACTTCTTATTTTGTTGATCTTTTACTTTTATTTTTGATTTTTTCATCTCAATTATCACTGAAACTCTAATTAATTGAACCTTTCAATTTGAACTTAAATTAGATGAGTCTGTACAAACCAATCAAGTCAATCATGTGCCTATGTTTATTTATTTTAACCCAACTAACCCAATAATATTGTAATCAATCTGTTGATCTAAATTTTTTGTTTTTCTGTATTAAAGAGCAACAATCTCAATACTTTGTGTTTCCGCAAATACATGATGTTTCAGCATTGATTGATATTGAAAGAAATATTTAGTGATACAGATTTTAGGAATCATAAATTTCTTGCAATTTACCATTTACTAATAGCGAAACCTCCAAATTGTCTCATCACTTTGAATTTCTGCCATTTTTATAATCTTTCACGTTTTCTGGTTTCTATTTTGTTTTGCAGTGAAAACTTTACGCTTTCAACAAACACTCAATTCATAGGGAAATTTATTTATACCTCGTTTTGGTCTAGTTTTAGTGATATATTGATTGCTGTTCCCTTAACCATTTCAAACGTTTGATTGTTGACGGTGATAATAATGTTAGTTCAACATTCTGACTCCTTTCCAAAAAGTCAAATAGTTTTCTTGTTCAACTTTTCCTGTCAACAAAATCAAGTTGAATCTTGTTCCTTTTTTTCATAATGCAAATTTAAATGCAACTCTTAACCGAATCAAAAATAGTTTGCTACTTTAATATCATTGTTGATTGTTCAAATTATTGATCAGTTTCCAAGTATAAAGTAAATCTAATGGTAAAAGGAGAAATGATTTGCAATTTTAAAGGCCTAATCAACAATGTTAACTTGTTTCCAAATGTTGAACCATTAATTAATCAAATGAGCAAAAATGCTGAACTCTATTTTAAGATGCTTTTTCAACTTATTTAACCAACATCTTTAATTGTTAGCTAATATCAAGTTTGCCAAGAAAAAATTACAAAATATTATTCTCTCTCTATTCAACTGCATTTGAATGATTAAAGAGATTCCAACCTGAGTCCAATTTAAAGATAATAATGATCAACACAAATTACATTTTTGAATACATTTGCTCAGAATTCTCAGAATATTCTCGGTAGGTTTTCATTTAAGCTCAATTAATCTTAATGAGATGCAAATCAATCAAACAGCTAAATGTTGAAATTTTTTCATTGAAATCATCAAAGTCAAGGTTTCCTTCAACTTGTTGATTCAATATTGATCTATGAGCTTAAATTGTCATTTCTTTGAGAATATCATTTTGCTACAAAGATTTATCACTTGTTAATGATAATTGTTAATTTCTGTAGCTTTGTTTTCACCCCTTTTTACAAGTAATTTGATTGATTATATTGATTGTCACGGACTGGCAAAAAATCGCAAAACATTGACTCATGTGTGACAACTAGCTGATGGAATCTGTCATGTTTGATCACTTAGAACTTTCTGATTGCTTCTGACTTCTTCATCTTCTAGGCTCATCTCTTGAAAATTTGATTTTAATTTTGGTTACAGTTAACAACTAGATTGGTCTATTTTAAGAGCAGTGTTGATTAAGGATCCTTTTTGTTGAATGTATCCAAGATAGGTTGGCGCACGGTTAAAGGAAATCTTTTGTTTCTTTTGCTTATGAACCCCACGAATTTCAATGAATTAATTGAACTGGAATTCATTTTAACACAAGATTTTATTATCTTATTAGTCAATCTATTGATTGACAACAATAAAATAGGCACAAGTGATTTGTGTTTAAGTTTGGTGTATTGTTAACCCAACGAATCATCTGAGCATAATCAACATCTTGATAATTTTATCAATAGTGATCAAATGTGACAATTGCTGATGCCAAGTGTCTTTTACAATTAAAATATTAAAAAAAACACACACGAAAGTCAAACTAATGATGAATGAAGATGATCATGTTGAAAGATTATGTAAAAGAAGCTCGTTCTCGGATTAACTTTTTGATTCTCTTATAGTCTCATCTCGTATCAAATCCTTCAATTGTAATCCACTTTAGGGTTAGAATTAAATCACAGATTGGGTAGATTGGTTGTATTGAATTAACTGTATCCATGACCAAAAAAAGAAAGGCAATGCGAAAAAATGCATTGTTTCAATCATCTGGGTTGAAAGACTCCATGTAAAAATGTACAAACTGCTAAGGCATTTGATGTTGTGGACGCGATGGCTGTTGCTTTTTGGCTATATCAATGTAGTAATTTAAGTAAATGTCCTGGCTTAATCAAACATCTTCAGGAAAATCAGGTAAGGTTTCAGCTACATAATCAATGTGTCCTTGTAGGAAATAAACAGTTAAAACGGTTGGAACAATGAGTAGAAGCCAAACAGGGAAAACAATGTAACGAATATCTGGTTCACCCATACAAACACGAACTAATTCAATAAGGAAATTAACAGTAAAATATGCACATAAGATGACAAAAGCAATTTGAAATAATCTTAAAATGGGAATCAATTCTTTCTTTAATCCTTGTAGGAATAAAATACAAGCAAAAAGTCCAATGATACAACCCGATCCTACATAATCATAATCATAGATGGTAGCATATATGGCAAAAATGCATAAGATGACACATTTGTAGCAACACAAAACGGTTAAATAAAAACTTTCTTTTGATGAACTCATTGGTGAACGATTTTTACAGTTAATGGCATTTAGCGAACTCAATGTTGTTATGCTACCAGAAACACCACCGGGTAGCTGTAAAGTTTGTGGTGTAAGATGATGACTTGGGGCGGCTGTTAAATAAACCATAATAAACAAAGTGTATGGAACCGATCAAAGACAACCAGATTCACTTGGATATTCAATAGGTTTGTTTTTATATTTTATCTTCTTCTTTTTAGATGAATTTTTTTCTTTGTTTTTGTTGTTGGTGTTGGTGTTGGTGATGATGAAAACGCTGGCAATCTTGGCTGGGATGATGATCTCTGAAGTTTACGGATTTGCATAAGGATGCACTCAATAAGATAATGTTGATGATCTCTCCTCTTTTCTCTCTTCTCGTCATCTCTTCTCCTTCATCATCCTATTCTGTATCTATCTTCACTTTATTTATACAAAAAGTAAGTTTACTGCAACTAACTTGGTTTCAATTCAAATTATACCCCTGTTAACCATCTTTTGCACATTTCTCTGTCTCTAAGGATGCTTTTGGTTTCAGAAGCTGCGCTCTGTCTCTTTATCATCGACTCTTCCTCGACATAAACTTCATTCTCATCGTTTTTCTTTTTCTTTTAACCTCCTCCTCTCTTCTTCTCTATCTTCAGGTTTCTTTTCTGCTCAGCCTGGCTCGTTTTTCCTCACAAGAACTAAGGAACACAAAAAGATGTGGAAAGGAATCAAAGATTATAATCTCAGGAAGAAAGTCACATTCGTTTGGACATTTCTATTCTTTGTTTTCAATGGCGTTATCATACGTGTTACTGATCAATAGTCAAACATTTTTGGTTGTTGAAAGATAGCGAGGGAATGAGAATATGTTTTATTTTGGAAAACTTTCAACTTTATTTCAGCTGTTGCATTCCATGCAACCATGTTAATCTTTTTCTAAAAAATTACAAAATAATGAAAATAATTTTAACAATATCAACAATTTTAACAAACCTAATCAGTATTCAGTGAATGGTCAACAATTGAGCCAATTTCTCATAAAGCTTTGCCTGAACGGCTGTACCTTGCTGTCTATAATAAATAGTGCTGATGTCAACTCAGCCCAACATTGGATGTTGTCATTTAATCTGCTTTCAATGTCATTCCACTCCATCTTAACGCTGTTTACCGGCCTTTGGTCTTAGACGAATTTCACGACGACAGTCATTGCAAGACAAGCAATTTGCTTGTTATTGTGGGTAATCTCCATGTCCAAAGTATAATCACCCTGCAAAGGAAAATAATTGAAATTACAATTGATCAATCGACATATGTTTGAAAATTTGCAGAGACTATTGGCAAGATTCGTTTGCTCAAATTTTATCGGTTTACTTACATTTCCAAGGGATAGTATAGCTGTTGGAATAAGGGTGAAGGGAAGCTGGTAGTTAATATCTGCTGCATTGTAAACACCTGGGGCTGAAGGACAATTACAATCGTGACCAGCGGCCTCGAGGATTGTGCAAACAAGTTTTTTATGGATTTTGAAAATGTCACAAAGGCTAGCTTCGCAAGAACCAATACCATTGATACAAGGAACAACAACTGGTAACTTATTTCCAAAGATGTTCAATATCTTTTTAATTTTAATGTTAACTTGTGAATCGGCGGGAACTTCAGCGGATTGTGTAGCATTGAGCGATACTTTGACTGGAGTTGTTTTACCAATTCTGACTACATCCTCTAAACCAATATTGCGGAACCTAACAATGGCATCGTCTGAACCACAATCTCGCCATGTTGTCTTGAATTTTGACTTCTTTGCTTCAACCAAATCACTTGAAATGGTTAAAGTCATCACCAACAAAGTAAAAAACAACATTGTAAATATTAATTTAAAATGGAGGAATGCTTAGCAAAGGAACAGAATTAGGAAAAGCAAAAGGATTGAAATGAAAAACTGAATGATTTTTGTTCGATGGTTACTTTGGTTAATATACTTCTGATCAATGTACGATTCAATAGATTTAATGAGCACGTGGTGCAACTAAAATGACAATTAACGCCTCTGATTAACTTAGAAAGATTACGAGAGAATTATTTTGCATTGTTTTACATTGATTCATTTTATTGAGTAATTTTATATCATAACTAGTTGACTTTTTTAAAACCTTGACAATGAAACAAAAAGATTAACTCTGATTTTTAACCATTTTGATTGATAATCAGCTAATCACGATCATATGGTATATAATGTTCAATGTATAATAATATATTTTGAGATGTATTGTAATTAATAAACAGAAGACATTTTAGTGGAATTTTTTCGAATGATTGTAGTCTCATTTTTAATGTTTCTGATTCGTTAACAATTGTATGTAATAGTAAACTGATTGAGTTGGTTGCTGGTTAGCATACTTTGTTTGATTATCAATCCAAGGTAAAAGATGATAAAATCAAGATATATAATAAATGATTTGGAGTTCATATAAACTCGACAGAAAATATCAAATACAAGTTAATTTGCTACGCTGTTGTAATTTCACTGATTTAGCTGTGAGTCGACGAGATGTTATAATAATGCACTTAGCGAAAGTAACTTAAATCGTGAATTCTATTGAAAAAAAAGGTGAAACTCTAGAGCAAATCATGTTTTCTACCAATTATAACCAATATGATTTTACATGAGTCAAACATTAGTATTCTGGTACTCTGATATGAGTACTCTGGAACTTTACCCCTGTGCATTAGATCACATATCAACTTTTTCGGACCAAGATCAAATCATGTTTCTTAAATGTATATGTTGAAAAGTATCAAGACACTTTTTATTTGTGATTTATTATCTTGTTACTGAGCTGCTGATTTGTGAATTATGTGTAAACCCTTTTATTGTAGTTCATATGTTTCGCCCTGAATAAATTTTGATATCTCACGGTAAATAATCATCTTTGCTTGAACTAAATTCAAGAGTGAAGCTGAGAAAAATTTTGAATGTTGTTATTGAAAGGCCACAAAAATAATGGTTGTTTTCATGGGCTCGTTTCATGCTCCTCTTCACAAACAAGGAATCTTTTGTAGTGACAATTTTCAATTATTGAAGAGTATGAAATTTTAGTACAGAAAGATTTCAACTCTATTAGCTTTCAATAGTTTATCCACTTAATGACCGTAGCTGATCAAATGGGCATATCAAAGAGTCTCAACCAAAAAGATCCATCATAGCAATATGGAAAATTATATTTTCGGGTTTTGTCAGGATCTTTCTAAGATCACTTACATGCCAGCTTTCAGAAACATATTTAATATCGATTCACCTTATTCTTTATTGTTTTCTGGTTTTGTCTTCAGTCAAAAAAATTTGCAATATTTCAATTATTTTAAAGAAAGAAAGTGAATATAACAGTTATTGTCTTTGAGTATTTATTGTCACATATTTCGACTCGTTTTTGGTTAATTCTTGCTTGACAATTGATTATCTAAAGCCTAAAGCTTCCATTTCCTATGAACTTGACACTGACTCTTTCTACTTCCATTTTGGACTGTTTGAAAAGTTAGCCGAAATATCTTGTAAATCAAATGAGATTCTTAGAGTTTGATTAGTCTCTGTAGTCAGTAATCAAGGAAATATTAGACACGTAACATTAGGCATAAAGAATTTATGTTCAGATGAAAATAAAAACTTTTACAATTGATTAAAATCAGCAAAAAACATAATTGTGTGCTTCTCATTTAGTTTCTTGGTTCTCAATTACAATAATCACTCAATCATTTGATTGAAAGGATTTCATCTTTCAAATTATAAACAAAATTGATTGAACCAGTTTGTTATCCTTTTAAAACATTTATATTTCTAAAATAAAGGGCAGAGGTGATGTTAATCATCAAAACATAAAAACAAAAAGGATGAGCAACATAAAATAATACAAGAGACAACAGTTTATCACCGGGTAAGGCTTCTCATGGAATTGATTAGACCTTTGACGAAGAATATATTATTTCATAAGATGTTACATAATTTAATATTTTTCATGTCTTTTGGTGCTATCTTTAATCCTGTTGCTTGATATTTTGCTTTGCGTAGTTCCAATCCCAAGAAAATATGGCCTTTGATAGACGAACAATTGTTTAAGATTATCTGTTTAACAGTGAAAATGAATAGGGAAAGTTATAAAAGAAAGAGAATGAAAGGGATAAAAAGTAAATAATGAAAGAGACGTAGAAAAAAGAAGAATTGAAACAGATTCAAATCAGCAAAAAAAATTAGGTAAAAACTGTCTTGCTCATAGATATTTTTTGAGTATGTTGGAAGGTGAGTAATATTTTGAATTTTCTTAGTTTAACCAAATTATGAGACTCTTAGGATTGTTAATTTAGCATTTTTGTTTGACGATTGGCGAATAGATTTGCCTACAGGCAAATAATAATGTGTGTGTGTGTGGGAGAGTGTATATACATATACCATACATAGATACACACGCACTGTATATAATCACATTGGATATAATCGTGAATTTCATCTGATAGTGATAACAGAATAATGGAGTAGATTGGCGAAGGAGATTTTCTGTTCTGAGTAACGTTGAGTAAAACCATAGAAAAGTGAATCTTTGCTTTGTTGGATGGAGAAAAATGTGCAGATAAAACATTATCTTGGATATGTTGATTGATCAATAACAGTTCCAAGACTCGTTTTTTGCTTGTAGACGTTTAAAGATGTGTAAAGTTGAACAAAAAAGAAAAAGGCGAAAAAATTGTATGGAAAGGAAACTAAGAAAAGGAATGATAATTAAATTAGGGCAAAAATATAGATAAATATGGGGAGTTTTCTGAGAAAATTGAGAAAAACTTGTGCATAAACATGAAATAGACCGGGTTCAATTGGACATTCGTAGAAGTTAGATTAAAGATGAAAGGGTGAAGATAGATGAACTCCGCATCTTTTCTTGGTGTTTTATTAGATTCAAGTATGGCACTCGCCTTCACATAAAAATTTGCCCTGATTACTTGTATTCACATTGCACTTTTGAAGTTGATTATTTTGTTGATTTTCCGTCCAATAGTTGGCTAGTTTTGGGGATATGCAGTAGAAGATGTTGATTTTAAGCAGGTAATTTAAAACACAAATCGATATCATTCACTAGATAATGCATTAAGTTCTTCATGGATCCTTTGAAAGCAGTCATACATGAAAACAAACTACAAGAAAAAATAAATAAGAGAATAAAAATTAAGAAATGCTATAAAAAGTTAATTTTTCTTAACATACATAAGGTGTCTGTATCCTTATTAGCCGAGGCTTTTTATCTGGTCGGCAATATTGAAAAGCAAAAAATAGTCCTTCTTCGTCTATCTCCCATGATTTAATATGATCCCATGTAAACTCAATGACTTGCGTCTATTAAAAGAAATTTATAATTAAATTTAATATATGTAATCGATCAAAAAATGAAAATACAAACCTCAGCTGTGCCATCCTCTTTACAAGCTTGAAGTTTAAGACTGTTAAAACTAATTGAAGCAATTACATGACCAACTTTACGGGCATCACATATACAATATGGAAAAGAAATTTCACCATAACCTTCAAGTTGTCGTGCTAGAGCGAGATACTAAACGAAAAAGAATAAAGAAATTAATTACAAAGGTTGAAATAATTAGGAATAGTAAAAAATAATGTACCTCTTTTCTTTTAGTATAATCTTGCAATGCTTTTAATTCGTATAATTGATTACCAGGTTTGATTTGTCCTTTGTTGACATCATCTACAGCCTTTATTGGAGAAAAAAATGTAAAAGAACGAGATTAAGAAATTGATCAATCAATCAACAAATCAAAATATTTTGAAAAGCAAGAGTGATTTACCTGCCAGTAGAAGTAACTTTCGGCTAATGGGTCTTCACTCAGCTCGATTTCTTTATCAATTGAAAAAAGCCATTTTCTAACTGCAAGACATGTAGACGTTGCGGTTGAATAATTTTGAATGTACAAATTATGAGGAAATTCATTAGACTGAAGTTTTCGTTCAAAACCATATTCGACAATCTCAAATAAATCAAAGTAAGGTGATACTTTGGGTGATAAATTAATCTTTTCAATCACAGATTTGAGTACATGAGCTGCTGTACTATTCTTGCGTACTGTTACAACGATGGTTGATCTATCGGGAAGCAGTATCTTTAGATCAACCATAGCAATATTTCCTTCCTATAAAGAAACGATAAATAAATTTATTAGATTAATTGAAAAATCAAAATCTTAAATTTTCAAATTATAAAAGTACTTACTCGTTCATCATCAAAATCGGTAAGAAATTCTTGCATAAGATCACTTTCAGCGATAACTCGTACAGCGCAAACCTTTTCTAAATATTGCTCTAACCCTCGTCTTCGAGCGTCAAGTTGTTGGTCAGATAAAGCAAATGGCCATTTACCAGGTAATTTAGGAAATTGGAAATCTTGAAATTCTTTTCTTAAGCTATTGTGCAGATTTGAAAATTCCCGATATCTTCTTGAGCACAAATGTCTTCCAGCCATGTAAATGTTGAACACAACAAATTTATGGCCATTTCGCTCAATGTAGTTGTAATCGGGTATAGATATGGGTAATGATCTCTTCTCGCTGTAATCGTAATAGGTAAAGGCAGAAACATCATCTCCTGGATCCAGTTTCTCAGCTTCCTGATTAGGTGAGTATAAAGAATTGACAAAATGTTAAAAAACATGATGTTTGAATCGAAGCCAATGACATACCCTCGGAGTAACAGAGATGACTGTCAATGTCAATGTATCACCACCTGATTTGATGAGGTCGACAACTCTTTTGTGAGTCGCTCCTTCAACGTTAACACCATTCCTGAAAAATAATTATGATAAATTATAGTTAAATAATGATGCAAAAGAGGAAATAAGGCATAATACCGAGGTCAATGAAAATTTCAAAAGTAAAATGATTGAAAGTCATGTGAAAGAGAAAATAAAAACTGCAATTCACTTACACTTCTAGAATACGATCACCTTTACGAACACCCGCTTTCTCAGCCGCCCCACCTTCCAAAATTGCTGAAACATGTTGCAATGGTGCATACAGCTCACCGTTAATACTACGCAATGGTCCGCCTTCACTAACTTGTCCTCTTACATTGAAACCAAATCCCGAATCAATTTTGTGAATGGTAACAACTCGTGGACCAGCAATAAAGGTATCTTTTTCAGAGCTTGTGTCACTCATGTTGTAAACCTTTGTTGTAACTACAGGTAAAGTTTATTCAATGTAAACCACTATCCATTAAGAGAGATCAATAAATCCTTCAACTCTTATCTAGATACGTTCAGCATAACTATTGATCACTACCTATGTAAACAATACAAATGCCTTTAGCTTTAAAAAAAGAAGGTTGGGTTAAATATAAGAAAATGAGAGAGGAGAAAAAAATTAATTGCCAAGGGTCACAATAAATAAATGTAGATGTGTTAATTAATAGAAAAATTATCTTACCGGTGAATAAAAATGGATTGTCACAGTGAAAGATTAATTTTAAAATGAGGAAACACTTTAAGAATGGATGTTAGAGAACAGGGAAAGAAAATTTGCAATTACAAGGACATGGCGATTGAACGAGTTTTATGGAAGTCAACAACTGGTCATCATAGCGATGATAAAATTTGGTCAAGAATAAGGTTTCAATAATGCTGATACAGGGGATGAACCAAAGATAAATTGTTTATCAGCAATGTGATTAATTAACAAAAAGAGATACAGAGATGTATTTACAAGTTAGGAACCAGAAGAATTTTTAAAGGCTGACTGATTGTCTATGATGCAGGGGGCACTTGCAGACAGAGGGGAGTGAAGAGAGAAGGAGAAAGAGAGAAAGAGAAGTAGAGATGTGAGGAAGAGAGAGAGTAAAAAGGAAAGGAAAAGTTAAAAAAATAACTAGACATTCAAACACATTTCATGATGTATAAACTTTCAATTAATTTCTAATCAAAATTCAGTTTTTATCTCCGGTTATTACAGTTAGTAATACTGATTGTTTAAATATTGGAATCTCTATCTATAACTTTCCAGCTGATTCCAAAGACTGTATATTACTCACTCTTTCTGTCTGTGTGATTCAACTGTGGTTTCTCTGGAAGGTGTTTTGTGTCATTTTATTTGCCAATGTTTATACCTTGCAACCTATTTCCATAGATGATAACAACAACGCCTTCTTTCAGTTGTTAAAAAGAATCATGATAACGATGATCACGATTGCGATTAGCAGCATTTACCAAATAACTTGGTTTCTTCGAGCCATACTTCTATCATTAACTTGTATAAATTAGTGTTAATTAGTAGAGTTTCAGTTTCTTCACAAGTCAATATAGAGATATTGATAAGCATAAAAGTGTGTTGACCAAATAAAATTGTTACCTAGATTCTAGATGAATGATTTATCGCAATACCTGATACCTAGCAACCAACAATGCATTCTACAATTCAAACCATGGTTTTTAAAAGGTTGATTATCCATGAATATTTAAAATCTGTTGATTAGAAACCGTCAAATAGATGGATTGAAATTCAAAATGAGACAATCACTATAAAGAAATAATGATTGAAGCACATGATTAAACTGGCCAAAATTTGGGAATCACAGTTTTGAGTTAAATAGGCAACGACTTAAATATTTGGAAATCTTGGTAATTGTTTTCTTATAATTGTTAAGCATTTATAATCAACCAGAATTTACTTCATGACAGCTTTAAAAATTTATTTAGATATCTGATTCTCAAATTCAGATCCGATGAGGATCAGGTCTTATTGAGTCAAATTGAATTTGATTGTTCAATCGATAGTATCGATTTGTCTTTTATGAAAAAAATACAAAAATCTTTACAAGTGTTGAACGGTTCAACTTGAACGATTATTAGACTTATGATCGATCAAAGTTTTTCTTTAATGTGCTCAAAGTTTTCCTCATTGATAACAACACAAAGTAAGTTTGAAGGACTCTATTTCATGGGGAAAAGGTGGCAATAAATCCAAGTCAATGGTATTATGCGATGAAAATGTGACGAAAATGGTAAAGAACTGATCTGGTGATTTTGAATGGACTTTATCAAAAACCTACCTAGAGACGGTTGTAAGATTGATTCGCTTTGTTTTATTAAATCATAAAAACACTAAGTTTAATACGATTTAATTATCATTATATTCGTATTAAGCAATTATTAAACATCTTATCATATCGTAATGTGAAGCAATTGTGTTCAGTAATAAATGATTCTGGTGTGGTTTCAATTGTGTGAAGTTGCTCTCAGTGCTACTTCTGTACGCTTTAATTGCTTTCAAAAAGATGACAAGTAAACCAAGATACCGTTTCCTTATTTCAAGTATTGATGCGTAAGTATTTAATTTCATCAGTTTACTAATTATCTATCAATTATATTAATAATGAATATCTATTGCACATAGATTTGGGCACATCAACTGTATTTTGGCTTTCGGTGAAATCCTAGCTTTACATGGACATGAAGTAACCTTTGCTCATCGTCAACATTACAAAAAACTTGCCGATTCACGAAACTTCAAATTTATTTCTTTTGATGAGACAATCTTTGAAAACATTGATTCTTCTGCCATCGTTAAATGGTTTGATGGACTGTTGCATAAATTTAGTGTAGATGCTGGTTCAATTTTTGACAATTGGACACCAGATGAGATTAATTTTTTTGGCTCAAGAGTTGATGTTTATGATCGTGGAAACCGTGCCTTGGAAGCTATTCTCAAACAAAATGAAAAAAATTTCGATATGTTTATTGGTGATTTCGTGATGAATTATCCACTTTTTCATCGGGCAACTATTCCTTGCGCATTACTCCTCTCAATGAACCCGGTCGCTCTTTATCCAAATGGACCACCAGCATGGTCAGGATTTTCTGTGAAGGGTGACAAAAAACTCTGGGATCAATTCAGAATGTCGTTTGCCAAAGCTTCTAGTGTTATGCGTGAAAAAATATATTCCTGGTGGAAATCGTATGAGGTGCCTTTCCCTACTATTCAAGATTCACGGATTGAAAATTGGTTGTATGCTGAACCTGAACATCTTGGTTTTTATCACTATCCTGACCTTCTGGATTACCATGAGATCGGTCCAATAAGATCAGATAAATGGATGCGTATTGATCGCGTTATTCGTCGACCAGAAAATAATGAGCCATTCAATATTCCAGAATCCCTGAAGTCTTTACCAGGAAAGCTGATTTTCTTTTCGCTTGGTTCAATAGGCTCTGTTCAAATAAATTTGATGAAAACTTTCATTAAAATCCTATCAAAATCTCCTAATCGTTTCATCATTTCCAAAGGGCCTAAAGGAGACGAACTTGAGTTGGCACCAAACATGTGGGGTGAAAATTATGTCAATCAACTCGCTATCCTTGAAGCTGTTGACTTGGTTATAACACATGGAGGAAACAATACGTTTTTAGAGACAATTCATGCAGGAAAACCTTTGATTGTGGTTCCGTTTTTCATGGATCAACTTGATAATGCCCAAAGAGCTGTCGATTGTGGAATTGGATCTCGAATTAACCTTTGTGATTTGGATGAGACAAAATTGCTAAAAACTATCGAGGAAACATTATCCAACATCGAATTTGCTGAAAAGATAGCCAAAATATCTGATTCTATGAAATCAACAAAAAGCAGAGGAAATGCTGTCAAGAAAATTGAAAGTTTTCTAGAAGAGTATCAAAAAGATGCAAAAAATAAAAATTCTGATCTTGTACAGTCAAATTGAAGCTTGCTTCAGAAACTAAAGTTTGTAAAATTGAAGAAATAAGTTAATAAAGATCAAATCCCTTCATTATTTTAAAAACTTTATATATTTAGTTGATATCTTATAAGCATATCTTATACATGTACATTGAGGTTGTTACTAAAAGACACAAATAAGCAACGATTGCTGCATTTATGTATAAAATGGACAAAACACTGAAAATAAAATGGGCAAGAACGGCTAAAACTAACTTGTTGCAAATTTAGAGTCTGTTAGTTTGTAGGAAATAGAAAACTAAGTCAATTAGGGTGATTTAATTTTCTCGGGTCCATATTTTTCGAATAAATCGACTTTAAAGTTGAAACTTCAATCGCCTTTTGTACGATCATGGCAGCACATTTCGACAAGGAGCATATTATTCGTGTATGCGAATTTCTGTAAGCATTTCGTTCAAGTTAAATCAAATTTAGGTAACAAACATTAGATCCATTGTATACGGTCCTAAGAAGTACTTGAAATGAACATTTTCGCAGAGAAATTGGACTTTTAAAGGACTTAGCAGGCCCAAGATCTTTGCTAAACTGATGCCGAAACTTTCTTAAAGGTCTTAAAGCTAATAGTAATAATTTCATTCAAGTCTTAATGATATAATGGGTTAATACAATACGTTTGTTACTAAAAAGACACAAATAGCAACAATTGATGCTTTTATGCACAAATTGAAACAAGTTGACAAAACATTGAAAGTAAAATGGGCGAAAACGGGTAAAAATTGTCTTCTTGTAAATATAAATTCTGTTAGTTTGTAGGGAATTGAAAACTGAATCCATTAGTACAGATCAAAAACTTCTCAGATAAATATTCTTCGAGGAAATCGAGTTCAAAGTTGAAACTTCGATCGCTTTTTGTACAACAACAGAAGCAGATTTCTTGATGAAACGTCGATGTGCAGATGTTATTTTTGATGCTGAATTAGAAAATGAACTTATTTTTAGAAATAAAATTTCACATTTTCTTTAAAACAGATAAGTTCGATTTTCACTTAAACCGCACTTTTTTAGTGACCGTGTAATTTAGAGATCTTAAACTTGTGATTCATCCATAAAAATTAGTTAGAGACACCATGGACTCAACGATTTGTTCAATTCATCAACAGTTTTCTCGATTTTGGCCATAAATCGGAAAACTTTGAACCTCGATATTTCGAGAATGGTGGCACCTACAATCATCATTCTATGACCAAACAATACATTTTATTATGGACTAAAACATATTAAACTATTGTATTATTCAAGATCCGTCAAAAACCGTAATAGCATTGCATTGCATATGTTGTCAAATTGAAAATTTATTCGTAAAGTTGAATAGTTACTCAAACACAAACCTTGATTGTTGAAAGGATATTCATTATTGAAAAATTTGTGTTATACCAAATTAATGTTCATTATAAAATGTATTGTTTGTGCAAAAAATGTTGATTGTGGGTGCTACCATTCTCGAAATATCGAGGTTCAAAGTTTTCCGATCCATAGCCGATATCGAGAAAACTGTTCATCAATTGAAAAAATCGTTCAGTCCATCGTTTGACCAACTAATTTTTATGGATCATAAGTTTCAGATCTCTAAATCACACGGCCATAGAAAAAGATCGGTTTAAGTGAAAATCGAACTTATCTGTTTTACAGAAAATGTGATATTTTATTTCTAAAAATAAGTCCATTTTCTGGTTCACCATCAAAAATAACATCTGCAAAATGAGTTTCACTAATGCACCTACTTCCGTTAATGCATAAAAAGCGATCAAAGTTTCAACTTCGAACCCTATTTTCTCGAAAAATATAGATCGGAGAAGCTTTCGAACCATACTAATGGATTTAGTTTTTAATTCTCTACAAATTATCAGAATAAAAATTTGCAAAAAGTTAACTTTCACCCGTTTTTGCCCATTTTTCTTACAGTCTTAATACATTATTATGTTAAAACATTGGGTTTTGTTGCTAAAAAGACACAAATAGCAACAATTGTTGCTTTTATGCACAAAATGACAAAACCCTGAAAGTAAAATGGGCAAAAACAGACAATAATTAACTTTTTGCAAATTTAAACTCGGTTAGTTTGTAGGGAATTAGAAACTGTATCCATTAGTACAGATCAAAAACTTGTCAGATCAATATTCTTCGAGAAAATCGATTTCGAAGTTGAAACTTTGATCGCTGTTTGTACGATAACGGAAGCAGATTTTTTGATGAAACTTGATTGTGCAGATGTTATTTTTGATGGTGAACCAGAAAATGGACTTAATTTAAGAAATAAAATATCAGATTTTCTTTAAAACAGATAAGTTCGATTTTCCCGTAAACCGAAATTTTTTGGTGACCGTGTAATTTAGAGATCTGAAACTTATGATTCATCCATAAAAATGAGTTGGTCAAACGATGGACTGAACGATTCTTTCAATTCATCTATAGTTTTCTCGATTTTAGTCATTGATCGGAAAACTTTGAACCTCGATATTTCGAGAATGGTGACATCCACAATCATCATTTCTTGCTCAAACAATACATTTTATAATGAACAATAATGTAATGTGACTGAAAATTTTCAATAATAAATATCCTTTCAACAAACTAGGTTATTGTTTGAGTAACCATTTAACTTTACCAATGAATTTTCAATTTGACAACATATGCAATAAAATGCTATAACTTTTTTGGACGGATCTTGAATAATACAATAGTTTAATATGTTTTAGTCCATGATGCAATCTAATTTTAGGTCATAGAATGATGATTTTAGGTATCACCATTCTCGAAATATCGAGGTTCAAAGTTTTCCGATCAATGACTAAAATCGAGAAAACTATAGATGAATTGAAAGAATCGTTCAGTCCATCGTTTGACCAACTCATTTTTATGGATGAATCATAAGTTTCAGATCTCTAAATTACACGGTCACCAAAAAATTTCGGTTTACGGGAAAATCGAACTTATCTGTTTTAAAGAAAATCTGATATTTTATTTCTTAAATTAAGTCCATTTTCTGGTTCACCATCAAAAATAACATCTGCACAATCAAGTTTCATCAAGAAATCTGCTTCCATTATTGTATAAAAAGCGATCGAAGTTTCAACTTTGAACTCGATTTCCTCAAAGAATATTGATCTGAGAAGTTTTTGAACCGTTCTAATGGATTCAGTTTTTGATTCCCTAAATTTAAATTTGTAGGAAGTTAATTTTCACCCGGTTTTGCCCATTTTTGTTTCAGCGTTTGTCAATTTGTGCATAAAAGCAACAATTGTGTCTTTCTAGTAACAATCTCAATGTTTCAGCATGTTATTTCATTGAGACTCGAATAGAATTATTAATAATAGTTAAAAGACCTTATAGGAAGTTTCGGCACCAGTTCAGCGGAGATCTTAAGTCTTGTTTTTGTCTAAAGCAATCAAATTAATATTTATTTTACTAATTCCAAGTTTCTTCCCAGATTCGTAAGATTCACTGAATCCATAGTATCCTTATGTATCTGATCTTAGATCCGATATTTTATAAAATGTAAACAACATGTGTAACAAGTTCATCACATTTATTATAAATTTGGTTTTAATTTTTTGTATTATTGGTTAATCATGCTCGTTTCTCGTTTTTCGATTAAATCTGTAACTAGTCCACTAACGTGCAAATTATGTCACCGCAGTTTTCGTCTATCAGTGCCTAATGCGTATCTTCCCTCTCTTGCTCAAATTTCAACCAGAAATGTCGACCGTTCATCCAATTTTAATAAACTTACCATAATTTCGAAGACCAGACAATATTGTAATCGTGAAGTAGATGAAAATTTACCGTAAGTTTTACACTTTATTGTCGAATCTATAGCCTTTAAATTCTAGTTAAAGATTATAATTCCCAATCTCATCGTTTATGCTTTTACTTGTTTCTTTTCTTTTAGGCAACCTGCTTATTCACGTTTTGCTGATCAATATCGTCTCAAGGCTGAAGAATTAAAAAAGAATCTTTCTAAAACCACTAGGCTGGACAAGCTTTTCGAATTAATCTATGACAATATCGATTATGTTGGCCGAATCAACAGTGGTGTTTTCATTTCTCGGTTGAGTCACTTAACTGATCCTAGAGAAAAGAATCACAAAAAATTGACTCTAAAGCAGATTGACTTTTTAACAAAACTAGTCTTGGTTAACGTAAATGTCTTAGCTGATGCAAATTTATTATCTCTGGTTGCCATTATATTAAGCCAAAAGCTTTCTGATGATCATAAATTAACTACCACAACTCTACATGAAATTCGTTGTCGTTTAAAGGACTTTGAAGTCACCAACTTAATCTGGCTTTGGAAACAAAGTGGTTTTAGGATGAAATCATCTGAAAAGTCCAAAGAATGGCGCCTGCTAAGAGAGGAAATTATTAATGTAGTTGAGAAAAAAGTAGAAAATTTTCATTATGATTTCCAGAATGTTACTGAGATTTCTCAATTGTCTCGTATCTTGCTGACCAAATCAAGTTCTATGCCTATCCTCAATGGTTTGATAAAAAATATAACTGTTTTCACCGAGTCTATCGACTATGGCTTGGCGTGGGCTTTATTGGTTCAATTGTCATCTCCATATCGACGATTTGGACGGATCGAATCGAAAGATTTAGACACGATCTACAACAAATGTTTCCAAGTAATCCAAGACCAGTTTTACGAAAATAATTTTCAGATGGACACTTATGTCAAAGAATTTTTTCTTGATCGTATGGTTGAATCGCCTCAATTTATGAAATTGCCATACAATCAATCTTTTTTTCAAGCGCTTAAAAAATTAGTGAAAAGAAACCAAAAATACTTGGAACCCAAAAAATTCAGTAAATGTCTGGATTTCTTCGGTTTTAACCGATATTATCCTGCTGACCTGATGCAAAGTTATTGTACCTGGATCACAGATCACCCGGATGATTATTTGTCTGACCCAGAACATAATCCGACAAACTTGGTTAAATTGTTCAGTGAATCAAGATTTTTTGAAACAAAGAAAGATCAATGGAACAACTTCTCAAAGCTTTTATTGGATCCGGCAAAAATAACTTGCCTCAGTCAGATAGATAAATTTCAATTACTTTCATATTTGATGATTATGAACGATTATTCTCATCTACAAAGTTTCTGTCCTGAATTCGATGGATTACTTGAAAAGATGAACCTTCAGAGGAGTTTATGTAGATCATATTTGCATATTTATGCAGGTTTATCCAAAGAGGAATCCAAACTGAATATAGAAGGGCAGCTAATTAAAAAATCCTTAGACAATTTGGCGAAGCGAGCTCGTAAATCTTCGATATTTCTTGATAGACCGGATAATAGTGATGATTATTTAGATGAGTTATTGGCAAACGTGTTTAGAGATCGTTCACTTTATTCTAGAAGAGTTTGGACATCAACATGCGTTTTGTTAAATTATGTATTTTTAGTGGATAAGAATGGCAATTTACACAAATTTCAGAGTCGAGGTAGAAATAATGTTGCCGTTTTAAATGACTTAGTCCAAGAACTAAATAATTTTCATGTGTAAGTAAAATGAACATCTTTCACAGTATTTTATCCTCACTAATTCATATGTTTTATTTGATTCTAGTTTTGTTCTATTCCCGATCGATGAGTCTCATTTTTGTCATGAACCATTAATTATGAGAGGAAAATATGATTTCAAATTATCAATGATTAGACACCACGGATTCATTCCAATAATCGTAAGTTTACCGACTAATTGTTTACATTTATTGTAAAGTGTGATTTTTTCAACAAAATTCATAACAATTTAACTAATCTGTATTATTCTCCTTTCTTTACAGATTGATAAAAGAAACTGGAAAGATCTCAATGAAAAACAAAAGATATCAATTTTGAATCGAGAAATAGAAAACGCTAAATCAAAATACATCGAACTTCCCAAATGACGTTTAGAAAGGCAAAGTAGGCATAAATAAGAATTGATTTCAAATTTTCTGTAAATTGAAGAGTGTGTATTTTTGTAACTTTACACAGAATAACAATGTTACAAAACGCCCTTTGAAATAACTTAGTCGTCCGTTATATTCTTACTGATAGGTCAATTAAATATGTCGATAGACAATGTGTATAATTTAAATGCAATGCTCGAGATTTTATTAAAAATGTTTTGTTACTCTCAAAGTTAACGATAAATCTCATATAAAATTTTTATATGATGCTATCGACTTTCTTTTAGTAGCAACACTTATACTGCTAAATCTTTATTCTTGCGTCTCTGAAATAATTCAAAATTCATGATATTAATTTTCCAGATTCGAGAATCTAGTCTTTTATTTTATTTATTTTCGATAAATCGCATAGTAATCGATTGTTAAATGTTTTGGCAAATATTGAGAAATTTGGAACCTAGATCATCAATAATATTGATTCAATATTTATAAGCAGAAGTTTTTTCGGTGTTTTGTAATATCTCTTCGTCTTGAAGCATCAGTCTTTGGTCCTGTTCGTAGTAACTGATTCCCTGTTTAGAAGTGTTCTAACATATTTTGTTACATTGAATTTACTATCAGTTTATTGTCAATTGGTGAAAATATGACTTCCAACAATGAAAATTTATTTAAAGACAAGTTGTTGCAAAAATTATCTAACAAAGATGGTTTGTACAGTAATGAATTTGACAAGCTGATTAACGATTTATTTACAGGTATTGTTGATTCAGAAGCGAAAGAAGTATTTCGAGCTTTTAGTCCGACCTCGCATGGCATAATGGCTAGAAAAGACCTCGAGCATATGTGGACTAATTGGCTATCATTGGTACTTGATTCAAAAACAGCTTTTCTGATAGTTGATGTTCAAAACGATTTCATCTCAGGTTCCCTTGCATTGGATAATCTTTCATCGAAAAAAGAACAATCCTGTGCGCAGATTATTCCACTCATAAATTCAATGATTGATACAATTCCATTTGAAGTGGTAGTTTATACTCTTGACTGGCATCCACCTGGTCATATTTCGTTTGCCGATTGTGCACATTTGCGACAAATCACTCAAATAAATGGCAGTAAAATTGAAAAAGACGCTCAAAAAACTATCCAACCTTTCGATAAAGTAACCTTTAACATTAACGGTCAACTCTTGGAGCAAGTCGTTTATCCTTCTCACTGCGTTAAAGATTCATGGGGAGCTCAATTGCATGAAGATTTAAAGATAGCTCCGAACTCAATGAAAATTTATAAAGGTACCAATCCAGATGTGGACAGCTATTCTGGTTTCAAGGATAATGAAGCTATCGAATGGACTGATCTAGATTACAAGCTGAAAACTAAAGGGATAACTGATGTTTACATTTGTGGCTTAGCGTATGATATTTGTGTTTATCACACTGCTTTGGATGCTTTATCATTAAATTATCGCACATTATTGGTCGAGGATTGTTGTGAAGGAACAAAAGAGTCCGAAGTGCAGCAAGCCCGGAAAGAATTGGAGGAAAATGGTTGTTTGATCGTTACTTCAACAGAAGCTGATAAAACGATTCGCGATAAAATAAAATCATGGAAAAGGGCGTACGAATTATTTAAAAAATTACCTCCAAGCGTCTTTATTAAAAATTAAATTGCCAATTTGAAATTGACGATTGAAAATTGATACCCCACTATTTTTAAAATAAGCACAAACCACAAAATGTATTATTTTTCTAGCTTGTCAGTCCGCAAAATAAACTATTTTTTATTAAATTACTTCTTTTAGTAAATTTTACAAAATTCAAGTCTAATCTTTGTTCAAATAAATGTATATCTTGTTGGCTTAAAAGCTTAAGCTTGTTAGCTTTATCCCAAAAGTTGTGCGCGATTAATTTTGATGCTCCATGACTCTCGTTACCATGAGAACTTTTTTTTAAAAAGCATAATTGGCAGAAAGCATTGAATGATTTGTTTTTATGTCACCGTTTTAAATTCCTAACATATGAGCTAAAGTTATGTCAAATCGCCGCAAAGTGTTGAAAGATTGCCTTCAATATGGATTTTACAAGCAAAAAAGGATAAAAAAAGTGAAAACATCTTCTAAAGTGAAAGCAACTACAAAAAAACAAACCGACAAATTTTATTCAGTTGAGGAGATCCTTGGTCGACGAGTGTTTGAAGGAAAAGTGGAATACCTGTTGAAGTGGCAAGGATATCCTGACAGTTACAATTCTTGGGAAGACACAAGCAATATAACAAGTGATCTGTTGTACGAATTTGAATTGTCAACATCTCAATTTGAAAATATGTCCAAAGAAGCTAAAAGTCCCATTGTGCTCAAAGATGTTCCTGTCAAAATTTGGGACATCAGAAAAGATGCATCAGACGATCTAGAGTATCTCGTACAGTGGAAGAAGGAATCTGAATTAGAATGGGTCTCTGCTGTAATCATGAGAGAAGGTTATCCTCAATTGGTGATTGAATTTTATGAAAGAATTTCTTCCTTGGTTGATTGAACACACTAACGGTTCATTGTTTATTCTCATATTCATATCCAAATTTATTGTATTCTCATTTTTATATTTTTTTCAATTTAATTCCAACGTGCATTATCACTTAATTGTGTCAAAGAGTCTACCAAATGTATTAATATCAAGCAATTATAATAAAATAAGTTACCAAAAAAACACCTTCATTTCTTGTTAAAAACGCTATTTTGTAAAATACAAGATTTGAAAAGTGTGTGTTGTCAGGACTCCTGAGTCAGAAGACAACTTTCCTTTATCATCTGTTTTACCCGCCAATTTTATGTCTTGTGTTGTTTTTCTTTCAATAGTGTTTCAACTTGCATCAATAATATTTGTATCTTTGTTTTGGCCTTTTAATTAATCATTAAATTGTTTCAAAAATGGATGAAGATTTTTCTTCAATAAATCTCGTTGATTCTGCTGAGATTCTTAATGAATTCATTGAAGCTGGTGTCTACATTGCCAATGAAGATGTTGTGGAAAAATGTAAGTAATATCATAAACATTTTTACATGTCTTCGACTTTTTGGTATGGATTTTTGATTAATTTATTCATCTTTTAACTGTTTATATAGTGAAAAAAGTGAGTGTAGAGTATAATCTTACGCCTGCCGATCTTTATGCTCAATGGTTATCATACACAAACAAAAACCCCGGAGTTGAAAAATTAGATGCTGTTGTTGCTGAGGAGCTCGAAGCAAGGATTCACCAGAGTAGGATTAAAGCCACTCACCATAGTGCTACCAAGGCTAAATATATTCCCAAGATCAAACCTAAAATTGAGTATGATATATTGGAAACTTATGTGTCTCTCGGCAATATAAAGAAAGAGGTAAGGTTAGGTAGTATTTACTGTGTGTTAATACAAATTCTTGGTTTAAAATGCGTTACTAGTCTCATGTTCTTTACTTTTCTTCTCATAGAATGGCAGTGAAGATGCAAAAACTGATTTAGAGGAGAAATCTGGTGAGTCAAAATCGGAACCTGTAAAGATAAAAACAGAGCCGGTCGATGAGCCCATGCATGAAGATATATCCATTGATCACATAGAAAATGGTAAAGCAGAAATAAACACAGAAAAATTTCAAGCCAGATATATAAAAATAGAGCGTTCTGATGAACCAGAAAATCTTGTGTAAGTTATTTCTCATGCATCTTGAAACCAAAACTAAAAGTTTTTCTTTATAGAGAAAGCAAACGTGAATTCAAAGTTGATGAAGATGACGAATTGTACAAAAGAGAAGTCATTTGTGAATTTGGACAAGTTATCCCTTTCAAAGCATGGTTGGCCTTAAAAAAGGATCGGAAGCTCAACATAACACCATTCGATCATAATAGAAATTTATTAGCAGAAGAAAAATTCATGGATTGTAGTATAATGAAGAATGTTCGAGCAATGGATGCAATACATAATGAGTTGAGGCCCCTATTTTTAAGTGCCGACCGAGACCGTGTCATAAGCACTTTCGTTAATGCTGAGCCTGGAGAAGCAGCATTTTTTGGTAAACTTCGAATGGACGCAAAAGATGAGTTTGATGAGAAACTTGTTTTTCTACATGACGATAGTGAATGTAAAGTCCGCTTTCAACTCGATCTTACTCATGTAAAAGATTTTTCCATTTTTCCTGGTCAATTTGTCGAGATTGTTGGCGAGGCTGTGACAAAAGAAATTATTCGGGTCCAAGAAATCCATGATATGTCCTATTTAATTAGACCTTTTCCACCAGCTCCCACCTTTACTCATCCTATTAACATTGTCACTGCTTCAGGGCCTTTCAATACCCCTAACACTGATGATTTTTCGTTGCTCAAAAATCTACTTGAATACGTCTCAAGCTATCGTCCTGATGTTCTCATTTTATTTGGACCGATTGTCGAGATGACATCGAGTATGTTTGACTTCTTCTCTCTCTCCTTATTTAATGATGCTATGTGTTTGATTAGTGAGAAAGTTGTGGAAACTGGAACTAGAGTCATAGTAATATCTTCACCTAAAGAGTGGCACACTTTACCTTTATTTCCAACTCCGCCATACAATGGGTTCTGGACCAACATCGAGCTTTACCCCTGTCCATCTGTTATCGACATAAATGGTTTAATTATTGGATTGTCTTCTGTTGATATCATTTTTCATTTGACTAAACATTTATTGGAAAGGTTAGTTCAATCATCCATTAGAGATTTCTTCCGTTCATTTTTTAACCATTTCGTGATTTTTCATTTCAGTCGAAAAACAACCGAATCTGGAAATCGTATTAAACGTATCCTTAGACACATCGTGGCTCAGCACAATTTTTATCCTCTTTATCCAACAGCTGATGAAGTGACACTAGAGGTTCCCAAAATTGAATATTGCCGATTTATGAAAACACCGCATATAATAATTTTACCATCAACGCTTCGTAATTTCATTCATGTAAATCAATTGCCATTTTTCTTCTATGCAACCCGAAACTTTTACATTTCTAATCACTAATCCTATTTCTTTTTTTCTTTTTATTTGCAGTCTATTGAAGGTTGTGTCTTTGTCAATCCAGAAAGAATCAGAAAAAATACCATCGGTCGAATTCAAGTTTTCCCCGCTGCGAATCAAGGAGTTTCAACAAGCATTGAATCATCAATCAGTGCTCAAATCATAAAACTTTAAATCATATTGTTTTCATGATATTCCATTTTCTATAAATTTAATAATTGTGATGTGTCAATTTTAACATTTTTATGTCTACAGCAATGAGTAAGCAAACTCTTTTAAACATAATTAAATTCAAGTATTGAGAAAGATAATTTTTTATTCGTCAAAAAAGTAGTAAAATTTTTCCAAAATTACAATCATACCGGTTCATTGGATAATTTTTGTCCTCCGAATGAGCAAAAATTACTCCATTAATGGTTAATAGACATTCGGCAGGTAAATAAACTTCGGAGGATTAGATCCAAAGTATGAACGATTAGCACCCATTTTCGCTTCGTTTCTGTTGTGTGGTCTCTTTCGATAGGTGGTAATCAATAAAATGTGACTCTTAAATCAAATTGCCATAGTCGATTATAGCTAATGTAAAGTATATATTTCTGTCTCATCTTTTATCTGCCATGAAATTTGAAATTATAACCCTGCTTGTTGATGAAAATAATTAGGGCAAACTTGCCAGTTTACAATACCAGTCAATGATTATGAATGGATTAGAAGAAAAAGATGGAACATTAAAATGGATTGAGTTAGCAAACAAACACACTTCAGTCCCTTGGCTACTACAACTCTTGATTACAATTTAGATGGTTAGGTCATGTTTGCCTCATGATTTGAATTGTATTAGGGCAACATTTATTTTTAGGAACCCTTTCAAATTCAAGTACCAACAGAGAGAGAAAAAGAGAGAGCAAATTTTCATCTTCAATTATACAGAGAAATGTTTTAGTTCTAATGGCACTTATTTTTCAAAAAAGTTTTCTGTCTTTTCATCTGTTATGAAAGTGGCCGTTGTTTCTGTAATTAGTAGTGTTGGTGTTTTTAGAGGAATCATCATTTTGATCATTGTTGGCACCAATGTTACCATACTTTTGGAAACCAGTTTGAAATGCTTTTTCAACCGTAGTCCACATTTCCAGAACCTTTTCTTGGAGGCGAGGTTTCCATCCAACCAAGTGATCATTTCGTTTTCGGCGACCGCACAAAGCAGTATTTGAAGTTACCAGAGCGGTGAAAAAGGTTGTTATTATTGGAATAAGGAAAGCACCGAGTCCAATAACAAGTAAAATTGGTAATACATAGTAAAAATCTGATCGATCCATTCCACCATGATGTCCTGCAAAAAGTCCATAATCCTCATAACCTCTTCTTTGGTACTGATAGTCTTGAAAATCCCATCTTCTTGTTGGATAATAACTTATCTGTTGATGAAAACGTCTTCTAATTTTCGGTTTATGTTCAATGAATTGACTGTGTCTATCTTCAATTTCAGGATCTAATGTAGCCTCTTCCAGGTTGGTCACTCCAGTTGGAGAAGCTATGATACGGCCATAATGTCCAAAATGGTGAAGTCGTGCCGCATCAGGTTGTTGGTCGTATTTTTCAGCTGAATAATCACAATTGCACCAGGTTAAAAGTATGGAAAGGATCACACAAATGTGAAACATTATTTTCTGGATGTAATGAGACAATTTGATTAGCTTGAAAAATATCATTTGCTAACACTTTTAGACCAAGATGTTTCAATTTTTAAATCAGAGGTGCGCCAAAGCACTTTGGAAGTAAAACAAATGAAATTAATCCAGTTCTCTGGTTGCACAAACATATGAATCAACTAAAATAAATCACAATTTTCACAGACCAATATTTGAATTTAATAAAAAGTCATCAACAGTTGATAACTGGTTATAACAGCAAACTTGAAAGTTTTAACAAATTGTTTGATGTGAACAAGTTGGAAGTCGCATCTTCAACTGAATTAACTTATTAATCCAGGAGAGAGGTACAATAGTTGATGTCTAATGTTTACTGGAAGACTTAATTTTTGAAGGTTTTCATTGATTCACCTGATTCAAACAAGTAGACCTTAACAATCAATGAAAAGAATTGTCAACCGGAACACAGAGAATCAGTGGCACAATTAGGAATAATTTTTATTATGATGTTTTTGTGATTAACCACTGCTTTGACTTTAGTGTTAGCAATTTCTTTAAGGGCACAACAGGACAAAATTAGGTATTCTCAGGTGTTAATGAGATATTTTTACTCTTACCATGACACCAAACATAGAGTTAAAGAAAGCGTTCAAATTTATCTCATTGTGTTTGACAAATAACGATATTTGTTTCTATTAGAAACAATTCTCCTTTTCTATCACAATTCCGTTATTATCCATTCTAATAAACAGTGATAACTGGGTGCTTTAGATTTGCTCATCATAAGCATAATATCAAATTAAAAATCACTTTTTGTAGGTTAATTGTATAGTTGAGAGGTGCTTCCAAATTGCTTGCTTCATGAGTTGCTTACAATAGAGTGACAATTATGAGAGTATTTCATTAGATAATAATCCTTGATGTGAAAGAAAAATTACTTTTTGTTACGATACAAATTGAAGACTTCAATTCTTGACCAAAATTCAGATTGAAAAGGGATAACATTTGCAATTAGATGGATTTACATTTACAAGAATATGTCTGAATTGAATTGAAAATAACTTCACTTCTCTTTGCCTTTTAACTGATTTTATTGATAACTTAAGGAAGCATCGGCAAACAGATAAATGTCAAAGGTTAATCTCTTCTAGCCAGGTTTTAAAACCGATGGAATTTTGTCCTAATAGGAAGAAACAAAGAAAACAGAGGCTGATCCAAAATGAAAATGAGCGAAAATTTTCAATGAACTGAAAGATACTGAATTCAAGAAATAGAAAACCTTTTACAACTGAAATGAACATTTATTAATTTTATTAATATAAATACATGTTTATCATAGAACTTCTACAAAAGTATTTGCTTCCTCAGAAGATTCATTTCTAAAAAGTATGAAATTTTTATAATAGTATTCTTGCTTTAATTTAACTTCCACTTTTTTCAATTCCCATTCATTACTGTCATTTTTGCGTCCATAAATTGTCAATATACCACTATTTAACTTTCCTTTAAAATCAACAGTCATAACAATTTTATCCTGCGATCTGATGTTTTCTTTTATTTTTAATAGATTTTTCACTGTTTTCAGTTTGATTGGATGGCCAATGACGTCTCTTACGATTTCATTATTGTGTAAATATTTTACTCCTGTAACGTACAATGGGTTAGTAGTGATAAAGTAATTCTCAACTATCTTATAGCTAGCCACCATAATCAAACCGGTTGCGGTTAATGACAACACAAACAAGGGCCTATTGCTAGCTGGAAATAATCGATTGTAGATTGAAGAAGTCCACTTGAAAACCCCAGATTTTGACTTCAATTTTGTGGTTGTTTGATCCATTCTCATCTATGTGATACCAAAAAATCTGCAACCATCGGGTATAAAATCAATAAGGCGACTATTTCATACCATTTGCAAATTCCAAGAGATTGTGATTTGTTAAAGTTGCGACAGAGTTTTTCAGCAGCTTGATATGGAACTACCGATGAGCAAATAGTGTGTGGGGATAATTGTTGATCCAAAATCTCTAGATGAGATAGAAATGGGTGTAGATGAGATGGAAACAGTTTGATGATATTACCATTGACACGAGTGATTACAATCCTTTTAAAACTGCCAATAATTTTACCAATAAACCAGTGTCCATTAGTTTGTGAAAGAATGTCACAAAATGTCAAGATGATGGGAAAAAACAGCAGGTTAAGTTTACCACAGTCTTCAACTAAACTGCTCCGTTGAATGCAGTCATCAATATTTACAGATACAGGATTCTTTAGACAGTCCTTGATTAATTTCAGCACTTGGGTGTTGCGATATTTAGGCAGTAAGTAGGTTAATTTTTGAGTCTCAAAATCACTTAATGGTAATATTTTTCCACAAATAATCTGATCTTGCAGCTGGCTGATAAAATCATTCAATGATGGACAGTCAGCTTCCTCAACGGCTTTGCTTTCTTTGGCATAAAAAATGAGCTTTATAATAATTTCGAGTCCTCTTGAAGCTTGTGGACAGGTATAGTTGGCCAAAAAGATGGATCCAAAGTTACCGAAATTAGGCAATAATGAGTTACACAATGTACTCCTTGGTAATTGTTTTAGAGAATCAACTTTACGCAGATAACCTTCAAGAGAAAACTAAAGGCATGATAAACATTAAATAACTGTTGAATAATTAAGAGTCAAACTGGCCGTTGAAAATTGTTATTTAATCATTTAAGACAAGAAAAAAGATTTACACTGTCCCAGGCCAATATTTACAAAATTATTCAAACATGGTATAAAGATAAACACATGAAAGTCTAGGAAAATAACATTGCTCAGGCTTACAACAGAGGGGACAGGTTTTAAAGGAAACAGTGAACTCAACATATGATTTGGCAAGTTAACATAATACATTGAACAAGACGAAAGTAAGGATAAATTGAACTTACAATGTAACGATCAAGCTCGCCCGTTGACATTATACCCGTGGTTAACGCAACCAGAACCAAAATTCACTAAGATAAGTAAAATGGATATTCTTTAATATCTCTGTAAGTTATCAACGTCAACCTATTCAAATAACAAATCGATGGATTGGAAAGATATTGTCATATTTTATCATCATACAACATTTAATCTAGTTTTACTTTTATTGTTCCATTAAGGCATAGAGTCGCCGGCAAGAATATAAGTTTTTCGGTGAAAATTAGAAACTAAATTAAGCGTAAGTATCCGTAAGTATCTAAGCTCTGGCCTTTTCATATTGCAGCTTCGGGTGAAGAGAAATTTTTGAATCTCGTGTATATCATTGATATATTTTACAGTTTCACCTGATCACAATCGTTCTCAGTAGTTCTAAGTAAATATACTCATCCAAAAAACAGAGTTAGAAGAGGCAGAATCGGCGATCGGTTTACCATAATGCATATTGTCCTGGAACACGATATTTTTATCGCCAAAGATGGGTTTAACTTCATAAATTTCATCTATTTTATAAAATAATAATCCTTTAAACTTGAAGACAATATAAATTCGATGAATCGTTAATCAATGTAACAAGTTTATTTCGGACTATAAGAAACAAACTTCAATTGCATTTCTTTTTAATAAGTAATTTTAAACTTATATGGGTATGAAAATTTACTAAAAAGCTTGAGTCTTTTATCCAATAATTTCCTGTACTTTTTGCTCCAATAGTATTTCCATTTTTCTGACATCTTTAGACCAATGTTCCAGTTTACTTTTCAATGAATTTATTTGAGTCTTGTCCAAAACTCGAGGTTGCACCCACGATAGGTAAACTTTCTTCTCGACTTCGTCAATTGTTCCCTTGACCAACTCAAGTGATAAAGCTTTCATCACTAATAATTCAACTTCTCCCTCCGGAAGGTATGTTTTCTTAGCTATTTCATTGAAAGTTAATATGCCATCGTGGCTATTGAAAGTCATATTCATGAGGCAAAGTAGTGAAATTTTTTGCCTCAATTGAAGCTCATGAGCTCGTAGATCAGCTTGTTCAGACCATTGTGGCTTTAGTTTTTCAAATCTCTCCAGATCTCCAGCATTGAAAGCATAAAGTAAATCAAGCAACCAATTATGTTTACGCTTCAAATATTCAACAATAGGATGTTGAAGAAGTTCTCCAAAGTTGAAAATGGATTCACCCAAAAGAGCTGCAAGAGCCAATGCGAAAGCGCGATTCTCTAGGTGCTCATCTGATTCATTGTCGATACTTGAACATCCTAAAAATCTCAATGCATTACGATAATATTCAACATGGTTACCAATAATCTGATTATAGTCAGAAGAGAGTTGAAAATATCTGCCATGAATCGGAGTTATTCCAGTTTGTTCATCTATTATTGGACCAATCTCACCAAGGATTTTTTTAACATCTATAAAAGTATAAAATTTGATTATAGACTTATGCAAATGTTGAACACAATTAAATACTGTTAAATTAATGTAATATCTTTCTTTTATAATTACCATCTAACTCTTTGTTAGCCAACTTCAATTGAGCCATTAAGATACTACAAAGGAGAGAGGCAGTTTGGTTGCCTTTAACTTTTTCTTTAATTTTCTCAAGAAAAACCAAACATTCTTGATAATCCTTCATCTCTTTAATGATGAACGCAATTATTTCAACCAATGAGAGAGGATTCAATTTTGTTTCAAATTCAGCGATGAAATTAGTGTAAAATGCAACAAGGTCAACACGATTGGATTCCGGTAGTTTGACAAAAGCTTCTGTTTTCATAGTTAACTGATGCCAAAGCTTCTTATTATAGTATCCCTCGAATGCGGTCCAATACTCAGTAAACTCTGGATACCGAGATTCCATTGACTTTAAATATTCGTTGACACCCATGTTTTCTTCCAAATAATTATCACCGAATCTAAAGAAAAAATAAAAGTAGTGTTTTTAAAATTAAGTGTTTCTCGGCATTGGTTAAAGTGATCAACTTATATTTAACATAAATGTAAAACAAAACAAAGTTATCAATGAATTCACCAGAAAATCTACAAGTGACAAATGGTGTATGATGTGTTTAACATATTTGGACCAGGCTTACCAGGTAATCCAAAAGTGTTAATTTAGCAGAAACACACAATTAATTAATCAATTGACAAAAAGAAACAACAATATAATAATCAATATGAGGGCAATTTAATCATATGAGCTGACAAAACTCAATTTTGCCGATCATTTGCTAACCTAGTGACACCTAACCCAGACTAAAGCCATGTTAGGATTAGCGCTTCTTTCAAACAATTACCATAATATCAAATTCATTGAACTAATTCTGATTCTGATTTTTCATGATTTTACTATTTATTTAATTTATTTTATCCTTTCATTCTTACAGAAGGTAATACTTTCTTGGACTTAGCATTATTTGCCTTCTTGATAGCTGCTGCACTCGTCATTGTTTTGGGTCTTATAATTTGGTGTATCTACAGTCTTTGCGGTCGTTGGCGTCGACCAATTCCAATTACTAGGTCAATGATTGAAAATGCAGATCTTTCACCAAGCCAAATTTATGATGCAGGCCTAGTTCCGCCAAGTTTGGCCTTTAAAAATAGTGAAACATCAATGTCAACAGCTGAAACAACTGCAACAACTATTGGGGCTGACAAAAGTGTTAAATATGGGTCTGTCAGAAATGAAAAGTCTGGTTCTGCTAAGAATCAATTTAAATTAGCTGGGAAAAAGAAATCAACTGAGAGTATAATCAGCATGAATCAAATGTTTGGGAAAAAAGAGCTAAGCCGATCTCCTTCTAGAACCACTCAATTATCTTATATGATGAGTCCTGTTGAGAAAGCACCTGCTAAAAAATAATTCAAGTTGAATTCAGACAATATTTTAATCCAATGTGTAATTTAATCCGAACACGATTAACAGTTATTATTACTAATGCTAGTAAATTAAAAAATGATTATGTGATCCTGTGATATTTCGATATTTTATCCCAATACTATCGATATACTTGGTTCGATTGATGAACCGTTTTTAAACCGACTTATCTTCATCTATCTTTGTTTTTCTTGCCTTCAAAACCAGTTCATCTTTAATTTATTACACAATTATTTTGAATTAAAATTAATTTTACTGGGTTTAGTAATCTTCTTTTAACAATATAATACTCTGCCAACTTTTAAGTGCATTGGAAATGATCCGATCCAACAGCCACCTTTAGTTTGTTGTGATAATCAGATGTTTTTCTGATATAAAAATCTTGAGGGTTTATCTTTTTGCATCATATCTATTCTAACGTGTTTTATGTTCTTATGTTTTTTCAATTAAATTGAGTTGTAAAAGTTATTCAAGTTTTCCACCATGGATCTCTATGAAGAGGTTAAAAAGAAAAACACGGTGGCGTTCTTTGGAAATGACGTTTACCGACGCTTCATTTCTCTTTGTGTCATCAATCGCTTTGGTTATCAGATTCGTAAGAAAAATGGCCAAGTTAGACGGAGCTTTATTCTTGTCTCTGATGTTAATCAAGTGCACCTGGAAGCACAAACTATCAGGAATCACACTGATTTGGGCGTTGCCGAATTCTCAAGTGATGATATTCAGTTTGATAAAGAATCATGGACTGAACAATTTATAGCTAATCATGTCTTTGTAATGAGTTGCTCTCTTTTTTCAACTCTTCTTTCTCCACCTCTGATTTCACTTTCCTCGATTAATTTGATCATACTGAATGATTGCCACTTAGTTTTGCGAGATGAAAGCTATAAGAAGGTTTCTTCATTTCTACAGTCCGTGGACCCTTCGATAACTCGTGTGTTGGCGTTTGCTCCTAGTCTTATGAAACATCACCAAAAGCCAGCTGTAATAGAAGCAATAATTACTAAAATGGAGAGATTATTACGGGCAACTAGAAATACTGTCGCTGATGTAAGAATTTCCTTTCGTTTTCCAGTTAAACCAAAAGGAAAAGTAATTTATTACGATGATTATCCTATCTCTTTCGACCTTTACAACGCTGATCAAATTAGTCAACTTTTGACAGACTTGAATACCTTAATTGTTGGCTGTCAAGAAGTTTTTGTTTCTGAGCCTGGAATAAATGGACAAACTCTATTAAAGACTCTTAGACAATTTTTCTCCACTATTAAGACAATGGGACCTTTTTGTGCTATGGAATTAGCTGAAATTTACGCCAAAGAAGTTGCAGAGCTTGTTGTTAATTCACGAGATTTTCGATGTGCTGCTGTAACTTCAACCTTAATCACCTTTTTTCAGTATGTTCAAGTCACATTACGACACCAATTATCTCTACTTCATCCAAACCAACAACTTCAAACCAATGTACCTGAGAAAATGCTATCCATTCTCAAAGTTCTCTTAGACTTTGTCCCAGATCCGGAAGCTACACAATCAGAGTCGGTAAAACATCATTCTGGTCTTAATGGTATTATTTTTGTAGAAGATCGAACAACGATTCGACTTTTAGCTGCATGGCTGCGCTCAGTTTCTTTAATTATTGATTGTTTCAATTTTCTCAAAGTGGATTATTTGGTTCGTGATAATAAGCTCTTATATAGCTCCGATCCAAAGGATAATATTCCGTCTACTTCTCGGTTTGAAAGTACGATGTATAAGTATCGCAAGCATGAAATAAATTTGCTCATAGTCTCAAGCTGTTTCGAGGAGGAACTCGATGTATCTAAATGTAACTTGGTAATTAGGTATGATTTTCCAGAAACATTTTCCCAGTATCTCCACAGCAAAGCAAAACTGCGAACTGATTACGGTAAATATGTCCTTTTCATTCCAAAAAATGAGCCCTCTAAGTCACAATTCGAACAAAAGTTACGTGAATTGTTATCTATGGAAAACATCATTAAAGACAAAGAATTAGAAGTTCAGGGACCCCCGCCATATGATACTCTGGCTGATCTTTATCCAGCTTACACTACTAGTAAAGATATCAGTGTCGACTTGTCCAATTCATTAAATGTCCTTTATCGATATTGTGCGCGATTACCAAGTGACACCTTCACTCGATTGGTCCCTATTTACATGTATGAGCAATTAGAGGATGGACAAATTAAATGTACAGTTTATCTCCCAACCAACTCTCCTGTTCGAGATCCAATATCTGGCTTACCAGCGAAACATCAAGAAATTGCTCAAAGATCAGCTGCTATCGAATGCTGTAAAGCACTCCATCAAGCTGGTGAACTCAATGACTACCTATTTCCAGTAGGTAAAGAAAACAATAAATGCCTTGAAGAATTAGGTATCAAGCGTCACAAACGTGGTCCTCGTGGCGCAGAAGAAGAGCAAGAAAGACCTGGAACAACAAAACGAAGGCAAAGTTATCAGAAGAAAATAGCTGAAGCGTTAAGAGGAAAAGATATTGCTCCTGGTGAACCTTGTTTCATGTACATATTTCTAATGTCATTAACTTGTCCGATTCCTGAAGAACAAAATACTCGTGGAAGAAAATTAATCGATCCTATGGATTCTCCACGATTTTTTGGTCTTCTTACTCACTCTAGAATATCTAGAATTTGTGATTTTCCTGTTTATACAAGATCTGGAGAAGTTATTGTATCAATGAAATGGGCTGCAGAAAATGTAACGTTTAATTCAGATGAAATTGAAAAAATCAAAAGGTTCCATCGATTCACTTTCACTGATGTCCTTCATCTGGTCAAAGATCCAATGGTTTACGAACCAGCTGAAGCTCCTTCTTCAGTTCTTGTTTTGCCAGTTAATTACGCAGCGAGTTCATCCAAAGAAATCCCTGCTTCATTTACAATCGACTCCGATAGTGTTACAATTGATTGGGGATTTATTGATAGAGTCCTTTTTTACGAGCAAGCTGATACAAGTGAAAGAAAGGCTAATTTCAAGTTTAATCACTCTGTTTTCGAGGACGCTGTTGTCAAACCTTGGTACAGAACAGCAAATGAACAATTGCATTTTTATGTTGCCAATATTTGTGAAAATTTAAAACCAACAAGTCAGTTTCCCACCGAAGCATTTCCTACATTTTATGATTATTATTTACAGAAGTACAAGATTCAAATTACAGATAAAGATCAACCTCTTTTAGATGTTGATCATACTTCTGCACGCCTCAATTTTCTTACACCAAGATTTGTAAATCGGAAAGGAATGCCTTTGCCTAAAAGTACTGAGAAAACTCGTGCGGCCAAAAGAGAAAACCTTGAATCTAAACAACTTCTTATTCCTGAACTGTGCATTGTTCATCCATTTTCAGCTTCCTATTGGAATAAAGCTGTGTGTCTTCCTAGTATTTTATATCGAGTCAATCATCTTCTTATTGCTGATCAATTAAGGCGACAAGTTGCCCTAGACATTGGTATTGGAGTAACTAAAGATGATCCAGAATTTTCATGGCCTACTCTTGACTTTGGATGGAGTTTAACTGAAGTGTTGAACCAATCTTTTGAGGAGAAAGATGATGATGAATATGATATAAATGTTTCAAGTCCTAAAACTCTGGAAGTCAAACCATCGAAAAAAAATAAACCAAGTCCTTCATCAGCAGCCCCGTTGCCACCTAAAATTTCTTCACCTCCTGCGCCTGTTGAGGTTAAAAATATCTCTACAGAGTCTACACAAAATAAAGATGGTTGTGATGATTTATTAATCGATACCTTCGATCCTAACATTTACAAAGTTGTCGATGCTGAAGTTGATGATGACTTAGGAGATATTCCTCCTGTTGGTAATTGGGATCAGAATAGTCAAGAATTTAATCAACCATTTGAAATTAGTGCCATCAGTCCAATCATCAATTGGCCAGGACTTGATGATGAACCTAGAGTTGTTGAGTTGTCCGATGATAATAAACCCATAAAGCGCAAGAAAAATCAGCGGATGGGATCGCCAAGTAATTTTGACCGCATCGGTGAAAATAAAAATTGGGATATTAAAGAATCCGATCTTAATTCAGTTATTGATCTCGATATTCCTGGATTGAATTTGATCTCTACAGCTGTTGGAGTTGATCTCCATAAGTTATCTAAAGATTTAGAAGATATTCATGCATTCGATGATTTTGATGATTCAGAAGATGAAGATGAATTAGGTAGTTATGAAGAGGAAGCGGACTCTCATCTTGATGCGGACCAATTATTAATTCCCGATTCCGATGGAGCGGTCAGTGCTGTCAAAGCGAACATATCTAGAGACATTTTGTCTTCTGGCCTTCTTTTATCTTATCAAAGTGAACCTGCAAAAGTTTCAGAGGAATCTTCTTATTACGATGAAATCGAAATTCCAAGTGATGATATGATAACTGCAGTTGAATTGGATAAAGAAAAGGTTGAATCTATTTTTGTAGCTGATGAAATCATCGTTCCTGATAAAGATGCTAATTGTGATACCATTGATAAAACTATCGACAAAATCGCTGACAAACTTGAAGAGGCTCTCAAACTCGTCGACCCTGTGACTGTTCTTCCCAACATCGAGGAAAAAGATTCACATGTTAAAGCCAGTGATATTGCCATGAACCTTGAAGAAGGAAAAGCTAGCCCTAGTTTTGGAGAATTACTTCCAAACAGAGATGAATTCGTTTTGAATGCTGATAATAACGGAGATTCTGTTTTGACCTGTATTCATCTCGATCCATTAAATGAGGAATTTGATCCGGAAATTGGCCCAAGTCCAGCTATGGTCTTACAAGCATTGACAATGTCAAATGCTAGTGATGGAATCAATTTAGAACGTCTTGAAACTGTCGGTGATTCTTTTCTTAAATACGCCGTTACTGTGTTCATGTACTGTCGCTGTCCAGATCAACATGAAGGGATTTTATCTCAACTCAGAAGTACTCAAATCAGTAATTTAAAATTATACGAATTAGGATCTCAAAAAAATCTCGGCGAACTAATGGTTGCCACAAAATTCGAACCCAGTGATAATTGGTTACCACCTGGTTTTAAAATTCCTGAAAAATGTTTAATTGGATCTCCAAGCACAAGTAATGATGAAAAATTAATATCATTTAATTGTCTTTTAACTCAACAATCAATACCAGATAAAAGTATTGCTGATTGTGTCGAAGCTTTAATTGGATCATTCCTCATCTCATGTGGTCCAAGAGGAGCTCTTCTTTTCATGAAATGGTTGGGTTTAATGGTCATGGATAATGTTGAAGAGCCACAAGAAGAAAGTGGACTCTGGCGATGGCTGAATCCTATAAAGCCGCCTCTTTTTCCAAATGCACCTAAAATTGAACTTGATAATCTATACTTTTCGCATGGATTGGATCGCTTTGAAAAAGAAATAATTCAATACGAGTTTAAAGATAAAGCCTATTTAGTTCAAGCATTTACTCATAATTCATTTTCTGACAATCGAGTTACTGACTGTTATCAACGTCTAGAGTTTTTAGGTGATGCTGTTCTTGATTTTCTGATCACAAGACACTTGTTTGATGACCCTAGGCAACACTCACCTGGCGTGTTAACAGATTTAAGATCGGCATTGGCAAATAATACCTTTTTTGCTTCCCTCGCAGTCGAATATGAATTTCATAAATATTTAATGTATAAAACTGCCGACTTGCATAAAGTTATTTCTAAGTTTGTCGAATTTCATGGAAATTCAAATGGAAAAATCAAGGATCCAGCGGCTTTTGCGCTGCTGATAGGAGAAGCTGATTGTGAACAGCGCGAAGATATTGAAGTTCCTAAAGCTTTAGGTGACGTCTTCGAATCAGTAGCTGGAGCAATTTTCCTAGACAGTGGATTTTCTTTGGACACCGTTTGGAGAGTTTACTATCGAATGATGAGACCTGAAATGGAGTATTATAGTAAAAATCCACCAAAATCACCTATTCGTGAACTTCTCGAGATGAAACCACAGAAAGTTTCATTCAGTAAACCAGATACAGTCAATATAAATGGAGTGCCCAAGGTCAAAATCAGTGTCGAAGTGTTTAACATTGGTAAATATTATGGCATCGGACGTAATAGACGATTAGCTAAGTACACAGCCGCTAAACGAGCTTTACGTGATTTGAAATCATCAAACAATTCTCTCAACTAAATAATCGTGGAATAAATGAATTTATTTTATAATATTGAATTTCAGGCGATATTGCCTTTAAATTGCACAAAAAAAGAATGATTTTATGAAAATTTTTCATCTACATTTGATACATATTAAATGGTATATTATTATATTTCAAATTCCTGTATGATTAAGTAAGTCGCAAGTTCTTAACCTCTTATCATTAAACAATTTTACGGATAATTTGGTATTTAATGAAAACAAATAAGATTAATTGTAGTTTACAAATATGGCCTTGCAATGTCCAATGAATGTTTCAGAGTTTGTTGTTTACTATCCTGACAAACTTTCAAATTATTCCTGATCCAGGTTAATTGAACCTCGGTCTCAATCAATTTCCACTCGTGTCATCAATTTACATGATCAATTGTCATTAAATCTGACTCTAAATTTCCTATGAAAAATATTAATAGTCGGGTTAACAGTTTTCCAAGGAAAGCAAACAATCATCATTTCCTATGTATAATATAATCATCCTTTTGCATATTTTTTCCTTGACATTTTTGTAAATTCACTTTAACTTATCTTGCACTATGATGATAATCATAACCATGATCATCATAAGCGATGACTTTCCATCTAATTGCTTGAAGCAGAAAAAAAAATTTTCTCCTTTTTCCTTCTCTCCTAGCTAATTCAATCTTCAACTAAACTCGATTCTCAACAAAACCAGCTAACCTTACCAACCAAAATTTAACTCTATCATCATAATCATCTACTTCTTCCTCCAATCCTCCAGCGACCATTCACTTAATATCTTTACTCACTCCCAATCCATTAATTCATCGTAACCAATTTTCATTTCTTTAATCTCTCAACTTTTACCTGTTCATAATAAATCTCATTCGTCTATTTCCTTGTGCTTTTCAGTTTACCTTTTTTTCCATTGTTTTTCTTCTTCTAATCAACATCTTCATCTTCTTGTTTATCTTCATTGTCTTCACTTGTTACCATTGCTTACTAGGCATTCCCTTTACCCAATAATCATCCTCATCACTCATCGTCACTCATCAGCCATCAATCTTAATCGTTAAACCCCACAAAAAGGCGTTAAAACAAATATAACCGTAATAATCTAAATCTGCCAAACATTAATCTAAACAATTACCTGAGCAATAAAAATCAAAAATGCACAATAAGAGCACCAAATTGAAACATTCAGTAAACGCGTAGTTCATTTCTTCAACATCTTTACCATCCTTTTCCCTATTGCTATAATCATCTCTATCTTCATCAATAGAAAGAACCTAAAATTTCTCAATTTCCATCCCCTTCTCTCTCTTCTCTCCCTGGTGTAGTAGTCTCACTATTTCTTTGCTCAGGTAAACTGAGATGAAGAAAAATATTATGTATACAACCACTTACAAAAACACATAACAAGAAGAAAGAAAAGATCACATTTTATTGATTTACGTCATCTTAGGGTCACTTAAAGCTTATTTAATGTACCTTCACATGTTGATATAGTACACATATGTAGCTGAACACCATCAATTGGAACTGATTAAGAAGATAAATATACTAACAATTATTATTATTTTGTTAGTTGACAACTTGAAGGAACACAATCATCATTTGTTTTTGTTTTAGTTTGCACCTATCAAGATAAATCAACTTCATCCAACATCATCATCAACATCCAACAACAACAGCATAACCCAACCACCAGGGGTTGTTCAACAACCGTTGTTGAATAGGCAGGCCTCCAGTTTGAAGGATCTGCATCATCTGTGTCTATTGATATTTTTTTTATCATAACATTATTAACAAGTTTACATGCTTAACCAACTGTATTTACTCTGTGCTTATCCAGCTGTACCATACTGACATCATTATGAGCCAACAGGATGATATCAAAAGACCTGGGACCCGGGTTTTCAAAAAATCATCGCCCAACGGAAAAATAACAGTTTATCTTGGTAAAAGAGATTTTGTTGACCACATTTCCCATGTTGATCCAATAGGTAAGATGTTAGATCAACATTATTCAACTTTTTTTCCCGAATTCCAACCCATTCTTCCCTTCAATCAGTTATATTGAAGTTTACAGTTTTGTCCTGAGCTTGTCTTTTTGCTGCCACCGACTTGTCAATTTTTCCTTGTTTTGCCTTCTGGTGGTAGCTCTAATTGATTTTATTGTCTCTATTATTTTATCGTCTTTTATTTCGTCTAACTTTTTTTTTATTTACCTCGCTTGTTTTGACGTCTCTCTGTAATCATGGTAAATGCAATTACTCATTTATTTTACATGATAATTTCTCTCGTATTTTGTTATCTTTTTTCCTTTTACGGCTACTAATTGTTGTCTCCATGCATTTTTTTTTGTTTTCCTTAAATTCTTCCTCATCTTTCGCTTTTTTTATTCCTAACTTTTTGCTTTCCATTTCATACATTTCAGATGGTGTAGTCCTGGTTGATTTAGATTATGTCAAGGACCGTCGAGTATTTGGTCATATTCTGGCTGCTTTTCGTTATGGGCGAGAGGACTTGGATGTGTTGGGATTGACTTTTCGTAAAGATCTTTACTTAGCTTCTGAGCAAATTTATCCAGTTTTGGAAGAAACTAGCAAAAGACCTCGAACTCGATTACAAGAAAGATTAATAAAAAAGCTAGGTTCAAATGCATTCCCATTCTATTTTGAGGTAAATAATTTCAAAATTTTCAACAATTTCCTCACTTTTTTTTGTTTATGATGCTCATAGCTTATCATAGTTTTTTTAGAAGTTTAATTTTTTTATTTTTCACTTTCCAATCTAAATTCTGGATATTTCAATTTCAATTTTGAACATGATGAATACTTATACCAGTTTTTTTCCCACTGAATCTCGTCTATTTTTGCTAATCTTGTTTCATCATAACTTTCATATCATAATGCAACATTAAAAATGTAATATTTTAATGTTTTTCTCCTTTTTGAGTATTTTTATATCTATTTTATTCATCTTCCCATATTTGACTCTTTTCAATATATCATATTTTATCTGTATCATTCTATTTCTCTGAATCATCCATACTATTTCAATTTAGCTTCCTCCTCATTGTCCAGCATCCGTTACCCTTCAACCAGCACCAGGAGATACCGGTAAACCTTGTGGTGTTGATTACGAGTTAAAAGCTTACGTTGCCGAGAGTCTCGATGAAAAACCACACAAACGTAATTCTGTCAGATTGGCAATCAGGAAAATAACTTATGCGCCAAGTGAACAGGGTGAACAACCAAGTGTTGAAATAAGCAAACAATTTGTGATGTCTCCAAATAAATTGCACTTGGAAGCTTCACTCGACAAAGAGGTTGGTCTTTTAACCATTAAGCTTATTGTATTTCGTTTTTCCTACTCTCTTTTGATTAGGTGAGAACAGCAACATTTATAACAATTTGCTGTTCATTAACAACTAACTGTCTCCTACTATCTTTAAAATCAATTATATCCGAGTTGATTATCCTTTTTATTTATTTTCACATCTAATTCCAGCCAAATTCATCTTTATCGATCATCTAATGAAACGATTCTTATGTTTGTGTACTTCTCTTAATATTTTTTTGTCTTCTTTTTTATCCTTCTAGCTTTATCATCATGGAGAGGATATTGCAGTTAATGTACATATTGCAAACAACTCAAATCGCACAGTTAGAAAACTCAAGATATCAGTTCGACAATTTGCTGACATATGTCTATTTTCAACAGCACAATATAAATGCTCAGTAGCCGAGATCGAGAGTGAGTACGTGATTGAAACTTCCATTATTTTCATCTAACTGTTGATAGTTTTAATTGTTTTATGTTATTTCTTTTCGTTTTTACATCGTCTACCTGCCAACTTAACTGTCATCGCCTTGTTCCCTCTGTTTATTCAATCTTGAACCACCAACAACACGTTCAAATTCAGAGATGGTTGTCCTGTTAGTCCTGGATTTACTTTATCTAAAGTCTATTATCTTCGACCCAATCTATCAGATAATAAATCAAAAAGAGGTTTAGCCCTGGATGGTCAGCTTAAACATGAGGATACAAACCTTGCTTCATCAACTATGTAAGTTGACCAAATTGAAAATATTTAGCTGCATTAATTTGCAGTCCATATCACAAAATTTACCTTTACTAATTATTGTTTGTTTCATCTTTTATACCATCAGTATAACCGATCCAAATCATAAAGAAAACCTCGGCATAATCGTTCAGTACAAGGTTAAAGTCAAACTTTGCTTGGGTCCATTAGGAGGTGATGTTGTCGCCGAGCTGCCATTTGTTTTGATGCACCCTAAGCCTGAAGATGACATTGAGCCTTCTGGGGCAACACCAACTGATGGTGATGCACTTACCAATCATGTCAATAACGATGGAGCCAAAGAAGACTCTACTAATGATTTTAATTTAATCCAACTTGATACGTGAGTTATGATTCAAATCTAGCTGAAGGCGTACATTTCCCTCTCTCTCCTCCCCTCTCTTCCTCTCGTTCACTCATTCTCAGTTTTTTTTCATGCTTCAAATTTAGCTTCCATCAGTTTATTATGTTAACCAAAAAATCTCAAATGATTGACATAACCTGGGATGTTATCGATTTTTGATTTTAATCCCAATAATGTTTATTTAAGATACTGTCTATAGATGCTATTTACAGTTTTCATTTGCCTTCTTCTGCCTTACCCTTCATTGAGGTTTCCGTCCTTCGCATCACCTTATATTTACTTTTCACTCTCCCACACCATTGTATCATTCATATATTAACTCAATTTGTATTCTATTTTTCTTTCTCTCCTTTTACATTCTATTTTCTTTCTCTCATTAACAGAGAACCGACAGAAGATGACATAATCTTTGAAGACTTTGCTCGGATCAGATTAAAAGGCGAAAATGAAGGACGATTGAATTAACTTATTGTTCTGTCTTTTTTCCCTCTGCGCATCTCACATCATCATCTTGAGCTTTTATTTTTTGCTCCTCATTTTTTTTCTTCATTCTGATTTCCTATTCTCAATTTTATCCACATCCATGGAAATGATTCAACAATCTGGAGACCATACAATTCATCAGCCACAATGACACCATTTTCATCCTATCCTTTTGCTTCGTATTCACCAGTATATTTGGTGTGATGCACATATGACAAACGAAACTCGAAACATAAACACATCAATTTTATGTAAAGAAAATCACTTTGCAACTCAACTGACTTACAAAACATGCCAACCAAGAATGAACCTCATTTCTTCATTTGCCTTCAATATCTGCCTCCTTCTCAGCTTGTATTATCATGGTCAACTTGAACAAAATCAAATCACCAAAAAAAAAGGTTGTTTCGTTTATCGCTTCCAAATTTACTCTTCCCAATGTGGGCTCATCTTTAAAATCATAGTCGCTTTTTTTAAAAATAATTGTACCAGTTGACTTTTTTGCCAACTTAATCAAAACTGAATGCACATCGAGACTTCAATGTCTAAATCATTTCTCCTCAAAATCAACAACTTCCATTTTTATTTTCATCGACTTTATTTACTCCTTTCTCATTCTCATTACCCTTTCTTTCCTTCCTAATTTTACCTTTTCTGAACCTTTGCTTTCTCGAGTTCAAACATAGTCACTTTGTGTTATTGATTGTAAAAAAAGTCTGCTTACTCTAAATAAGCAAATTATCATAAAAATTCAACTAAATTGCAATCCTTGCAAGCAAAAAAAGAGAAACAAATCAAAGACAACAATTTTTTATTGAATCCATTTTATTCAACTTCAGAGACTGATTTCTTGGTCAATTCATGATTATTTCAATAATATACATTTGCTTAATTAACTAACTGATGAATATTTTAACTTGTTTTTACAATCCAAAGTTTTAGAGTATCAATCGATGATAGATGAAGTTGGATTATGTATAAAGAAGTACAATTTTTGTTTAATTCTGTAGACAGATTAGATTTAAAAAGACTGTTTTATCGGCAGTAAGCCAAGAAAAATGAAATAATTTAATTTATATTAACTGCAAACAATTTAACAGCATTCATGCCAATGGATACATGTATTCTTTTTGATTTAACTCACAACCAAATCATCATCATTACGGCTTATCAATTAACTTATAAATAAGAAGGCAAACAAACCAACATCTAACTATTTTCATCATCTTCAATCTTCACTTATTCAACAGATTCATCATAAGATGGTTGCCATTTTGGTTGCTGCAAAATTACACATTTTCGGTATTTTTATCTCATCGAATAATTTATAATTTTTCTTTCTCTTTCTCTGTCTAAAATCCGTTCTCTTTCTTTGTGAACTGTCTTTTTTATAAATTTCAAATCAAATCAAAAAAGCAAAATCACAAACGCGAAAGACAACTTCACTCTTAAAGACACAACTTTGTGACAATACCGACGTTCCTATGAGTGATAAACTGAATTTAGCATTTTGGTTCGGTTATAAGGCAATTTTCAAGCAATTCAGCCTTTGATTGTGAATTAAATTTTCATCCTGAATTCTTGATTGTTACATCACTGCTTTTAATAATGAAATATTGGCCAAGTAAAAATTCAAATATAAGACTGAATAAAAAATGAAACTTGGTTCGTATTGCCAGGTCTTATGCAGTGATTTGAAGCATTACAAATCAAAAAAATTTTGAAAATCTCTTATAAACGAATGTTGCTGCAAATTTCAAACAAAAAATGATTTTTTCTGGCTCGATAACACTAAAGGCGCTTATATGATGGCGTACTTTTTTTATAAGCACAGTGCCGTGATACGCACCAATACGGTAATTACAAGAGATGGAGGAACTCCAGAAATATCGATAATGTGCAATTTTACAGTAGTTATAACCTTTAGGAGGAGAGTAAATCAAAGATGCCAAACTTGAATATTTACACATTATATTTTTGTTTAAATGGTTAACCATTGAAATCCTTGAATGGTTTCTTAGCAATTTGTAAACTATAATTTCTAGCAACTGATTGTTCATCAACTGCTAAATTTTATTCATTGCATGCATATTTGAAAAATTAATATCCTTTTAATTCATTCGATCTAATTACCAATTCCTGTTATAATGTCCATTGTTACACTGAAGTGAGTCAATTTAAATTCAAAGCTAACACCTGTTGTTTTAATTATTAGATCAGGATTGATTTCCTTGGATGGATCGGGTCTTAGTCTTTCTGGTTCATAAAAGTTGGGTGATTCTGAAAATAAAGACTCCATGCCTTTATTATCTTGCTCTTTCATTAAAAAATACTAAAGAGTTATCGGGTTGTTTGTTCAGTGAAAATAGTACAATAATAACATTGCGGTGATATAAAAATGGTAATAACCAAGAAAATATTGATAAGTCCAAAAGTAAAACCATGTTTGATGGAGGAAATATCAGATATAGAGACAACCCTTGATAACTGAGTCTACCTTAATGTCAGAGTTGTCTTTGTGGGTTGCTTTTTTTTAATCTGATTGCTTTATTGATTTGACATAACCAGTTTATCGTTTGAATCATTTGTATCAGGTTTTGTTCTGCCAACAGTTGGAACAAAAGGATGATCAAGTCGTGTAAACCCATACTTTAAAAGATAAATCACCATAAATGATGAAAATATCGACAACATTGATCGTTTAATTGAATGAAAACCAGGTTGTGCAAAAAAGTGTATCCTGATTAACAAGCATCTTGCAATTTCAGAGAATGTACTTTGCGCCTGTCTATCTGCTGATTTGCTTCCTTTTTTTGGTTAATATAACCAACATCATCATTTAGCATCTTGCAAAATTGATAATGATACTCGGCTTCATTATCACCATAACTCTTGCCATTATCAACATAGCCATAGTTTAACGTCATCATCAAATATTGACTGGTCTCATTGAAATGGATTGATCGGTGGTATACCTATTGACATAAATATAAATACAGAATGGACCATGAATATGGACTAGTGTGGTTAATTGTTACGATTCAGAAAAAACAACTGAGTCTCGTGTAATCTTCATTTGAAATCTTTCTTTGACTTACCTCACACTGTACCCATACATATATTGATGTCAATAAAAATGGCGCGTGTTGAATGTTGATATTTACTGTTGCGCAGGTTACTCTTTGACTATAGCACAGTAATTTAAAACAATAAAAAAAGAGGAGAAGATATAGGAAGATAGATGATGATCATGATGATGATGATGATGACGATGGTGATGAAGATGATGAAGATGATGAAGAAAGCTAAAGAGGGGAGAAAGATAGAAAAAGAGAAAAAGAAGAGAGAAAAAGGAGAGCGAGAAAGAAACAGACAGGGAAAGGAAGACAAATGAACAGTGAAAAAAAAACTAGAAGATAGGAGAAAATGAAGAAAAAAGAGTAGAAAAAGAGGAGAGAAGTAAAAGAAGACAGACTTGCCTTTACAAGCTAAAATCTAATTTTCCTGAAAACCCAATAAACAAGGCAAGGTAATCAAAAAGGTAAAGGTTTATCATCTTATGGATATACACTTGGATATATTGACTAAAATATCTACATAAACCATACCATCAATGAAACCAGACCAGAAGAGTTGAAAGCGAGAAACGTTGACTTTTTGATAAATTGTATGATTAAAAATGTATATTCAGTGTGATTAGCATTACCATAGAAATGTTGGATTATTGGTCCTTTTTCTAGGCAAGAAAAAAGTTAGGGTTTAAACGTAATTTTTACTCAAGAATAATGAGTTTTACATGGTGTTTCCGAATATTATGTTGACTGTTATGTCTTTTTTGAATTTTGTATTTTCTCGCAATGATAAACTCTGAAAGCAATTGTCAGGTTGACAGGGTTAGGAAGTGACATTTGCAGTCTACAGATGGCGTTCAAGATTCAAGAAAAGAGAGATTTTAAGAGAGAAAGAGAAAGAAGAGTCAGTCAATCCGCAAAAAGTATCAACTAACTGGAATAGACTTCATTGGCTCATTTTGAATTGGATTTAATGTCTTACTAATTACTGTTGTTAATTTTAATTTTGACATGATGTTTTTGCTTCAATTGACTTAAACGTGTTAAAAATGATATGATGACTTATTGTGATGTGCTTCTCAAGAGAATATGATATATCTAATGTGCTTAATTAGAGACTAAAAGAAAGCCTTTGAAGGAAAACAATGTACAATAAAGGTAAAAGTTCAACACCACCTTCGGATACTCAAGCTCGTGAAAAATTGGCTTTGTATGTTTATGAATATTTACATCACATGGGTGCCCAAAATGCAGCAAAGTCATTCCTTCATGAGATAAGATGGGATAAACATGTATCTGTCGGTGACCCGCCAGGATTCCTTCATAGCTGGTGGTGTGTTTTTTGGGATCTGTATTGTGCAGCACCGGAGAGACGAGATAACTGTGAACATTCTCCAGAAGCAAAAGCTTTTTATGAATATGGATGTGTAAATTCTGCATCTTACCCTGTCAATGGAATCGCCCATAATCCGAATGCAGCCAGTCCATTAGGTCAAATGCCTCCAAATGATGGTTTGTCAGGAGGTCCAATGCCACCCGGCGGTTTCTTCCCTCACCAAAATTCCCATATGAGACCTTCACCACCCCAACAGCCATCCCAACCGGCACCTCATCAACAACCTCCCCCTCCTCCACATGGCCAAATGATGCAAAATCAGCCATACATGTCACCCAGGTTTCCCGGCGGGCCGCGGCCTAGTGGAAGAATGCCTCAACAAGTTGACTTTAACGGTCCACCAGTTTCTAGTGGTTCTGGCCCTGGTACACCTATCATGCCGAATCAAGGTGATGGAGGTGAATATGTCGGTTGGCAAGCTCCACCCGGCTTAGGACAAATGAATCACAGAATGAACCCACCCAGGGGTCAACCAATGGGTCCAATGAATCCTGGAAGTTATGGAATGAGACCACCAAATGCATCTATGGGTCCTGGTGTTCCTGGTGGAATGCCTCCTGGAATGTCTATGGGAGGACCAGGACCAGGACCTGGCCCTGGACCCGGACCTGGACCTGGACCTGGACCCGGACCTGGACCTGGCCCCGTTGGCAGACCATGGCAGCCAAATACTTCTAATATGAATTATTCCTCAGCGTCCCCTGGTAGTCATTATGGAGGTCCACCTGTATCGAGTGGCTCAGGCCCACCTGGACCTGGTACTCCTATCATGCCAAGTCCACAAGGTTCAGCAGGTCCTTATTCACCAGCAAGTCATCGGATGGGAACTCCTAACACGGGAAGAGATTCATCTGGTTCTGGAGGAGATGGAATGTATCCTATGATGAAACCTGGCGGAAACATGCCTGGGGTATGTAATACTCAACAAACAAACATAAATAATGCCCATTGCACCTCGGAATCATTCCTGGGTCATGAGGAGACGCCTGAACCTCTCTACTGAGCAAAACGCATCCAACCAATCAACTGCACACGCACAAAAAACCTACCCAAGCTCTCCAAGCTCCCCGCGGATCGTCACCGTCTTGGCCAAGCTTTCTCTCCTTTTTTTCTATTATTTCTCTCGTTTTATTTCCTCATTTTATGCCTCTCGATTTGCTTAATTCTGAACCACTTTAAATCTTCGATCTGCTCTTTATTTTATTTGTAATTTTCTGATTACTCTTTTTTTTCATCAAACGATCCTTTTACTGCCATGAAATTTCCCATACACGCCATTATCATCTTTTAAATTAACTGTCTCTGCTAACGCTTTTCACTATGATTATTTCTTGCTACTTCGTTCTCGCTCTTTCTCAATTTTGATTTTGCTACTGCTGTCGATGCTTGTTTTTTATTTTTCTATTAATTAGACAATCACTCATACGCACAAACATGCATGCAGTTTCACTTATACATAAATGCTTTTTGCTTTTTCTTTCGCTTTTTCGCACTCAATACCTCTTTTCCATCGCTTTTCCTTGATTGTAACCACCAATTGCCAACACGTTTATTCACAAAACTTAATTGTTGGAATCAATGAATTAATAATCGCTCTGAGAGATGCTCAATTTCAGACGCATATACGCTTAGATAAGCAAAACCGTCAGACTGAAACAGGCAGAACGTATTAGTTTTTATGAAAACTTAGAAGCGACAGATAATTGATAAAAATTTGAATTCTAATTCTGTTGCTGTAATGTATCATCTTGATTCTGCAGTTTCCAATGGGACCTGGTCAAGGACCTGAGGGGCCGATGAGCCAATTGGGGCCTGATCTCGGTCCACCCATGTCCTCTGGGGGTAACGGTCTAGATGGTATGAAAAATTCGCCTGCCAATGGTCCAGGGACACCAAGGGAAGACGGTGTTGGAGGACCCATGTCAGATTATGGTATCTCTAGTTATGGGCAAGAAAATGTAAGTCGCGCTATTTGACGTACCTTTTCGTAGATGATTTAGTGCTCTGTTTTTTATAATAGTTATCTGTTAGTTTTATTTTTTCATATCATTTTATGCTCATAATGGTTATAATTGATCTATAAAAGTATTTTCTCATTTTTCCAATCAATTTATTTACTCTTAATTACTTGAACATTTTAATATTTATTTTGATTTTCATACCTTTTCTTTTCTCTTCATACTGATAGGATCAAAATGAAAGTGAGGCAATATTGAAAATTAAAGAAAGTATGCAGGAAGAAGCAAAAAAATTCGAGAAGGACACTCCAAATGATCATTCTGAAAATTTCATGTCATTCTGAAGGCACCAAAGGGAAAAAGCTAAAGGATTAACTCGAAATGAATGAAAAGTGACAGCATTAAGACAACATCATCATCAACAACAACACAATGATAGAAACTACTATTTATATCAAATGAAAGAGAATTATCAATTCACAACCATTTTTTGAAAAAAAAACTTACATTCAACAGTGTTGAATCAAACCAACCGACACCAGCACCACCAGCAACAACAACAACGCGCATCATCATCCATTCATCTCTCTCTCTCTCCTTTCTGTCACTTCATCCTCTCTTCCTCCTCTTTCGCATTCTCTTTCTCGTTCTGGTTCCATTTTTTGTTGAAAGTCTCCATCTCTTTCTACATCTCTGTCTTTCTTCGCCATCTTTCTCCTCATCTTTTGCTTTATTTTTCTGTTTTTTCTCACCCTTTTTTACTTTATTCCTGTCTTTCGCACTTTCCTCTTCTTAACCTATTGTACAGTCACTCTTTTCCCTTCTTATACTTACTTTCCCCCTCTTATATTTTGACTCAGCAGCGCCATCTTGTCCTCTCTGATGTTAATATTTTCATTCATCATCATTTTTAAATCCCATCACATCCAGAGTTGGCGATTACATCACCAGATGACTCTGACTACGTCGAAATGAAACCCTGAGAACCAAATCCCGATTTAATTTCCTCAGGCAATTAATGGAGAAGGAGAAAGCAAACTTGACCAGTAACTTCGGTATTTAATTTCTTCATATAATGAGTCTGCTAATTGTTCAATTTAAGTATTAATATTTATAAAACACCTTTGAAACTTACAATGTACACGATAATTTAATTACCGAAGATATGGATTGATCGGTTATTTACAAGAAACAATTCAAAATTGTCTCTTGTCCATCAGAATGAACCACTTTTCCTCTTTTAAATTAATTTTTGAATTTATATTATCTGATAAATTCAAGCAAAGATAAAAAAATCAATTTCGTAACAATTTACAAAAAAAATTCATTAATTCACGTTAAATTTGTGGTCATCTGAAAATTCCAACAATTTCCGGTCAATTTTTTTTAAAAACCAAACATGTTATCATAAGAAGAACGATGAAAACAAAATTAACATTCAAACAAAACAAAACAAACAACCCAATTATGTTCAATTACTATCTTCTAATCAAATACCTTCTATCCTTTTCAAGTGATCAACTGACTCAAATTTATCCTTCAAATAAACAGATGAAAAGCATTTCACGTTTAATAACTATTCAGAATTTATCTGTTTAGCTATGATCAATTAAAAAGTCTCCAAATTCATTAATTGATCTCTTGCTTTTCTCATTTTTCACAACAAATTTGCATCTCAAATCGATTTGAATACAATTATCGCGATTCGCACAGCTCTCACTTAAAAAAATTAACCTTAAGATGTTAATTTATTCAATTGACTGTCGTAAATTGAATATCAATGAACGTCTATTTTTAAAAAACCATTGAATTTATAAAAGTCTAATCAATGAACAATCGACAAATATGGACAGAAATAATTTGTTTAGTTCAAGTGCATTCACGTTAAACAATTATCACGGTTTCCTCTATTAATCCCAGGCAATTGTCAAAACAAACATTGAGACTTGAACTCAATCATGAATTTAAATTCATCAGCTGCCATGTTTGGAAATGTTGCTAAGTAATTTGAAGAGATTGTCAAATAAAGAGTATAATTTATTCGTATCTTTAATTCAATCACATCGACAAAATAATAATAGATTGCGGTGGATGATCAAGTCCAGTATTGTGATTAACCTCGGTAAAGCTTCTCATTTGTCCAATACTCCAAGTTGATTTGCGGTATTACATTACATGGAACCTTTGGATTACTACAGCAAGAAAAATTATCATTTATTATTATTAGAATGACTTGGTTAATTCAATAATTTAATTGATTTGATACTTACTTCGCAAATGGTTGTAATAAAGCCAATGGCTGCATAGCTTCAATATTATCGGCATTGGCACAAATGATTGCAGCTAAACTTGATTTTCGTATTTCATCCAATTGCTCTGAAACATGGAAAAAATGTCATTATTTGAATCAATCTAAAAACTTGGTCAACTTGATTGTACCTTTGTTAAATGAGTGAATCATATCTCCATTTTCATACCAAAATCTGTCACCAAGTTTGGATCGTCTAGCTTGCTCAGCCAAAATACAGGAAAATGTTGGTCCAACCACGGCTCCTGGTAAAGCCTTTTCATGATTACCAGCAATGAACAAATCAATATCGTCCACTGATCTGTATATTTCAATGAAATTGAAATTAAAGTTTGGTTATTTTGCATCGAAATGAATATCAATGAATCGTACTTGTAAATTTTGGACATTCTTTCGGCTGATCCTTGTCTCATTACAACAGACAGTTCTTGGAATGAACGGATTGGAGGTAATCCACAGGCTTTGCGGAATTCATTGTAACCAGGTAAACCATGATCACGACCTCGTTGAATATTCAAGGAAATCAAATCCATTCCAAATTCTCGGTCATGTTCTTGAAATAGATGATTGGTCAGCTAATTTTGATTGTTAACAAAATAAACAAAATTGATTAGAAAAGGAAGAAACGTTTAAAATTGCTTTTCTTAATTTACTTCTTGAGAGAAAAATTGATCAAATGTTTGGGTTGGTTGGCCAGTTAAACAATTTAAATATTCATCGAAAGCTCCTTTCTGGTAAATTGATTCTGGATTGTTGAATAAATTACGGAGCAACAGTTTATTCGTAATTTTACCATGATTGTTCATCAGTTTGAAGACACCCTAGAAAAGGAAATAAAAATAACAATTAAAAGACAATCAGTTTGTTGTATTTTAATATCTACTTGAATCAAAGTGTGGAAACGATAAGCTGCTGTTGCAAAGGAGTTCAATATGCCACCATTGAGATGAGGATCGTAATCAAAACTATAACCAGATGGTTTGAGCATTAAATTAAACTCCTTCATGACTCGTCTTCCTAAAATTGAGCAAAGTATTAGTCAAATGATACAGTAAATGTGCAATTTTAAATGTTGACTTTTGATTACCAATTATCAACGGCATCCATTCATTGTAAGTTATATGTTGAATTACAGCGGCAAGGATTCGTCTAGCTTCTTGATAAATGGTTTCATCATTCCAGGATGGATTGAGGTAAGATAATTTGTCAGCAAGTCGATTATGCTCACGTAAAAATAACATGTGCAGAGTGGTTAAACCGGTTTGTTCGTTAACTCGTACATCACCTTATGATTAAATTTGAAATGACTAATTAGTATGCATGAATTTACCCTAATATTCAAGGTTTCATTGGATGTTCAATCAATTAGTATACAAACCTCCGACAAAACATTGTAACTGTCGATGAGCTGGAATAGCACATTCATCTGATCGATTTTGTGCGTCAAACGGAAGGTATTCGACTCCGTTTATGATTGTATTTTTCAATTTACCTGAGAAAAAGTAACTTTAGTGTTAAAAATATTCAAACAACAATAAAAGCTGATTAACCTTTAACAAATGCTCTTAAATGAGCAGCTCGATCTACAGTTGATCCATAAACCATTGATCCATCAATATAATGAGTTAAAGTGTTGCTTTGTTCACGAGGACCTTAAATTTGAGAATATAAATCACTCATTAGAACAATCAAATCATGGTTACATTGAAAATAACAATTATGCTGATATTTGAAGGAAAAAATTTCAACAAAATTGTTTTACAGAATTGATTGGAACTGTCTTTACCCAGGAAACATCCAGGTCTTGGCGAAGGGGAATTTCTCACGAAATTTGTACAGTGGTGGTCAAATTTTGAGAAGAATGGGTCATCATGAGGTAGCGAAATTGGTCTACATGCTGGGTGTCGAATGCTGGGATTACGAGCGAACTCTTCACGACAACATATGATTCCTTCACCTCGATCAGAGTCAACTAAATTATGAAATTAGAGTAAATTAATTATTAAATGAAGTGATTTGAGTAAATGAAATATATTTACTTCTGGTTGAGGCAGTCAATGTCAAATCATGGTCAATAAATTGTCCCCATTGCATGACAAGCAAAGAAAATTTAACATCAGGAATATCAACATCGGTAGCCAAAGTAGATGATACAATACGGGCGCCTGGTAAATTGGAACCATCAGAAGCTTTTCGTAATTCATTCAATCCATCAGAATAATCAGGTGGAGCTATTCTAATAAACGAGGTGTGAGATTTTCCCCAAAGTGGATGCTCCAAATTATTACAAGATCCATCTATTGTTCGATATTTATCACGTACACAGTGAGGTTCTTTGGGACAATTATCTCGTATTGAAGTATCATACAAAGAGTATTGTTGTAAACCATCTCGAGCTTCATATTTGTTCAAACCGAATCTGTACAAAATTAAGGAAAAAATATTTAGTTAGAAGTGAATTTTCTATTAAAAATTACAATGTACTTCTTAGCGAGTTGAATTGTCGTTTCCAATGCAATCAAACCATCTTTAGTTGTTTTTCGAGTCAATGGATCAGGTCCGCCAAAAAAGGCTTGATGGTAAGACTCCATAGAGTTGGGTGTTTGAATGAATCCTGTGTATATTAATCAGAGTAGATAGTAACTTCGATGGTTCTTTTTTACTATTGATAGTAATTACCTTTTCGAACGAGTTGAACTTCTAGTTCTAAATTATTTTGCACAATCTTTTTGCTTTCACGAGCTGCATTTTCAATATCATCTATACTTATTGGTGGTATTTCAGCTTTGTAATGATGTTCCTTTGGTATTTTTATGGGAACTATTGAGGGATTACATGATAGTATATCATTGGTGAAATTAAGTATAAATGTTTAAACATTTGGTACACTTTCAACTTACTTTTTCTTATTTTGCTTTCTCGGTGTCCTTCAACTGGACAACACACAGTGGGTAATTTTGAAACTTTTTCACAGAGATTTTCTTGTAAATCATTTAAATCATCGAATTGATAGAAACATGTAGCTAAAGGTGCACAAAATCCCTGTAGTCCATCATTAGTTGAACAAGGTTTCGATGGGATTTGATTGTAACCATCACCTCGATTAGGCTTTCCAAAGCCAGGTTTTTCAAAGCCAGGCTGACCATAGCCACCTTCACCGCCATTTGGTTTAAACCCACCCGGCAATATGCCTGGTTTACCAAAACCTGGTTTTTTGTTATGACCAAAATCAGGTTGACCATATCCACCATTACCAGGTTTGGAAAATCCATCGGGTCGACCGTAGCCACCATCACCTCCACCGAAAGGCTTCTCAAATTCACCTGGTGATATTCCTGGTTTAGGTTGAGGCTTTTTGTTGTTACCGAAACCAGATTGTCCGTAACCATTTCCACCAGGTTTAAAACCTGGCTGTGGCTTTAGACCAAATTCGCCAGGTTGGCCATAACCATTTCCATCGGGCTTCTCAAATCCACCAGGTAAAATTTCTGGTTTACCGAAGTCTGGTTGCGGTTTCTTGTTGTAACCGGAATCAGGTTGACCATATCCACCTTCACCGCCATTTGGTTTATTAAAACCACCCGGCAATATGCTTGGTTTACCAAAACCTGGTTTAGGTTTTTTATTTTGACCAAAATCAGGTTGGCCATACTCACCATTACCAGGTTTAGAAAATCCATCGGGCCGACCGTAACCACCTTCACCTCCACCATAAGGCTTCTCAAATCCACCGGGTAAAGTTTCTGGTTTAGGTTGAGGTTTTTTGTTGTGACCGAAGCCATGTTCAGGCTTAATTCCTCCATAACCATTACCTTCGCCTTGTCCAAATCCACCGGGTTTACCATAATTTCCTCCTCCATAACCTGAATTTGAACCAGGTTTAATTTGGTGTGGACGATTACCTGGTTGTGGAAAACCAAACCCTCCACTTGGTCTTAATCCTCCAGGTCTTACTCCACCGTAACCTGGTTTGTTTCCAAAGTTTGGCTCTTCACCATAACTTGGTTTAATGTCACTTCCATACTCTGGATCTACTTTCTCATATCCACCGTGTTCACTGGGGTAAGAAATCGATCCACCTCCTCCTGAGAGATTGCAGTTTTGCGAATAAAAGAATAGAACACAAATATTAAACATAGAAAAGTTCAATGTAAATTTAAAAATTACTTTTAACGGGAGGTTTTCGAACAGGTCCAGGTTGATATCCATTTCCAAAGGGCCCAACTTGTCCATAACTAAAATCGGGTTTATTCTGGCAATTTACAATGAATCGATAAACTAAAGTCAGCTCGACTATTTTTTATTAACTAATCACAATCAAACATGTGACAACTCGAAACTAACCTGAGTTTGACACGGTCCTCGATAGAATTGGCCATTTTTGAAAAACTGACAACTTTGGCCCTGAGCTGATATATCCGGTCCTATGAATCCAAAAGCGTCAATTGGATCTAAAAGACAATTTGAAAGGTGATTTAATTTGACTGTCACAAATATAAGTTTATATTTATTAAAAGATCTATCGTCAAGAGCTTACCATAAGATAAACTTGAACCATAAAGTCCAAGGAAAATAATAAAGATAATCATACTTTTTCAAAGCAATTGAATTGCGATCTGACACGAAGCTATCAGCTAACTATGAATATCAACTAAGATTAAATAACTAGTTAATTCAGTTTACAATTAAGATAAAAGGATGTCACAACCGGAACATGAATTACAACTGAACGGATGAACTTTTAGCTGATTTGCCATAAAATTGTCGTGATAAGCTCACAGAAGAAAGGAAACGAAGCCTATTGTTTATACCATTTTTATTGATTTGTGTAATTCTTGCTTTTTTATTGAACAATTTAGCAGCTCGGGAAAAGGAGGATTCAATACATAATGATATTGTGATTTAAAAGAGCAAATTTTGCTCAAAGAGATGAATTAGACGTTGATGAGCTTTTGAAGTCTTTTTGACTTGTCGAAACTCTATCGGTCTCTCTATCTCACTCACTCATTTTTAAAGTTAATTTATAAAATTTAAAATCTCATGGAATCTCATACAAATTTTACAGATAACTTCGAATGGGGAATATTCATTATCTTTTCTTTCTCTCTCTGAGCACCAATGAGATATCTTCTTTTTCTTTATCCAGATGAAAAAAGAAAGAAACAAATAATAATATATAATAATAGCAATAATAAGTGAAACAATAAAGTGAAGCTGAAACAAATCTGTGTCCGTGGGTTCACTTCAATGATGTCCAAATGATGGTTATGAAAATCACAAGAACTATCGCTAGGATTAAGATTATCAGCAACTTTTTCCGGCGAGCTTTAGTCTATAGAAAAATATAAAAAACAAGAGTTAAATCATTTTCAATAATTTGACAATATTATCACATACCTGATACTCCCTTGCCTTTACAATTTGTTGTACACCCTCTTCAATATGAGAGGTAGCATTTTCAACGTTTGCCTCAATACTGTCCAACACTTCACCCTGCTCATGAACAAGAGTTGCCAGGTCCTTAAATATTTGGTTGACACCGAGAATGTCACTTTCTAATTTTCTGATTGCTTGTTCTCTTTCTCGCATAGTCTCCAAATCAACTTCTTCCTCCATTTGGATAACACTCTGAATTTGACCAACGGATCCAGGGCTCGCAAGGTCGATTAGATTCTGATTTTGACTAGCTTCTTCAAAAGGTCCAGTTTTAAGGCCAGAGTTTGCTCGAGCTCGGTGTACACTTTCCTTTTGTTTTTGAACTGCTGTTCGTTGAATAACTTGGAAATTTTTCAGCACATCAGAAAAATCATTGGTTAAACGTTCTTTGAGCATTCGCCTTTGCCTCTGAAAATGCAAAAAAGTAAGAAAAGTGAGCAATGTAGCATGGAATGTGCCGACTTATTTTAGATTATACCTGCTCAGAAATACTTTGCGGTTGTGGAATGGCTGAAAGTTCTTTGATGCTATTATTTGTTTCACGTGCAAGTTGATTTGTATAGTGTTGGATCTGTTGCCTGAGAAAAAGAAAGTGCCAAAATTAGTATATTGTACACCCAATCAACCGATTAGCTAAGACTCACAATTGATCACGCAAATTTTCTGAATCTGATGGTGTTCCCAGTTGATTGACCATTCTTTGCATTGAATTGACTGAAAAAGATGAAATAGTATATGTTAGGTGGGTATAATCATTTTAAGTTAAAGTACCCGTAATATGGGTTAAACATAGAAGTGAAAAAGCAAGGGCCTAAGTTTTCTTAAGTGTCCCATAAAACGCCCTTCCGACATTACCAACAGAAAAAGAAAGAGAAGGAAGAAAGAGAAAGAGAGAGAAAGGAAAGAGGAATGATAACAAAATCATTGATTTACCATTTTGAGAGATCTTCTGGACGTTAGAACTAACAGTATTGGAAAGACGATTATATTCATGAGCTGTATCACCTCCGGGGGCATTTTGATAGCCAGCATAAGGATTAGAGAAACTCATGATTGAATAACAATTAATTAATAAGGATAGGAGATAAAAATTAACACCAACCAAACAGTTTGAGAAATGACTTGATGCTACAAAAAAAAATATTAGAGTTTGCTGTCATCGTCTTTTAAATGTATCGCGGGATTTTCAAAATCTCAATTCCTTCAATAAAATATTTATTTCAACGATTTCGAGGCTAATTTTTCTTGAATTTTTTTCATTCAATTTAAAATTTATTGCTCAAATAAGTTCCAATTCTAAATTTTGATCAAAACCGGTATCAATCAAAACAATTTTGGTATTTTATTGATAAAATGTTTTAAAATTTTATGAATGAACATTTTATGAATGATACGCAAAATATCATATTGTTCAATAGTATTATCAGGAAAGACAGGAAGGAGCCAATTTTGATCACTGGAAATAAAGCAATAGTTTAAAATATGATTTAAAATTAATTTACATTTAAAAACCTAAAATTTATTCTGAAAATAAATTCAAATGACATAACGACGAAGAAACGATTCTTGAAAGACTATCAAAGTCTGGATTATTTATTTCGCCTAAAACTGAAGTTAATTTAGATTTCTTGTCTTTTACCTTTTAATAAGAGATTGTTTTTAATTGTACTTAGGATTACAAAAGTTAATAGCAAAAATTATAGTTAAACCATATTGAAGAGCTAGTTAATTGTATCTTTTCGATGTAAATTGGCTGTATACACATGTATTTGTACAGCTTTGGTGCAAAATTTTCCGGTCAATCACCACTTTAATTCTGAGTTATCTCAGTTTTCAACACTTCATGTAATTATAAAAACTCATCTTTTCTCAAGATGATTTATTTTTCAATAATCAGTGCTTATTGATTAGATAGTAGTTTACTGAGCTCATCACTTAATATCATGAGATTGGTTTGCTCTTGTTCATTAGCTTGAACGGAATTAATTCACCAAAGTTGGTAATTGAATGTGAAAAGGGAAAGAAAAAGCATAATTTGAATAATAACATGTAATATTAATTAAGTGGATAATTAATGCAGACGAGAACAGCAAAAGTGAATGCTGAAAAATCAGAAATAAAATAGTTTCGAGTAGGTTAAAATTGATTAGGATCACCTTATTAGTGATTTTTATTGAGTGAAATTGTAAACGGTAGTTGAAAACAGAATACTGTATTTTTTGTAAAACTAGTTAATAAATAATTTATAACATTAATCACCCAAGATATAACGAGGTAAAAGCAAATACAATGAAAATAAAGCCACCGATTAAAGTTACAGTGCGAACAGATATCCAGGTAGCTACAAGTCGACCACCCACAACTGCAATTCCTGTACAAATAGCATGACCTAAAATGGCCCCAAGTGTTACTCCAGTTGTAGACTCTTTGGCAGCCAGAATAATTGTTGTAATCTGTGATCTATCTCCTAATTCGGCAACAAGGGTCATGGTGAAGGTTTCGATGAAAACTAGAGACACTATGTGCATTAATTTACGTTTCAAACGTGTTGTTAATGGAACTGAACTTATTGTTCGCAGTACACCCGTCTCTGGATCTTCCGTAGTATTTATAATTTTCTGATCAATTTTATTAGAACCAGTTAATATTGTCCCATTGGCACTAGTTACACCAGTTTCTTTTTCTTGTAACGATTTTTGGACCTCTTCGTATTCTTCTTTGGCCTCTTCATCAGTCATTGTGTATCCATCTTTTAACATTTTAATACCAAAGACAAGAAATAAAAAAATTGAAACATAATGGACCAAATCTTGGCTAAATATTGCAGTGGCAACTCCAACAAAAACAGATAAAACAGTCATCAAGATTAATGCACTTAAAGCAGACATAAATACAGTCCAACGGTTATGTCTCATAGCCATGATTGCAGCAATGAAGAACGTCTTGTCTCCCAATTCTGAGACAATGATAACCGAAAAGGAGGCGATAAAGCCATGGATGAATTTATGCTCATAGATAGCTGACAGGCCCTCAGGGGCCGTAACATCCTCACTCATTGTTACCTAATAAAAATTAAAATAAAGACAACACATTAAAAAGGGCCAAAAAATATCAATCAAATTAAGAACGTTACCAGGAGTAGTAACTGATTAGAAAAATTAGAGAAAAAAGCAAAAAGGATAAAGAAGATTAGTAAAAGTATTCAATGATATTGATTATGGACAAACAATAAAGATTACATACAAAGTCCTGCATAGAGGCTATCAAATATTCAGTTGATTTTATCTCTGGATATCAAACTCAGTAAATGAAAATGAATGAAAAGCTCTTTTTGTCACTCAATTATTAAAATTGACAAAAGAAGCGGATAGATTTTGATTGTCAGAACAAAAAAGAAAGATTCCAGTTGGCAATATACTTTTCAAGGTTTTTTTACCAGATAATACTTCTTGAATATATTAATCACTGAATAAGTAATTTAATGGAATAAACATGTGGAACAGTACAATATTTCGAAGAGAACGAAGCAAATCTAAATATTTAACAAATGGAAAAGCTAACTAAAAATGAGAGCGAAAGAATATTAATTTAAAGGTGTATGAAAGTGTATCTTGTTGCATCTTTTACCTGTAACCGGTGAATAACATTCAGTTGATTTCTTCAACGTTGACTATGTGATGAGTGGAACTAGGAAAAATATGTTACAATTAAAGATCACAGAGTACGTAACAATTGTAAATATGAATTAAACATGTTCTGTTGAATGTTGAATAGATATTTATATTTGACACACAAATGAATTGAGTAAATCACAGCTAAAGCAGTTTGCGGATTATGACAACTCGAGTGTTGTAAGGAAAATCAGCAGCTGATTAACGAGTGTCGATTCTGCTGCCACCAAGTTGTCAAAATGTTTTTAATTTTTAAAATATCATCACCTGAGAAGTGGGAATCAAATAATAACTTAAATTGATCAAGAAAGGGTAATTGAACCGTGTCAATATGTCAACCAATACTTGCAGTTAATATTTGATTGATAAGAAAGCTGGTTAATTGTTTCTTTGTTTTAAACGGCAAGTAAGTTATCGAGTTGAGTATTGGTCGTAATTAGGCGAAATTGGTTTAAAATATTGATAATAAACATTTCAAAGGTAATTAATAGAGAAATTGTTTTCTCGTTTGTTCAATTGATATTTGCTAATCTTTCAAATACGTTCAAGTTATTGAATTAACGACTAATTAAGATGAAATAACAATTTATGAAAATTATATGCATCAGAAGGTTAAGGCATTTGAAATGGTAATGTTTAGTTCAATTCGATATATCCTTCAATCTTTGGCTGCTTGAGCAACAATTCTAATTAATTGAACAACTAGATTTTTCCAAACCAATTAAATTTAATTTGGATTTGAGTCTTTACTTTAAATAGATCATAAATATTTAAACCTCGAGTCAATTTGAAAGATAAAATTTGGCGCTTCTTTTGTTGCCAGTCTATTTGTTTGATGTTACCTAATGTTAACCGCACGTTGTTATTTCAGTGTCTAGTTTGATTTGAATTGCTGATATTTAATTTCCTTTTTATCTTTATTTTCTCTCCGTGATTAAGGACTGACTCTTATCTATTTTAATAATTATGTAAATATTTTACGGAGGTCATTTCGTTCATAGTTTATTATTATCATCAGTGAACCCTTTGAATGTAAACATTAAGAAAGTGAGTGTATATTTTTCTCGAATGGATTGCTTCTCGACATGACGCCTATCTCACCTTTATAATTTACCTAAATACTGATTATGGATCAACTTGATCGCCCATTAACATTTGCCCTTGGTTTAGCCTTTGGTATCGCAGCTTCATCGATAACACTTTACATTTTAAGTAAAGAAACTGAAGAGGAGGTCGCTCATTTAGTCGAACCATTAACCATCACTACCAGAGAGAGTAAAGAAACTCAGACTATTCCAGCCAATGAACCAAAGGTTAGTGTTTATAATACGCATTTTATTACATTATTACTAATTAAACCTATATTTTGATTTCTAGCTTTCACTTGATTTACTAAATGGTTTTCCTGAAGCTAATGGGGATGATGAGAACGATGCTGCAACCCTTAGATCCCCTTCACCGACAAACACTTTTTGTTCATCAGCAACTTATCCATCGGCCTATTTTGATGCTGATGATTCTGTCTCATTTTATCGTCTGTTCACTGAAGCACAGGATAATCTCAAATCAATTCAACCTCCCCGAGTGATCCGATGCACGCAATTGGGGTGCTCAAGCAATGCCGAGTTTATTGCAAAAGTACACTGCCTTCGATTGGCTTTTGCTGCTATTCTAGATAATGACACAAATAGAAATCATTTTGTTAACATTGGTAGAGATATTTTAGAAATGTTATCGATTGGACGTTCTTACGATATTTCTGACTGTATGAAAGCGTACGATAGTTTAATAGATTATGTGTCAGACGTCAATAACCATGAAGACATTCGCCATGAATTGGAAGCTCGAGGTATACCTTGTCTTTCTTTTTATGATATTGTTTTGGACTACATCATTTTGGATTCGTTTGATGACTTGGAAGATCCACCATCTACAATTATCAGTGTGGCTCAAAATTCTTGGATGTCCTGCAGCTTCCGAGAAACTGCGTTAAGAACTGCTGTGATGACTTTACTTAAAATGAAAAGAGCCAAATTGATGTATGAGAAGGGCTTTTTTGCCAATTTCTACAACATTCTAGATTACATTCTTCCCGTTCTGATTTGGGGATTTCTTGGTAGTGATCAAAATTTGAATTTCAAGTGTACTCTCATCAAGACGACACTGTTAAACGCAGTTAAGGACTATTTCAACTTTGATTGTGTTCGATATACAAATTTGAAAGATCTCAGTTGTGATATTTTGAGAATTACAAATGAATATTATGAGCAACTCAAAGATCAATTGATCGATTAGATTTAAATTATTGTTGTAATTCATGTTCCAAGCAGAAGTTTGATTGTCACAAAGAAATCCTTTGTTTTCCTGGTTTTCATAAATTTATAGCTTTTTTTCATAGAAAGTTTATTCAAACTGTTTTGACATTGGTTGTCGTTTAATCAATAAAGATGCACATAAGATATTAAAGTAGTTCTCATTAAATTTTTGATTTTTTAAACCATGTTTTTCTGACTTATTTCTTACATCTGTATGCACTATTCAATGGGTGTCGATTGGTCTTATGAAAAGCATGAACAAGATCATTTGATTTGAAGAGGCTTCTAATAAATCAGTTGTTTCCGGGAAAATGAGCTTGATACTTGTTGCGTGACTTGAACAATTATTTGATATCTTTTTGTCACTCGAGTGTAGCTTCAAGAGCGGAATCATGTCAAATGCTGAGAAACCAAAGTTTGAAGATGAAATTACTAAACAAGAAGCATTGTTAGGCACGAGAATCATGTCTAAATTTAACCCATATTCTTTTGTTAAGATTGGATAAGATTGTTTTTATTGAAATTATTTGAAAACCGAATTGGAAATCATAGCTCCCAAACATTGTACAATGTTGCTATTCATAAGGCCATCAACATTCTCTTCGAGATGACGTTTAGGATCCTGTTTACCCACATTTTTAATCACTAATTGCTCAGGAGTTAATTTATCTTCTTCCTCTACTGCTTTGTTATATGCTTTGGCGAGGTTGACCATATCTTTAGCAGTTTTCTCATTTAAAGAACAATGTTCATTGTAATCTCGTAAAGACAAGCCATCGATCCAGCTTTTCTTATGAAGGTTTGAGAGCATCTTTTGTTCCAACTCATTTTTACGATAGTTTATAGAAATGGAGTAATAATGACGATTAAGTCCATGGATAAGAGCTTGAATTGATGGTTTGTTAAGATGACCTAAGTTGGAAGTTGTCTGTCTAGGTTCCTGTCCCAAGACCATCATGTTTGCATTGATAAGGCGGAAAGCATCAATAACAACTTTGCCTTTGACACTTTGAATAGGATCAACTACAACGGCAACAGCTCGTTCGGAAAGGGCCTCAAAACTTTGCTGTGTATTAATATCGACACCAGAAAGCCAACACCCGAATCCCGGGTGAGAGTGATACCAGCCAACAACCATTTCTGGACGGCCTGTTTGCTTAAGCATATCTGAAAGCCAAAAAGGTTCATTAGATGAAGTAAAATACATAATTTTGATACCGACTTACCTAACATTTTAGCTTGAAAGACAGGATCAACAGCTTCAACACTCACACCAGTACCACTCTGAGGCATGGCAAAACAATCAATGACTCGTACAGTATAATCATCGACAAATTCTCCTAACATCAAACCCATAACTTCCATTGGAACACCGGCTCTGCCATGTTTTAACATTTTTAGCAAAGCTAAAGATGAAATATAAACTTGTTCAGCAGTGTCAACCACAGGTCCATCAGAAGCACCACCACCCTAAAGTCATTGATAATTATGTCAAAATAAATAGATGAATAAAAAATTAAAAAACACATTTATTTACATCAACTATGGGATACAAAGAAAAGGAAAAGTAAAAGTCAACTTACCTGTCTTAAATTACCGAGACCACCACCGAGACTTAATAAACGTTCCATTTTGAATTAAAGGATAATAATTAGTTTTGATCGAAAAAGTAAATCCACAGAATTAAACCACAGAATTGAATCAATAAAATAGCAAGAAAATTTAACTCAAAACCAAAAATAAGAATTAGTCAGCAGTTTAAATCCCCCAACTGAGCATGACGTTAGTCAATGAGCGGCATCTTTCGACACGAAATTCAAATAAACTAAAACAATTAACTTTTCATACGATTAAATAAATCAATTAAAGCTCAAAATTAATGCAAATCAATTGTCTCAATTCATATCAATTTTAAACAAAATCTCAATGACAAAAAAATTCCAAAATATCAAAACATCGAACATCTAACAATAATAAGAATAATATCAATCTAAATTAGTCTCATAAACATCAAGATTAAATTCAACAAAAAACTAGAATCTGAAGTAAACCAAAATCATCCAGAATTGATTAACTAATTCCTTGTCACTAAAGTCATTGATCATATGTTCAATCACAATCATAGAGTTTCGCAGTTAAATTGGGTTAGATTTAAAACAATAGATTGAAAGAGTTGTCAGTAGCAAACTATTTAATTACGTTTAAGTTGGTAACAACCGTTAAATCAGCAATTGTTGTCATCTTGATTAAGTTATCGAGATCAAATGAAAATAAAAAGTAAAAAAAGTAAAATTTTCTGATTATAAGGATGTTAATAGATGTCGCTTTAGCATGAATTGAAGTTGGAATCGAGTTTATTGCAAGTTTAGTCTAATTCAGAGAAGCATGAAAACAACTGAATGATACTTAACCATCAACAAACTGTAACATTGATAAACCACTTTGTGCCCTATTCACAATTAACCAACAATTAATTAATTGGATTGATCTTCTCTACTCACAATTACAGTTAGCCATGTTATTTTGTAAACATTAGCAACATCAATCTAAACCCAACCTAAACCTAAACATCAACCTTAACTCAACAGCGTTACAAGTGATTAAATGCGGACCAAATTAAATTGTAATTTTACCCATCTTTAAGTCCAACATTGTATCGACAAATATCTATACAAATATTGATGAAATCAAAGGTTGTTGTTGATCAACTATCCTCCAAAATCATCGTGCCTTTGAATCTTCTCTCCGATCAAAACTAATGTTTTTGTTTTATATTTCAACGCGTTTAACGCAAAATTAATTTCTAATCTGGATTATACTCTTAAAAAATCAAAGGATTGTGCCACTTGTGATAACCAATAATCATCATCTTCTCAAATCAAATCAACATTCATCAAGAGCCTTACAAGACTTCAGTGTTTTTCGGATTATTGCTCAAATCTAACTATCAAATCAAGCCAGACCAAGGATTTACCTCGGCCAAATCAACCTCAAACAATCAGGTAAATGTCATTTCATTACAAGCCTATGAACCCTTGTTAGACCCAATCAATAGAGACCCAGTGAAGATACAAAGTCAAGCTTAAAAGTGACTTATGACAAGTAATTGCTTGTTAATATCAAAGCTTCTCTTGCAACCCTCCTAATTGTGATTGAATTTAAAGCCTCCTAAGAATGATGAAGATAATTGTAATAATATTGATGAAGATGGTGTCAAGAGTGCTAGATTCAATACAAACTAGGAACTAAAAGAAGAGCATAAAAAAACTAGGAACTAACCAAAGGCAGAGAGAAATATTGATGCTGAACTGCTGAGTTCAATAACCTATGAGAGAAGGTTCTTTCTCCGCTTTCTCTCGGTCACACCTCAACCTCTTTCTTTCCTTTCTTTCCTTTCTCTGGTTTTCTCTTTCTTTACCTCCCTCGTAAATACATTGACATATTATGTCTTCCTTACTTTTCCTCTTACTTTTCCTCTTTCTTTCTACCCTCTCTTTTCACCTGCAAAAATGTCACATGAAAAGTCTTGATCAAAAAATAGGACTAATCATCGCCATTTTGTTTCAACCCAATAAACAATCAAACCCAAACCCAATCGCCCTTCGAGACAATGTTAACCATTTCAATCAATATTTCAATGACAAACCAATTTATACTTTTGGGTAATTGTAACCATTTTGATTGAATAACCGAGAATAAAGAGAAAACTTGAAATCGTTTAACTCAAGAAATAATCTTCACCAGATTATTCGCCTGTTTAAATAACATTTCAACCAATATTTAGGAAATTTCTAGATGTTTTGGTTAAAATTTTATGTAATGATTCATGTAACATTTTAGGTAATGTTTCAGGTTACATCTAATGTTTAATTTACCAATTTGACCTTCGTAATCACCAAATCTTCAATCAAACCCAAAACTGTTGAAACAATTTCCAATTACCAGTTTATTTATCAGATTAGTTACCAGTTTCAGCTGTCAATTTTAGGTATAATTTTAGTCATTTTAATCTGGCAATCAACAATCAAACCAGCCAAATCAACCTTGCTAATCAAAGGTATCCATTTGAGCCAGATCTTACATTTTATTGCCAAGTGAAACATGATTTCAAATAACATGAACCATCGAAATAATAACAAAGAGAAAGTGTTGAGATAATCTTTCTTCTCTCTCTACAGTCTTTCTTTCTTTTTCTCTTACTTTTTCCCTCTCTTCACATCCTCTCATGACTATCAGGTCATCGACCTGATAGTTACGAATCTTTCATATCAAAGTCATTACGCAAGTAACCCACTTTCCCTTTCTTTTTCTCTTTCTTTTCCTCTTTCTTTTTCCATCCGAAGAGAGAAGAAGAGAAAGAGAGAAAGAAAGAGAGAGGAAGATAAGGTACATGAAAGTGAGGGAGTATTTTAAGTGAAAAAGAAAGAGAAGAGAGAGATTGATGATGTGAGTTCACCAAGGGAATGAGAGAAGCTCGAGTTTTAAGGGAAATAAAACTAGGTCTGACCTGAATAAAGGTCTATGAACTTTATGGATAAACAGATAACTGAGGAACCCAATTGAAGGTTCATTCAGATTCAGATAAATTTACAGAGAAAGAGAAAGATTAAGAGCCTTCAACTCCTACACTTTTTTGTTCATTCATTTCCTTCATAACAATCATTCCCAGGTCATCATCATGATAGTTATTGAATTAAAATAAGATTTATAAGCGAACCCAAAAAAACCAGAGCAAGATTATTGACCTAAAATTGTCCTCATTGACATTAAAATGATCATCTATTGAAAATTTGTCACAATGATATTGGAAAGCAATTTATTGAACAAATAATCAAAATAATGATTAAATAAACTGAGTAAAGGATTTTCAAACTTTAAGGTTAATGGTGATGTTTGGTTGGGTAAAGGTTTTAAAGATGAAAGCTCAATGAAATAAACAGTGAAAAAGGTTTTGTTTTTCACTCGCTATTCATGTTGTTGCATTTTGATTACAGTTTACAGTTGTTAATTTGTTGATCTGGTCAAGGTTGGAGGATTGAAAGTGTTAAAGGCAAGTTGAAAGGTAAAAGTGGCATTAAAAGAGTGAGGCCTTAATTGTGCTGAAAAGTGAATGAACTCGTCGTGCCAATAGCCTAATTTAACTCTCACTCTCACTTTGAACTCCTTTCAATTAACTTGTTAGCATTACTTTTTGTGTTCAACGACGATTTTTTGACCTCCGAATGTACCTCACTCTCACTACCAACATCATCATCTTCATCTCAATGAGAGCGATGAAACAACAACAATTTAATACAACTTAAGGAAGCATCTTTTCAATTCATGCTTAATTTTCCCCTTTGCTCTACTTCATCCTCCTCTTCATCCCCATTATCATCATTTTCATCTTCATTTTCATCTTGTCCGATTTCAAATTAAACCTTAATGAAACAATTAAGTAAATCACAAAAGGTTATCAAACCCAATATCAACCTTTTACATCAAAAATCAACATTGAAAGTCTATTGCGGAAGCTCAATGTTTCATCAAAACAATCAATGAGAAAAGGTTATAATTAATTTTCAACTGAAGTCAATTGTTGAGTTTATTCATCAATATTTGATCTTAATCAATGATTATCGGTGATCTATTAATTATAACCCAATTTCAATGGACAATGAGTCAATAGATGATATTAAAAATGTAAAGTCAATAGACTTGAAAGGTTCAATTTTGAGCAATTCAATTCAACAATCAAGGTTGTTCATTTTTACCCTTAAACTAGTATTTTTCATGCGACAATCAGTTAACACTTAACGTAGTGTATCATTGAATGTCTTGTTGTTGAAACAATTATCTTTAATCACGATCATCATTTATGCAAAAATATAAATGAAAGGTAAAGGGTTGGCAAAAGGGTGAAAGTGAAATATAAAAATGCGAAAAAAAGCAACAAAATCGTTTCACAAGTTGGTTGATGTTCACTGTTTTTGTGTATCAGTACAATAATGATAATAATAGTTGATACAATTTGACCTGAATAAAGGGAACAAGTCAACATTTTAAGATTAACATTATTACAATTACATTTATTGCTATTATTATTATTATGATTTAAACTGATATTTAGTTAATCAGGCCATAAAGAAGCAAAAAAGGTTCACCCATCTTTGGAATCATCATGACAATCAACACCAATTGTCACAATTAGATACAACAGTATATTGAAAGTGAAGGCACAACAAGAAAACAAATCAAATTGTTAAACTCACCCACAAATCACAACCTGGTAAACAATCAATTGTTGCTCATTTATTTTGGGACTTTATTTTAGAGGACAAACTTTCCTTTTTTTTACCATGTTAACCCTTCAATTTAATTTAGATTGATTCATTAAAGTCATCTTCAACTGACAGTATTGAATCCGGATCACTCAACGGGTGACTGGTTAAAAGATGAAATTGTTAACAACAATTAACGGTGAAAATGCAAAAACTCGGAAGTTAAAGTCCGAATTTAATGTTAATGTGACGTTTCAATGATCCAACAAAATAATAATGAGAGCAAAAGTGCTCAACATCTTGGCCGTGATTCATTTTAACCCGTTTATCGTTTGTACCATTAGTATTCCATTATATTTTTTTCATTCTATCGATTTAACACTAATCATGAGCACATTTTTCATCTTATTCAAGTTTATTTACTTACCTTTTTTTGATCAAATTTGACTTTACAGCGATTGATTGTATTCATTACAGCTTTACTGATTATTGTGTTTTGATTGTGACTTTAAAGGTTATTTTTCGGTCATTTTTACCTCTCTTTTTGAATATCAAGATTCGATGAGATAAAGGTGAACTCTTGTCTTACAGTTGATTCCTTGAGCTTGCTTTGTTTAGTTGATTGCTGTCCCAGCCAGATATCTAGTTGGAAATGTTTACTAATTGGGAAGAGTTGCGAAAAAATCAATTTGTTTCCATTTGCTTTTTGTTGTTAACTCTTTTTCAGTCGATCGTTCCAAGTCATTTCAAATTCATCGTTGAATACCATTGAATAGGTAAATGAAGGTTCGGTTGAACTTTGAGACCATTTTTTACTTCTTCATTATTGTACACATAAAAATGTGTTCACAGCTTAACATTATACCTAAGGCTAGATTTTTAATGTTGTTTTTCATTAAAAAGTAGCTAATCAATTGGTCTGACAGTTTGCTTTCATTATCGAAAAGGAAAAATAATAAATCGAGTTTCTTGCTTCTCTTCTGTCAGTTGGTCATTAAAGCCAGTTCGATGTTGATGGTTAAAGAATCGATATAAAAGTAAAACTTATAACCAAGTTTAAAAGAGGTTAGCCATCCCTAGGTTTGTGACCTCAACCAGCATAAAGTGTCAAATAGTTGGAATCAGTGTATTTTGGAAAGGTTAATGGTGAGATAGAAACACCTCGGAATCAGCTTTAATCCCCCATTTAACCTGCTATAAGGCATCGAGCCAACGGTCATTCAACTTATCTGACCTCGACTTTGATCAGAAGTGGCTTTCGTCTCATTCATTTTGACTTTACAAGGAAACAAAAAGATTTTCTTTAGTTTGATATTTTCATTCCACATTTTCGAATCTTCCAAGATCTGTAAAAAAAGATAAAAAATATTAGCTTGAAATTTAAATAAACTTTTGTTCGAAGTATTTCAAATATTTCAGCTTTTCTCTAAAATATTCAAGAAATCGAGATGAAAAGTAAGCATTTCGCAGCAATGAAAAGTGTTAATACAATTGCGAGAAGCAACTTGAAAAGATGAATTTTGCTATCAGTTGAAAGTAAAGGTAAGGACGAAAATATATTGAATTTTTGTGTTGTTTGTTTGTTACGTGAAAAAATGATACAGAAAGGGGGTTGTTAAGGTTAAATTAAATTAAAAGGCTGAAGAGAGAGAGAGAGAGAAAGAGAGTTGGAAAGAAAGTAAAGAAGAAAGTAAATTGGAAAAAGTAAAAGTGGGTTCAATCTCGTATGCACACACTTCTTCCGGGTTTGATCTAGTCTCATAATGAGACTCTTATTCTCTTTCTTCTTCTCTTGTTTAGCACTTGTTCAGTCTTTCTTTCTCTGTCTGTTACCTATTTACCTGAATGAGCCAATAATTAAGCTACTAATTGTAATCAAATTGCTATCTTGATCAATCATTAAAAAAGTCAAACAAGCAACAAAAGACAACAGACAAGTAGAAGAAAAAAACAACATGATCATTTCATCCCAATCTATCCTTGATTTGAAGCTGATTTGAGATCATTCAACTTTTACATGATTATTTGAGAGTTAAATGAAAGGAATTAATCTCACTTTACTCGCTCTTTTTTCGTTCTTCCATGTTTTTTGTTTTATTTTAAAGGTCATCTTGATGTCAGTAGGTCGAACCAGTGATCTTTCAGGCAAACTTGACCATAGAATTCATTATTACCAAAATTACATGTGACAATGAGTTGAAACAGCTGAGATTGCATTAATCCTATTCCATAATGATGATAATAAGTCCTCAATATCCTCAATAAGTTGCCAATACCAAAGGCTAGAAACAAGTGTCCAGAGGTTTTAAGCTAAAAATAAACCATAAAATTGTATAATTATTGAATTGAAAAAATTGTACAAGGTTGATAAGCTTACCTTTCAAGATCATCTGTTTAAGTGTTCAAAAACCAGTCTAGTGTAACAGCATTAAGTTGAATGGGAATAGCAAGATTAAATTGTAAATTCATTAGCGAGAATCAGGAAAGTATCTTATTGATAGTAAACTGAAGTTATCTTATGAAAAAACTCTAAAATCCAACAAGTTGGCAGCTGTAAACAAAGAACGATGTTTGGATAAAACCAATGTTGAATACGTGGTGCACCAAAGTTGCAAGATTTTCTCTTCACTATTTATCAATCTGAAAATGATGAATTTAAATGAGAAAATTGATGAGGAAAACAAGAACAGGCTACACTTTACTATTGCTTACCAATAAAAGTTAGCAGCATCTTGCTATTAATATCGTGAATCAGACCCAATATAAATCACAGAGTAAACAGTAAATCACTTTAATCGTTGATATCAAGCACAATCATTGAAAGTTTACACAATTATAAATCTTGTTGATATCTTGTTTATGAGAAACTTAAAATAAATGATCTAAATAATTGGAAACATAGTCAAATTAAATTAATCAAAATAATGACAAAAATTAGTTTTACACCTTGAGTCACATTTTCATCGTTAGATGTCTCTACAGTGTTCAGAAAAATTGATGTCAACAAAAGGGATCTTATAGTAATTGCACCGGTTTGGTTACTATTGGAAACGAATGAAAATTTTGAAAATTCAGTTTTTAATCAAAACTATTATCAATGAATTTAATGTTTTACCTTTATTTTTTGAGTTTATTCAACACAATTTGAGCTTTAATGCTTTAAATTAATATAAAAAGACAGCTGACAATGATTCTACCATTCATTAAACAGAAATTTCAACCTTTTTGCTCAATTAGTTGATTGTAAAGTCACAATTAGTGAATTTTAAAGCTTCCAAGCTGTTCAAAAGCTTTTATTCATTCATTTCAACCATTTTATTGTCCAATTATAACATAATTCAAATCAGTGGAATCAAAAATTGTCAAAACCCTAGTGATATTTTAATAATCTTGATCACTATGGTATTAGTTGTTTCATTTTATATCAGTCAGCAGAGTGAAATTTTCTGATTAATTCAACTTTACACTATTGTTAGTGTCATGGTAGATGAACCTAAACTATGACATTTATCCAAAATGTATTAAACTAATGAACCGATATTAGATTTAGACAGAAAAAGAGAATTAATCTGATGATAAAATTCTAACTGAGTATGTGTTAGCCTATTTTCGCCATTTTGTGATTATTTTTGCATCACTTGCCTTGAAAAAATTTTCTTCTTTGTGATGTCTGAAGAAGAGAAAGAGGATGATGAAGAGAAACAGAAATAAGGTGAACTACTATTCTCTATAAAAATATTCAAGGTCAGATTGAAACCTCGAAACAAAAAAAGAGAAGACTGTTACTTATATTTTTCCATCTCTCCATTTATCTTCATCTCTCTCCTTCTCTCTCAACTCCACTTTTCGTCATCATCATTTCTCTTTCTGTCTTTCAGTGGTGAAAAAAATGATGAAAGTAGAATGAGGTAAAATCCAAGCGCAAGTCTAATGATACAGGCTTCAACATCTTCTTGCTCTTCTCTTGCTTTTCCTCTTTTATCGATTTCAAGGTCAATGGCTCACACATCAATCGATTAGTCCAGTATCGTCATCATCATCATCATCATCACCCATCATTCTCCTAAATTTGCTCTTTCTTTTTGTCTTTCTTTCTGTATAACCATAGTCTATTTGTGTCTCTTTTTGTCCTTGGAGAGTTCAGGGTTTAAAACAGCATGGCAACACTCTCTTTATTTTCACTTGATGTTCCTCTCCATTCCTTTTGGTTATTCATCTCTCGATAGATTCTGACATTACCAGGAGAAGTAAGAAACCTGAAGGAGAAAGGGAAAAAGAAAGAGAGAGAGAAGAAGAAAATAAAGATTAATTTTCCAAGAGGCGACAAAAGAAAAAAAAATGATGCAGATAAAAATGTTCATACGCAAAATGATGCTTGGTTAAGGTTACGTTCCTAAGTGAGACAGTTTTAATTGACAAAATATCGATCCAAAGTTGAATTTTCCAAACGATACAAATCTCTCCATTGTCTCCTTTACAATCAGGATCATCATGAAGATGATCATGAAGCATCTTCATCCATCTTTTCAACCCTTACAAACTCACAGGTAAACAAACGCAACAAAAAAATTATCAAAAAAAGCTATTTTAGTATCAGACAAGGTCACAAAGATGGCAGCACACCCTATGTATCAAACCAACGCGGCAACAAGAAGAGTCTTTGTGATTAAGTGAATCATTACATGGTTATATTGTTTAGTTGAATTTAGGAATCATTTTCTTGTTTATTAATCACGTTCTCATCTTTTACATTCCCCGCCTCAACTTCACCACCATCATCATCATCTCTTGTGCTTATCTTTTTTAAAACAAAATCGTTTAAGGCTTCAGTTTCAAGGTTAACTCAGGAAAGGGGTTATTGCTCGGATTGCAGGGTCAACACAGGAGCATAAAACAAACATTTTTTTCTTCTCCTTCTTTTTTCACTTTCTTTTTCTCTTTCTTCTTCCATTTCTCCTTCATCGTCTCCTTCATATTCATCGTCTTGGCAATGTTTTGCAACACCAAGCAATCATCATTGTGTATCATGGCCATGATGATAATTATAATGTGTCTAGTAGCCCAGTTCATATCACAAATCCATAGACGTTGTTATAATCTTATAAGCGCTCAATTTGAGTGTTAAAAAGTGTTCAGTGGAAAAAAAAGAATCAAATTTTTTTTCTCCTTTTTATTCGCTTCCATTCAAAGTCTCTTTCATTGTACAATTACATGTGCAATCATAATTTATTTAATTTACTTTACCTTCTATCAAACATTGCCTTTGAATAGTTTCATTTATTCAGCCACCAGCTCAAATTAATTGTCTCGCCATTTATTTTATTTTCACGTTGATTGTCAAAATGAAAATATCCTCCTTTAAGCACAACATTAATGGCAATGATAGTAATGATAATGTTGATATAATTAATACAATTTACCTTGCAAGTTTAAACTTTCAACAATCGCAAGGTAAAAAAACTTGAACATGGTAAATCCAAGATTGAACATACAATCAGTTTTTCTCATCATTTAACCTACAATTTCAATTGGTTCAAATGATATCAAACTATTCAATTACACAATGATTTATCCCTAATTAACCTCAACAAATCCGACAACACTAATCATTGATTTATAACCTTTCCTAATGTATTTACAAAGGTTGATAATGTGATTATTCAATGTTTCATTAACTCAACGCGAGGCAAAATTTTTCATAACTTTATGTTTTTGATTAATTATCTCAACTCAATCAAAGTAGACAATTAATTTTGATAAAAACAAATTTACAATCAACTTGATTAAACATTTCAAGTGCTATTAAAATAAGCCATAATTACATGTTCAACAAAGTCAACAATCTAATTCAAGGTAAAATCAAACACCAACAACCCAAAGATTTGAAAGTCTAAAGAGTAACTCAGAGAACCAGAAAAAAATATTAAAAAGTTAACCCAAAAAAAGATGAACTTGAATCCGAGTCGCAATTGATCGTTGATCAATGATCATTCACGCTGATGATGATTGAGGATACAGTGATAGTCAAATCAATGTCATCGTACTTTATCCACTTTCTCAATTGTTATCAAATGATTATCATTTTTCTGACTTCTTCTTCAGACATCAACCTTGTTGGCATTTTTTGTCTCGGCCTCATCATCATCATTATCATGTTGATTAAAAGCCAAACTAGATTAAAAGCATCGTAGCAACAGCAAGTTGATCACCATCGACATATTAATAAGTCAGTCAGTCAGTCAAGTTGCCTTGATATTTAAAGGAAACTTTTAATAATCTTAATGATGATTGGTAATTATCATTTGAATCAGTCTCACACATTGTTTCAACAATCGTCCAATGAACCCAAAATTTTCAGGTTTCAACTGGAATCATATTACAATGTAACCAGAAAAATGTGCGAGAGGGAAAAGTTTATTAACCAGAAAAAGGTTGCACTTGAAAATGGGCAATAAAAATGCTTTAAATTGATTGTAAAGTAACATTTAATTTCACCAAAAAATTAACAACAATTTAATCTAAATTGAAACAATAAACGCATTAACATTAGCAAACCATTAAAGCAAATGTATTGCGTTAACTCAATTATGAGCCACTTAAAGTAAAAGTTGACTTTAATGATCTCGTTAATCTGTGAGCGTAAATGTGATTACATAGATTAAATTGACCATCAACAATTGAAAAGGAAAAGACAAGTTTGATTTAGTTATGATATGTTGATTGTCACCTAAAAAACCTGCCATTAAATGTCCACCAAAGACAGGTCAACACTGAGCGACAACACAGACACAAACATACAACAAAAAATATATAAATACAAAAAAGCAACTAAACGCCACAAAATGTACATTAAACTTGAATAAAAAGGCATCTTCATCTTTGATCTTTATCATTGCTTTTACTTTCACCATCTTTATCTTCATCATCATCTTCTCTCATTTTACAAAGATTAATGTTGAAGATGGCTTTACTAGTTGAACGTGCCTTTAAAAAATAGTACATAATATGAGGCCCGTTTTTTATGAGAATATTGACCTCAAAAAGTTTAAATCCACGAAAAATGTCTTCTTCTTCTCAGGCCTTTTTCTCAGGCCATTTATTAGGCTAGTAGAGCCTACAACTAAATGGACACTTTGACAGTAAACTCAACCACTGGCAACACTGGCCACTCCATGAGATAACCATGAACTTGAAAAGGGTTCATCTTTGATTCCATGAAATAATCTGATAATTCTGGCGTTTAAAAATAGCAAGTCAACATTTACATGAATAACTAGATTTACTTGAAATGAGGAGAAGACGCTTTTCCTGCAAATTCATCATTACAATCACAATTGGTGTAAATCATTATTACGGTTAGGCTTTTTTTTCACGGACAAGGCCAATGTTTAAATTGAAGATTCAAGATCAATGAAAAGAGGAAATTATATAACTTTGTATTCAGGTAATTTAAGATTCCAGCCAACCTTTTAACCAAAGAAGAAGAAGAAGAAGAAGAAAAGTTTAAGAAAAATGACTTTTCCTTCTTTGTGAATCTTCCCATCGTGAAGACGAAACTGAGGTCAATCGTTGAATGGTTTGTGAAAATAGTACCATGTTGTTGGACATATTATAATTCACGGACAATACTAGATGTTAGGCCAATGTGTGCAAAGCCAGTAAAGAAGAGATGAAAAGAAAGTCGGACAAAACGGAGTTTACCTTAGATTGAATAATCTTAAAAAATAGCCGTTAACGTCTCTTAAGACAAATCGCTTTTGATTCAACAGTAAAAAATAGAAGAAGAAGAAGAAGAAGAAGAAAATGCATCTTCAAGATGATCAACAAGATGAAGATAAAGGTAAATGTCCACATTTTTCTCTGTCCAAATTTACACTAATATAATCTTCCTTTTCCTTCTTGGACCCTCTTTGAGTCCGGTTTCAATCAATCTTCAGCTTCATGTTCAAACCTAAAAGTGAACAACAAGAGAAGAAGAAAAATTTACCTTTTTTATAACTCCAATGATTATCAAGCATCGAAGATCAGAACATCTTTAAAAATGTCGAACATCGAATCTCCTAAAAGGTTGAAAAAAATGTCCTTTTGTCCCTTTCCAAGTCTAAACTGGAAAACAATAAATGGTGAACATTGAACTAGACTTTTCTTGTTTTTGTTGTAAAAATAGTGAAAAAAACAGAGCAAAGGGTTAGAAACGTTTTAATGGTTCTATTTTTTATGTTCATCTTGTTGCAAGTTCAAGGTCATCGAACAGGTAAACCAGTAATGAGAAAGCTAAAACAGGTAAAAAAGGTAAAAAAACAGGTAAAAACAGTTTTCACAGAAGCAAGAATGAAAGTGAAGCAGCAAAAAAACTGAGTCAAGCCAAATTTACCATTGGCCTTGGTCTTAATGCCAATTAATTTAACAAAGGTAATAAGATGAGGTGGAAAGAGCGCTTTTTATTGCACTTTACCTCCCACTTGACATCAACAACAACTTTCCATGAAACCCAAAACTTGGAATAAAAAGAGAAATGAAAACTCACCCAAATTTAGCAAAAAAATTGAAGGTTAACCTGAACATCATTACCATCTTTTCAGGCGACTTTTCAATTTTCTCAATCAAATTTCTTTCTATTCATCAATTTTCAATTTATTATTTTTACCTGTTCTTCTGTCCGTTTTTTTTCTCACTCTTTATTAATGATGATACAAAATAGTGACAGGTAATAATGACTGTTGACATTGTAAACGATTGAAATACTTGTCCAATCAATGATAACAAATGATAATCGTTAGTCAATTTGGCTGAATAAGGTAACACGGCCAAATGACCATCGATTATGAGGACAAATTGATCGATCACACACCATAATGGGCAAACAATAACAACAATAATAATTTACACTTACCTGTAACAATTTTTCTCTCTTCATAATCATTCCAATCATTATCATATTTTCACCTTTCATAATGTAAAAGATGAAATATATCAATATTTTACCAAATTACATTGTTGAAGGAAAAAAAAAGTAAGAAAAATGTCCCAAAATATAGTTGACCGGGCGGTCTCGTCCAGCGTTTGTACCTTTTTGTGTACATTTGTTCATTGAAAGCTATTGCTCATTATTGTTATATCATATACAATGTTTGATAGGAAGCAAAATATGATTTATCATTTTTAAATGATTTCAAGTGAAGCCAAAATATAATTTATTTAAAATGTTTAACTTTTCATAAAAAAAGTCAGTCTTTTCCCAAAGTTAAATGGACAACTGCAAACCTCCAATCATGTGGTTGGCAACTTTTGGCTTGTCAACCTTTTAACATGAATAACTATTAGCTAATCATAATAATGGTAATAACTAAATTGATGGGAACATAATCATTCTAATCAATATTCACTTTTACCGATTACAGTTAAAGTCATTCAAGATCAGGTCAACGGTCAATGTTAACCGACAAAAATATCGTTTAAAAAATGTTACACTTTCTGTAACTGTAACTTTATACTTTACAATGAAAATGCATATTTAATCATTTATCCAATTGAATATTTTTTTCATTCAACTTTTACTTTTACTTTTACTTTTTGGGTTGAATAAGAAGATAAATATTTAATGAACGATAAGATGTGCCAGGTAAAGCTAATAAGTATCATCATCAAATTGCAGGAAATCTTGAGGTTCACTTTTCATCTTTTGCTCATCTTCCTTTAAACCCAATTTTTGCAATCCAAATGAATCTAAATTTACCGTCAAATTTGCGACTTTTTTTCTCATTTCCATTTGCATTTTACTTTTATCTTTTTTTGTGTGCTTCTCTTTTTTTCTTGCACGATGAATGACACTTGTTTGAAGATGAAACTTTGTAACTCATCTTGTCATTGTCATCCTTTGCATCTTTCCTGTCATCATCTGACCATCGACTTCATGCTGATTATTACCCAAGAAAAGGAAAAACTTTTCATCTTTACCTTTCTTTGTTTCTCCATTCAATGTAAACCTGAAAAACATTTACATCACTGTTTGACCATTGAATAAGTAACCAACGTTAACCTGTCATTAAAAGTGTACAAAACCTAAAGAAGAAGAAGAAGAAACAGCAAAAAAATAGAAAAGAAGAAAACTTTTGTTATAATCAGACTAATAATAGTAATAAGCATAAATGATAAAAGGTTGTCAAGAGTAGCAAAAAGTGTCCGAGTAAAGGTTTTCTCGTGTTGGGTCATTTTGTCTGATCCAGTCGACTCATCTTCATCTTGAAGAGGCAAAAGGTTGAAATTTGTAAATTTAATGCAAAACTTTCACTTTCTCACTCAATCATATCTTCATCTTTATCCTCCTTTGAATAATCAATGAATAGACCCTTAGGTGAACCCTACTATTAGTGATGAGAAAAAGCAAACGCGATTTCATTGCATAACTGATGTTGCCCTTTACCATAAAATAACCTTAAAAGGTAACATCTTAGAAACCTAGTGAAGGTTAAGATGAAGAAGATGAAGAAGATGAAGAAGAAAAGTTGGGAAGAAAAAAAGAAAGAGAAGAAGGTAAGTGAGGAAAGGAGAAGAGAAAGTAAGAAATGTCATTGACATTGAACTTCATTTTTCGCAACTACTTTTGCTTTTCGCAGTTTCTCAGTTAGCTTTTCATTTTTACATTCTTTTGTTGACTTTCTTCTCCTTTTTGCCCCTCTTCCATCTTCATCTTCATCTTCTTCCTGTCTCTCATCGGTTTACCTTACAGTTAGGTCTTAAGAAAAGCCAACAAAAATAAACCTCCCAAGACTTGCCTTTTCTCGCGTTATTTTTAGCATCAATGAAGAAGAGAAGAAACTCACTCAATTCACTCTATCATCTTTATCGTATTTTTTCTTCTCTCATCTTCTCCTTCTCTCTCTCTTATCCTCATCTTGCTTCTTTCACCAATCAACATGGATTCCTTTGGAGCCGACAAAAAAAAAGCCCAAGAAAAACGCATTCTGTTGCATCTTGTTCATCTTCCTTTTCCCAACCGTTTCTTTGCAAACACTCAATGAAGATTATTTCAACCGATATTAGCAGGAAGACCAACAAGATGAAGAAAGTGAACGGTGTAAAGATATTTAAAGTACTTGTTATTGGCACTTTCCTCTTTCCATTTCAATGGCAAACCACACTTTTTCCGTTGCTTTCATAACCATTATCATTACTCTTCCCATCGATCTCATAATTCACCTTTACTTTCCCTTAACCTTTTGCACTACTTTGACTCATGAAACTGGCAAATCTCTTTATATCTTGGATCCTTTTATCAACAAGTGTAAATGTGTGTTACTAGCAAATGCTTAAATTGATAATCAAATGATTATTACATTAAATTGTTTACACTGACAATCCAGGTTAACAATATAAATTGTGATTAAAAATTTTCCTCACTTTGGATCATTGATTGTAAACGATAAATGAGCAAACAAAAATCAAGTGAACACAATAAATTATCTGTTCCAGTAGACTGTTTCACTTGACTAACCGCTTTTGTTTTGCCAGTCTTGCTGCTTTCAGTAAGTCAATGATCTTGATCGTCATCCCTGATCATCCCAAATCATCTTCATCACCAACCAAGGTCAATGTCTAGAAGAGAAACGCAAAAAATCAAAACAAAAGTGGATGATGAGAGAAGAGAGAAGAAGAAGAGAATTGGTAAACATTTTTTGTTCATTGAATTTTCTGGTAATCAGGTGACCTAAAGGAAAGTTCAATGTAAAGTGCAAAGGCGCAAAGGTCCTTTAAGGTCATGATTTCACTAACCTTTTAAAAAAGCATCAAGAACAAGAAGAAAAATTTGTGCAAGTTCATTGATCTTGTTAATAATTATTATTATTTAACTTGCAACTTGCTATGCAACTGACCAACAAACTGACCTTTTTCAACCTGTAAGACAAATAAGCATGACCAGGTTAACCATTGCCAAAGGGCAAACAAGATAACCTTGTTAAGCAATCAATACAATTTAATAACAAGTTAATGAATTACTGTTTCTTCTCATTCAGTGGTCAGCTCCAATCATCAGTCTAACCAATCATTCAGTAGTTAATCACTATCATCATTTTGCCAATCATATTTTACATATACAACAAAATTCTTTATTCTTGTAAACAAGATAATTGAATCATCCAACATAATTATCCTTTAATTATCAAAATCATCATACAATAATGTATAATTTGATTTAATTTTTCAAATTTGCAAACTTGAAATCACAACGTTCCTTTTGTTCAAGTAAGATACATTTTAAAATAATTGTCATTTCTCTTGATGATTGTATTAAAAAACAATTTATTTTAACAGTTGCAAGTGCAATTAGGAATCAACATTTAGTCGGGAAAAATGATGAAGATGAGATTTTTATGTGTAAAAATTGAGTATCGTTAGGTGAGGAAAGAACACCTTGTTTGATAAAAAAATTGGTCTTAATTACATTTGCTTGCCAAAATAGATATGTTTGATGACATGGGAAGAGATGAAAAAGTGACATCCAAAAGCAAGAACAGAGATTAATTTGCTTTCAATTTGGATACAATCATAACCATAAAAGAGGCAAAGCAGAAAAAATATCTCTTGAAGAGGACGATAAACAAGTGGCGTTTCTAACAAAAAATAACGACATGATGTGAACACATCAAAGATATGTAATCATTGCTTGATCAGACGGACGAAAGGTCCGAAGTCTTTTTGTCTCAATCTATTGTAATGTTCGTACAACTTTCAATCATAGTCTTGAGTTTCCTTTCTTTTGGCTAAAAGTGCTTTTCCTACTTTTGACGAGGTTTCTCGACCCAATGCCGAGCAAATGTATTCCGAGGCTCGAAGTAATCCCTCCATGTCAACTCCTGTTTCAATGCCCATTCCTGTAAGCATGTAAACAACATCCTCAGTGGCAACATTACCAGTGGCACCTTTAGCAAATGGACAACCTCCCAAGCCAGCAACTGATGCATCTACAATCGTCACTCCTGAATGAAAAAACAAGGAAATGTTTCAATTAGAAATGTTGCGAAAATTTAAACAAAAATTGTTTAACATACCACATTCAATTGCTGAGAGGATGTTAGCTAAAGCTTGACCATAGGTGTCATGACAATGAACAGCAATCACCTCGATAGGAACCAGTGCTGAAACTGCTTCAATTAGTGCTCTCATAGAAGCAGGATTTCCAACACCGATTGTATCTCCTAATGATATCTCATGACAACCAACTGAATACAAGCGATATGCCATTTCAGCAACTCGTTCCGGTGGAATAAGTCCTTCATAAGGACAACTTAAACAGCAAGAAATGTATCTAATGAAATTGTGAAAGAAAAACAAGGAAAAAAATGATTAAACTGTGTTCAAAAAACAAATACTTAAGTCGAAGGAAATGTTAATATTAATTTGCTAGTAAACTTTATAACCATCAAACAAGCAATCAAGTTTTCAGAGAGAGTTTTGTAATAAATCAAATATATGACAAAATAGCATGAAATACATGGTAAAATTCATCACAGATTAACAACCCTAATGGCAATCTACGTAATCGACGTAACTATAAGTATTGGAAACATGAGCTAAGCTTGGCTTTGAAGACAACAGAGAAAGTATTAATAGCGCTTACAGAATTGGACATTCAAAGTTGTAAATATTGGTAAAAATTTTTCCTCTTCTAGTCTATGGATCTTTTAGCTTAATGGATAGAAATGAAAATTTCAATAAAATGGGAAAAATAAGATCAGTAACAATCAAGTTCATCATCGCCTTTAGGTTAATTGTTGGGTCAAGGTTTCCCAGTTTTCGCTCTCTATTAATTAGCAATTTACTTCCCTAAACTTTGACGTGTGATTGTCGAATCTTAATTTACTTTTTTGTCCTGTTTTATTTCATTTTCACTTCTCTTGCTGTTGATAATGTTTTCAATCTGTAAACAAAATTTATTCAATCAACTGTTTGTAATTGTGACCTCAGCTTGGTAGAGCATTAGTTGAACAAATTAGAGTAGAGTAATATCGTCCATTTTTTGCTTCGTTGTTTCATTGAAACTACATTTCGAGTGACGAAAGATAATGACAGTTAATTCATGTCCGTGAGATGATTGATTCGTATGCTTGGTTTGGGGAAAACTCGAGGTTAGTTTGATGGAGGAAAAAATTGAAAAAGCAGATAAATGATAATTTACTGTAATACTTACCCTCGTACTTTTAGACCTTTTTTCAGAGCGTATTTAGCAACCTGTTCCATCCTCGTTAAATTTTGAACCAAAGAGCAGTTTGTATTTTTTCTAGATTATTGGGAAAGTCCAATGAATTGAAGGAAAGCATGAGAAAAAAAGTATGAAAGGAAACATGATTAGATAAGATTGTCTGTGTAATGCTAATGGTGTAAGAGTGTTTATTACTTGCTGAAAACATCTGACGCAGCGCCAAAAACTGCGATTTCTTTAACACCAACTTTCAATGCATTTTCAAGTCCATGCATGTTTGGCACCAGAACTGGATAACTAACACCTTCACATTTACGGATGTCGGAATAAACTTGCATATGATCAGCCATCTGAGGAACCCATTTAGGCGAGACAAAGGAAGTAGCTTCGACCACTTTAACTCCAGTTTCACTGAGTTTATTTATGAATTCCACTTTAACATGAGTTGGAATGGGTTGCTTCTCATTTTGCAGTCCATCTCGTGGGGAAACTTCAACGATTTTCACAAAAGATGGATACCTTCGGACAACGTCATTGTTAACAAACTATGGGAATGGACAAAAGAAGAAAGGCAACTTAGTCGGTGTGAATGAATTGAAAAAAACAAGATTTCAAGATAGCACAGAATGGGGAAAATGTAAGCAAGGAAAAACAGATAAAAATATGCAATGACAACAAAAAATAAGAGTTAGTGTAACAGCTACATTGATATGAGATTTAAAGCACGAGGCTGAAGCTCGAGAGTATCATCTCATATCAACGAGATAATGTTGTTCAACTGAATAGCAAAGTAAAAAAGTTGAGACAAAATTGTACCAACCATGAGCGATATTAGTGTAATTTAAAGACTTGATTTGATGAAAAAATTGAACCTTTTCTTCATATCAATTACAGGTCATTACAATTTTGTTTCAATTTTTGTTACTTTTGCTGTTTGGATGAGTGGAGCAACATTATCTTGTCGATCGTACGATAAATAAATGTGTAACAATCAACAGTTCCACTGACCTAGTGGCCATCATGCACTGAGTTGTTTAAATGACATATAACTCACCTTCATGGTTACCAAAAAAACAGAGATTTGATGTTGACGAATAGAGTGAAGATAATTTTGGTTATTATGTTAGTAGTAGACGAGAGTCTAAGACAAGTTGGAGGAAACAGAGGTAGGATGAAAATGATTGAAGATGTAAAGGGTAATCACATAGTCAGCAATAGATACTCAGATAGATTTCAGTGTAAACACTTGTTAAAAAACTAGTGGTTATTTAAATGTGAACGACAGTAATTAAAACAAAAACATGTAGATAAGAAATGAAGGATAATGCATGAGATATTATTGTCAAAATTTCCTCCTGTTTTCCAATAATCTCTCTTGCGTCGGACTGTTGAATGAAGGTTTCCACCTGATCAGCAAAAGAAAGAGAGAAAGAAAAAGTTAACCATTAAACTTATATAACTGGTTTTTCACATTTCGCATCGAACGTCTGAAGAAATCGATAAATGGTAAAACCCGTTGAATAAGTGAAATCAAACGTTCGACACACCAATAAAGTGATTACTTTGTTTACTCTTGAAGAATCAGTGAAAAAGCTAATGGCAATGAAGAGACAATGAAATGAAAGGAAAAGCCACACAAATCGTCCATGAAATTATACTCACATAATAAAATTAGTTAAATCAATCTGTGGTTATAAAATAATCGAGATGTTAAATTAAAAAAAGGAAAGATTTGATTGTTGACTGTAAAAACCTTGCTTTAAGCATAAAAATGTGGGTTAAGTTTCCAGGAAAAATCAGCAAGGTGGCGTTGTTTTTTATTAAATTTACACTGAAAATTAGACTAATAATGACTAATTAACAGTAGATGGAGCTTTTTTATGCCTTAACCAATTTATGCTTCAACCAGTAAAACCCAAATATTTTAGCACCAATGTATGAAGGACGCTTAAGTCGATGTTTTAAAGGATTTAATGGTGCAAATCTAATATGATCAGTTAACAAATCAGACTATTTTCAGTTTCAGTTTGTTTATTCATCAGCATTTATATCTACCACTTTGATAACATTAATAATATTTGACCAGAATCAATGAACCTCCATATTTCAGTCGCTGAGTTTTATTCAAAGTCATTTGATTTAAGATCACCTCGACACGGTTTGGTCAGTAAAGTTTTTGTTTATTTTCTATTCAAGTCTAATTCTTTCGACTTTCAAACATCGTGAAATGGGACAGAACCGATGTTTGAGCTTCTTGGAGTTAGGCTTTGAATCTCGCCAAGTCCTGAAAGCAGGCGACTTACAGTAAAAAGCTTACTAGGGTTAAGCCGCTGGACTATCCCATCCTCCCTTCCTGATGGGTAAAGTCTAGGACCTATGGGTAGGTGAAACACCTTGGGCCTTAAAACTGTCGTGGCTGGCAAGTCCACAGCAAGCTTCTACTTTTTATCCGCATCTAATTTTGATTATTAATGAAGCGAGTAATCTGAATTGAAACACATGCAAGAGTTTCGATTATTGTTTATGATTTCACTTTTTCCCTTTTCTTAATTATTCCCAATTGACCCAATTTCAAGTTGATTTACCTCTTTTTTGTTATCTTTGCGTATTCAAAGCAACTTCAAGTTAAAAATACAGTCACTCATTTAAGATCATGAAAGGCGTCACAATCAAATTGACCAAGATTATCAACAATCTAAGATTCTGTCTTGAATTACTTTCATAATCTTTAATGATTGACTGTATTTTTCAAGCAAAGTTGCTTTAAATGCCCAAAGATATTGAAAAGAGCCATTAACTATGCTTTATTGTTAACCATTAACTGATTAAACATTATCCATATCTTGTGGCAAGCAAAAATTGAAAAGTAAAATTTTAATCAAATTGAACTTTAAACACTTGCAATTAATCAAATTTGCTACAATGTAACCATGATAATCAATTAATTTGAGTGAACGTTGACCTGTCAATTGATTACTATTAATTGTATAAAATGTCAGCATTTTTGTTGCATTTAAAAGAGTTTTGCAAAAAGTAGAAAAAAAAATTCAAGGCAAATGACTCGGAGAAGAAGAAGGGAAAAAGTAGTTTCCAAGTAAAAAGCATGATCAATCTGAAGAAACGCAGAATCTTATTAATAAATTTAGATTTAAGATGATGAGAAATCATTGATTATCATGAAAGTTTCCAGTGTCAGCTCACCAATTATAACTCACAGGACCAGGGAATGAGGTTAATAAACTTTCGGATAATTTGTTTTTCTGTCAATAAATTTCTCTTCTTTTCTCTCTTTTATTCCTTTTCTCACCCAACATGGTGAAACATTTTTCATCTCTTCTCCAGTCTCTTGAAAAATTCCACGTCTCAAGACTAATCTTACAAATTTAAATTATCCATGAAACTGGGTCCAAATAGAGTAACTCATTGGCTCAATGCCATTTCTTCAAGTGAACCACAATTTTGAAGAGAATCAAGAAAAAAGCTGAAAAACCTTTACCAGATCAGGTCAATCACTGTACAACTTTACCTCACTCTTTTCACTCTTATCATTATCACACTGAACATCTTACCATGTTGACCTTATAAATATCATTGAAGCTTGGAAGCAGCAGCAAAAAAACTTGACTTGTCTCTTTTCTCTGAATTTCATCTCAGAATGTTCTGAAGTGCTGGGAAAAGTATTTTTCGCTTGAAGCAAAATTAATGAGCAAATGATAAAATTCAATTAAAGTTATCAACAGAGATGATCATGAATGCCTTGAAATGGAGATGCAAAAGTCCAAACGCGCAATAAAACACGCAAACACAATTGTCTCTGATTATCATGCATTAAATGGATGAGTAAAGTGCATAACAATTTGAATGGTAAACAGTATCATTAACAATATCAATTGTAAATATGGTGATAATTGTAACCAAGTTGCATCTCTTTTAAGGTTAAACCTAAAAGTGTCTGCCAGTGTTGAACAATATAAAAGTTATCAAATGTAACCAGAGAAACGAGTTGTGAAGCAAACGATGAGCATAAAAAACACGGTGACATTGTGAACCTAATGGATGACTGATTTTCAAGTTCATGGCCATGCAACATGGTCAATAAACTCTCATCTTTTTCATCATCATCATCATTTCCCTTGATAACTCGCTAGATGTCACTTTGATTTTTACATGCGTAACATGGAAAAGTAGATTGAGAGAAGAAGAAAAAAAGAAAAGTTGTTTCTTTGTTCAGTCTAATCAAGTTTAAGAGGCTCAGGTTGAAGGAACTGAGGATGATGATGAGGTTGATGAAGAGAGGGGATGGAATAGGTGGTGGAGGAGTTGGAGGAGCGGAAACAGGGGATAAATGCATGTGAAAATAGGAAAATGGTTGTTGAACTCAATTCAGTGTAGGTGGGTCAATAAGACTTGAAGCCTTGAAAATTTGAAGACACAACACACAGAAAGACTATTTTACTCATTTTCCCTGTTTCGCCATTTTCCTCTGTCGATATTTATCTTCTCTTTCTTTCTTTTCACCATAATGTATCTTTATGAAGTGTGCAAAAAAAATTGAACCCAAAAATATGCTCAACTCAGAGTAAAATGATGAACCTTATTTTTTTTCTGGGTTGAACATTTTTCTTTCACTTTCAGTCTCCAACCTTATATAAGGTCTCATTTGATTAATAATCAATAAGCCAAGCTTTTGTGGTTCCTCTTATAATCCTGGTAAATACGCAATCAGTTGATTAGACATGTAAATGATATTGATTGATAGCAAGCAAAAAAATTGAGTTTCAAATCAGAGTCAAATGTATCACTTTTTTCACCACTAAATTAGAGCTTAAATTATCACCATTTTCATCATTAAAAGGTTGATTGTTGGTGCCATTAAACTTTATCTAAATTTTGTTCATTTAATATCAATTTGATTACATTTAGATAAATTGGTTGAATGATTTGAAAGCATGTTAGAGTACAAAAAAGCTAGAAGAAGAGTGAAAAAATGGGAAAAACATTATTTGATATAAAGTAACATATCTATTTGATTCTGGTGAATGATTCCAAGTTGATTCCAGGGAAACAGGCAATTGTCTAAAATTAACCTGAAATCAATGACCTTCACCATGGTAACACCAAAAATACTGGTTAACATGAGCAATTTAAAGGAAAGGAATCCATTAAATAGACTTTTTCCTATCGATAAAAATGTTTCCCTCTTTCGCCATCTTTCTCTTTTTCTCTGTCTTCTTTCATCCTCCCCTGACCTTGGAATATGTCGATGACCTTCATTCCCTTTTCTCTTTCTTTTCCCTCTTTCTCTCCATGATCATCATGACCATCACCATAACCATAATCATCTTACAACCATTATTATCATCACTTTCATTTCTTTGCATTTCTTACCATTTTGATTTACCTTTCAAAACTCATCTCTCACCCAAACCCCATTGACATAGAGATTAATTTCAATGTAAATCATTGACAAAACCAAATTAACTTTCAGTTGGATGAGAAACAAAAACTGTTGAAATGCTGGTAAACACAAAAGTTTCAAGTCAATGGCCTGAATGTTATTTCAAGGTTAGTTGAGGCAAGAATAAAATGGTGAAAAAGGAACCCCAAAAAAAGGAAAGAGAAGAAAGTGAAGATAAATAGTTGCAAGGAAAAATGCACTAAAAATGAAACTTTAATGGCCATTCGCCACCATTCTTGACCAATTAATGATTTACATTTAAATTGTTTCAAATGTTGAGTCTCTTCAGTTGATCCATTGACTATGGACAACAATGAATCCTTTTATCCTGACCTCAGGTCACATTGGAAGTGAATAAAAATGCGTTTTCACTGATCAACTCTTTGTTCATTGTTATGTGAATATCAAATGTTTTAAAGCAGAAAATTAATTTACTGGTCAACTTGAATCGATTCATCAAAATTACTTAAAGAGTTAACTTTTACTAATGATTGATGTTGAGGAAAGGGTTTCCGGGTAAAGGTCCATCTGGCCAAAGGAAATGGTCATCTTATCATCAGCATCTTGACATGTTGTAACCCAATGCTTACTAAATGTTCAATGTTCATCTCAATATCATTAAATGCATCTTAAAACCTTCAAAACAATCAGTTAATCACGATGTTAATTTAATGATTTATTTCTCTTCTCTTCTCTTCAATTAAACGACAATTTTCACACAATTTATCTAAATGATCAATTTAAACTGTAAACAATGATTTTTAAATGATTTTCAGCCCAAAAACTGAAACCAAAAGTGCAATAAATTATCAGTAAAAGCAACTCAAATAACATCCTTTTTTTGGGTGTTCAGTTGAAAATGCTTTTCACCAGATTTTTCAAGTTTATTTCCTTTTCAGTTCCATTTAATCCAGTAAACATGATGACAAAATCCTTGAAACAATTTACTCTTCCAATGAGTAATTAATGATTAATAAAAAAAGTGTTGATTAACGCGAGTTGAAACAATGTTATAAACAATGATGGCTGATTGAACATTTGACAAAAGAGTAATCAATTGTTCAACCAGTTAATCAGGTAATTGGCCTTTTCCATGGGAAAACTGATATTGTGATGATATTTATGGTGACAATGAAAGTCATGAAAGATGAACAAGAAAGAACCAGAAAAGAGAAAGCATTTAATATCAATTCAAATGAAAAGGAACCAAAAACTGGTTTTCTTTGTATAATCAATGTTAATGATACTCTAAGTTCAAGGTTTAGTTCATGAGTTTTGTTATAAAAAGTAAAAGGAACC